GCCGACCTCGCACCTCTTCAGCTGTACCTTTCTGCACTCATATTTACGCCGGTGAACAGTATTATCCGGAAGGCTTTCCTACAGCAACGTACGGATGTGTTTTCTACGCTGCCTAATGTATTTCCACATTGGAGCGCCACACTCCAGACACTGACGGGGCACACGGCTTGGGTCACGTCGGTGGCGTTGTCGGCGGACGGCACGCGGCTGGCGTCGGCGTCGCACGACGAGACCGTCCGGCTCTGGGACGCGGCGACGGGCGCGCTGCTGCAGACGCTCGAGGGGCACACGGAATCGGTCACGTCGGTGGCGGTCTCGGCGGACGGCGCGCGGCTGGCGTCGGCGTCGCACGACCAGACCGTCCGGCTCTGGGACGCGGCGACGGGCGCGCCGCTGCAGACGCTCGAGGGGTACACAAGACATGTCAAGTTCTCCACGGAAGGCACGCTCCTTTTGACCGATCTCGGGCAGTTTGCAGTGTCCGAAGACGAATTCCACCACGATCGGGAGCATGTACTGCTGAAGCCTGTTCCTCATACCTTGCAATTACAAGAGGAATGGATCCAGCATAACGGTAACGACATCCTCTGGTTGCCGCACGACTTTCGCGGAACATGCTCGGCAGTGTACGGAAAAACGCTCGTTATCGGGCAAAGCTCAGGAGCTGTGTCACTCTTCCAAGCACGAGACGAGAGCCACATAGTATCGTAAGTAGAAACCTACTATATTTATTGCAACATGTATGAATTATTGTATCTAGTTACTATCCATTCTCATGCCTACTTCTTTCCAAGCCATAAACTTGTACTCTCTTCTTCCCTTCTGATTTCTCTCTAAAGAGGGTACAGGGTGATCACTCTTCTTATACCTGCTAGTTGGTTGAGATAGCTAAGAGAGCCTTCTAGAACGGAAAGTTAGCGCGATTTCGAATATAATGCGCAGCTAGTGTGGAAACCACAAGCCGTGGCCCTAGACGTGGAGAACCACATACGACGAGGCGCAAGATGTGGCGCGCTCGCTAGCACAAAAGCACTGCATGACTCAGCAATGGCGTCGTTGCATCGACTTCGCCATGGACACGAACGGGAGTGCTCGGGATCGAACAGCACCAATCGGCCAGTAAAGAGACAAATACAAGATGCACTTAAAGCATAGAGTAATGCAACGAGCAGGATATTTGAAAATTGGAGGGGATGTAGGAAATGCAATCTGCGATCGACGACGGAGGTCGGATTTTTGAAGGAGACTAAATTCAACACGACAACATTACAGCAGACGATATTGCATCGTGAGTCACACGTAAAGATGAAGGAAAATCTGCTGCTGAACATGACACCAGTCCTATGTCAATGCGATTGGGTTGTAAAATGTTGAAGACCAAAATGTCTGATGCTGGCTCGTTACATAGGGTGGCTCGCAACGCCGGGAGGGACGTTATATCTGCCATCTTCTCAAATTATACCAGGCCAGCTGGTCTTGTTTCTCTTGAGCTATCAATCTATCTGATGGTACATTGCTCTCTACGGTAGTCGTTTTTGACCACCTTGCTTGTCTTAGAGACTCTTCACTCGAAGACGAGAGCGACACTGAGATCCTCTGAGTTCTTGACCTGTTGCGGGATGACGACAATTTGTACGGGCCTTCGTTTTCCAAGTGCGATATGATGGTTCAGGAAGCCGAACAACTTGCTGCTAATATTTGGACTCCCCATATAGCGCTTGAATTGAATGGAATCCGATTTCCAGGTCATGACTTGATCGAAGGGCGTATCCGAGCTATCGTAATTGGCTCGAGTCACGTCCCAGAATTCCTGGTTCTGAACGTTGACAATAAACATGACCCGAAAGTCACTCGCCTTGGACTTGGCGACGTCCAGGAAGTTCTGCATTACTATTTCATTCAAAGGGATACCAGAATTGCTCTTGTCTTCGTATTTGAAGCTGTCCTGCATGATGAAATATCGTCCCGCGTTGTCGATCGTCATCCTCACTATAGATGCAGGGACGTCAGAAGATTTCTCGCCCGGTTTCGCTTTGTTAGTGACGGTGACCTCTGTCGCGCGCTCGGTGTTCTTAATGACCAAGTTTTTCAATTCGGACGACCTGAACAGTCGGATGGCATTCAGAGGACCTTTGGTCGGATCCTGGATCTCTTTCGTCTTGATTTCGTACTCGGGAACGCGACGAATATCAAGGAAGGTTGTTCTTGAGCCTGCTGGGACCTGAGATTTGCTGTTCACGATTTGTGTATCGCGAGTGTGGGATCTCAGTCCTGTCTCATACGCATTCCATTGAGTCTCGCCAGCAGCAAGCACTGCTGCCATAGATCTCTGCGTCCCTGGCTTATCCTTCGGCGTTCCCGAACCGGGTTCCGGTTTCGCGGGATTGTTCCCAGAAGCTGTCAGCTCGACTTCGGTTTCGGGTCTTTTGGGCGACGGATTACGGGATCCCGGGTCGACGATCTTGTATTTTGGACCAGGTTTGGAAGGCCTGCCCGGTGCGGGAGGTGGCGGAGGCGGTGGTGGTGGAGGGGGAGGTGGAGCACCGCCGGACCTAGCAAACAAAGGAAAGAACTTGTCCTGATCTTGACGGGCAAGAAGGTGTGCCAGCGATGGGATATCAGCCAATTCCTCCTCTCCGGGGTCACAGAAATGCTCCTGAATTGTGTTCGGGGTAGCATTCTCCAAGCATGCCTGGACCTGAAGGTTGGAAGCAATGCTTTCTTGAGTGCAAGGCGCTCCTGATGAAGCTTGTAAGAGCAGCGAAAATGCTGCCGCTAGAAGCAGACCATTGCCCCCAGGGAGAAGTCTCATTTTGGCGTCGAGATATTGTAATCTGAATAAGGAGCGAGAGATTATGGAATGAGGAATTGGCAGGATCACAACAGGACATTCGAGTCCTTATCACAAGCGTACCTCTATCATTGTTCCAAAGCCTCCCATGTATCGGCCTGATTCTGATTCAGCACGCATTTTTATCATGCTCGCCCTGCAGCGCATATTGTTTTAGTGGCAGGGCGAGCTGGCTTGATGAGTTTCATCGAGAACGGGCTATGCTGCTTCGCCGCTCGTTTGTCCTCCAGTGAGCATAGTCAACCGCTTGGTTTGAGAGTCGACAGTACCCTTGCTGCCACTCGTAGCACATATTTCCATATACTAATCGCTGCGTCGGATCAGAGGCATCTCCATTGACTGCAGTGACGGTGGACAGGGCCTGTACAGACGGACGGGAAACGTCTCGTGTACTGGCAATTGCCATGAACACAAAGTTTTCAACACGGTATGTCGTGTTGCGGCGAGACCACAATTGATGACCCGGGCGGGAGCCCGAACAGCCGAATTTCCCGCTTTGGTGCGACGCTTCTCATACAATACGTATTCAATCTGCGTCAGTAGGCGCCCATCTTCTCGAGTACACATCACAAACATCGGCCAGTCCATCGCGACATTTGATACGACGGAAAGAATACTTAACGACGAACGAGAATTGTTTCATGCTAAAATTGGAGCGCTACTGACTAGGGCTCCATGCTGTGCTGCGAATCCCACATCTCCATCTTGGTAGGCACCATAATGAGGGCCGTGACACAGATACTATAGGCAGCACGTCTCTGCTCAACGGAGAAGCCATGAACGCAGAATATGCGCACACATAGTTTGCGACTGCCACCTAATCCATTTGCTTTCTTCCCGTGGTCGATGCGTAGTTACTGCTCTGGCTTGCATGGCCGCCGGTGAGGGCGTGATATTGATGTTGCGTCCTGACCATTCTCAAAAAATGTTCGATGCTTCCAACATCTCCTCCCACAGAAAAGAACCGAAGAGCGCACGACAAGATGCTCATAACTCCTCACATCCAAGACTTACCTTCCGAAGTATTCGACCACATCATAGAGCACGTGATCATTACTCTGGGCATATATCGGGCGGTGCCCTTGCGCCGTGTGAGCAAGACATTTGATGCCGCGATACTGCACGCCATTTGCAAACGCAGAATCATTGATGTTCAGCACAAGGCTACCCCAACCCTTTTAGAAAGATTATCGCCCGAATTTCGAGCACGCATCTTCTTGCAACCATCTCGCTCTATTGAATGCGAGATCCACATCTACGTGTCGGTAGTAGCTACCACGAATGAAGCTTTGGACGTATACTTTCATCACGAAAGTGAGAAGGCAAGATTTCAACGGCATCAACTGGTGGCCCAGAACATCTGCTTCCCTCACTTTGGCCTTGTGACAGATGTCGATGATGCCACTTTCAAGATGTCTCTCAACTACATTCGGCAACAACAACAAAAGGCAAACGGCTACTCCACTCCATGGATGAGGCAGTCAATGCTCGAAGACCCTGTGACGCAAGCTCAGAATTTGTTGAGTGCTGCTGCACTTTGTGGAGATCTGATCGTCGTGAAAGACGTTTTCACTTCTGCGGATCCTGCTTTGCTGTCGAACAATCGTTCGTGGACGCCATTTTATCACCGACCCTTGATACTGGCTGCAGCAGCTGGCCATTTCGAAGTCGTCGAATATCTTCTTGAAAACGGTGCATGCCTTGAACGTGACGAAGAAGCAGAGCTCACCATCCTTCACGGACACACCCGAATTCGAATACGTACCAGAGAAGAAAAGTTTGGCCCGTGGCATCTGGCGGACCCTGCGCCAAAGTGGAGATCCAGCGAGTGGATAGATTGGGCCGACATTGCTGAACTTCCACGTCATCCGCTCTCGGCTGCTACACGTAACGGGCACACAAACATCGTGCACTTACTCCTCAAGAATGAGTATCGCCTGCCACTAGATGACACCATGTATCTCAAAGCAATGCTTGGTGGAGCAATGGCTGGAAGACTAGACCTGGTGGAATTGCTGCTCCATACAGTAGGCCGATCCTTGAACGATATTCGAGGTCTTGGCCAAATGCTATTGCACTATGCTGTGGTCGCGGGTCAGATAGACTCGGTGAATAGGCTTGAAAAGTGGGGACTTGATCGGAACGCCTGCTTGCATCGCGATACAGATCTCTGCTCAGGGAGCTTTTTGATCAACCCGGACAGCCGGTTTGGATCTTTTGCCTATCCTTTGATGATCGCTGCGTCGAAAGGTGATCTTGAGATGACAAAATTCTTGATGAGCAAAACGCCCGACCAGTCCTTTATGGAAACACCCAAGTATGAGCGGCCCGTCGAGCTAGCTGCAAAGCATGGGCACGAGGAGGTCATGCGGCTGTTACTGAATTATGGCGCAGACCCTGGCATGGCCTTTGTTGCTGCAAGCTCGTCCGGACAAATGCATTTGATGAGGTATCTATTGGAGACATATCCAGACTTGATTGATCCGGACATTCAAGCCAGTAAAACCGCACCTAATGGCCGAATAATTGGACAGCTCGCTCTGAAAAGGGCAACGAAAGCGTGCCATTTAGCTGCGATGACATATCTGGTGCAGGCCGGAGCGTCACCAGACCACGGTGCTACACCGGCTATGACACGACGCAACTTTCCGACTGGAACTCGGCCTATGCAGATCGCGAAAGATACGGGTAAGCAATTTGTTGTCGATCATCTGGTTTCTCTCGGGGCGCGGGAGAACGTCTTAGATCGCGAGAAGAAATTGCTCGACTACGAGTCGTATTGTCGATTCAATGCGGTAGTCCCGTTCCCAGATACCTGGGAGTGGATGAGTAAATAATAATAGATTCTGCCTATGTTACACACGCGATACTCTTGTATAGCAGGTGGGCCTTGCCGCCATGTCGTGCGTTCATCATGTGTCGAAGGCTGACGCCACTTTGACTTCTCAGCAAGGCCTCGAGCTAGAGACCAATGCCGCTCGCTACCTGCGAGCACGGCGCTCTCACAACAAGAGCAAGCTAGGAGGACAACACAGTCGCAAGCAGCAGCCGATATTTCAACAATGACCACTTCATGCTGACTCGCGAAACCAATTGTAGCCCGCCCTGACTTTTCAAGAAATGAGAGTTTAACGGCGGACAGGGGTTCATATTGAATATATAGGTAGAGATTTTCTGCTGCGAACGGGTCTTCAAAATGCTTTCATCGTGAAGCGAAGCCTGGAGGTAGACAAAGTCCAGCGCCTTCGATCACGTGCGGCTCGCGCGATATCTCTTGGATTCCGTAAAGGTGTATGTCGATCCTGTTGATCCCGAGAAGCGGTCGTGAGCCAAGCATTTCGGTCCCGGCTTCTACAACGTTGACAGCCGTGAAATCAAATATTCTGCGGTTGCAGTAATGTGCGACTTTGCTATGAAGGATTAGTAGAGTAGTCGCAAGACCGACAAAGATCTTCAATTAGCGCGAATGTGGACAACTCTATTGCGAGTTGATACGTGACGTTGTCCCTTCAACAGCCTTGGCCGAATCAGGCAACTTCAGCTGGTCGCCATGATCCTTGCCATCCATGGATCTGAGACATCACGTCCATCTGTATCTCGAAACGGAACCTTGCCACGGTGCTGTGGCACAATCTCGCCGTTTCTCATCTCGACTCCTGTATAAACGCACTGTGGGTTGCCAGGCATGCTGCGCACCCTGCTCGCTGAGGAGTCGTGCCACCGGTCGGAATGACGGAACAATCCACGCCTCAAAGAGACAGGCTGCACTACACGTGGCGCAGTAGGCAGCAGACCAGCTCGATCATATATTTCTTGTGTGACTGCACTTCGCCTTGCGCATCCAATATTTTATTGACCAGCAGAGTAACGATATCGCAAGCCATTTCTTCATCAATTGTGATGATATCGAGATGACCCTGCACGGCCCTTGTTACATGCAATCAATTCCCAGATAAATCTTCGACCACATTATCACGCTGTTGTTCCTCGAACTTGGTATATATCGAGCAGTGGCCTTGCGGCTGGTCAACCGAGCATTCGATGCCGCAATTGTCGACGCAATATGCGTTCGTCGAGTGATTGATGTACAGCATGAATCTACTCCACGGTTGTTAGAAAAGATGGGGCCGACTCTTCGGGCGAAAATCTTTCTTCAGCCATCACGTTCTTCGGACTCGGATATTAGCATCTATATGTCTGTCACGGCTTCCACTAATGAAGCATTAGACGCTTTGATAGGCGCCGAAGATGACCAGACGAAACAGCAGCGACACGAGCTCGTGGCAGAGAATGTCTGCTTCCCACACTGGACCTACATAACTGATCTTGAAGATGCCACATTCAACATGGCCATTGACTATATGCGATCTAGACGCCGGCATCGGAAGAATGGTGTTTTCGAGACTGAGTGGAAAGAGCAGCCGAAGCTCGAAGACCCGACATTGCGAGCACGTAACTTATTAAGTGCTGCGGCTCTTTGTGGCAATACACCCGTCGTGAACACTCTTCTAAAGTCTGAAGAATTCGCGGCAGTCGCACATACTGGCTCTGAATGGACACCTTTCTTCCACCACCCGCTGACACTAGCTGCTGCTGGTGGTCATCTCGGAGTTGTCAAAACTCTCTTGTCACATGGTTACCGGCTAGCACGCGACACAGAGACGACATTCAAGGTTGATCAGTCTATCTCCGACAATTTGAATGTTAGACGCGACGAATCGGGATTCCTATATTTCCCACCGCCAAGGCCGTGGAGAAATGGTGAACAGGCAGAGTGGAGTGACATCAGTGCTACTGCACGTCACCCACTTTCAGCTGCTGTGCTCAATGGGCATGCAGATGTCGTAAACCTTCTCCTCGACAATGAGCATCGCTTGCCACAAGATGATACAATGTATCTCAAAGCCATGATGGCAGGCGCGATGGCAGGACGATTGGATTTAGTCGAATTGCTCCTTCAAGTTGTGCAGCGATCTCTGGAGGACATCGCCTATCTTGGTTGGATACTGTTACATTATGCTGTACTCGGAGGCCACGTGGCAACAGTCGCGACTCTTGAAAAATGGGGGGTCAATACAAATGTAAACATGTTCAGAAACTCCTTGATGCAACATTCAAGTTACCTGCTTCGCGGTGGCAATCGGTTCATGAGTACCCTCCAGATAGCCGCATTTGAAGGGCACACGGACATGGTTCGGTTTCTCCTCGCCAGATACCCCTGGGTGAACAGCCGAGGAACTTTCTCTCGCTACCCCGTCGACTGGGCAGCGAGAAAAGGCAATCAAGATGTCCTCGAGTTGCTTCTGGATCACGATGGGACTCCCGCGGACCCCAGTGTAGCATTGATTGGTGCAAGTGCAACGGGCCAGGTACACGTGATGAAGTATTTACTGAACAGATTTCCTCAGCTCGTCGATCGAGATTATGGACAGGCCTATCTGACGGGGGACGGAAAATTAGCCGGGCAACGCGCCCTGAACAAGGCGACAAAGGCTTGCAATTTAGAGGCCATGACGATACTTGTGGAAGCTGGAGCATGTCCAAGCCACGGTGAAAAGCAGCCGAAGAGTCATCGCAATATCCCCACCGGCAAAAGGCCCCTGGAAAAGGCCAAATCCACCGGGAACCAATGGGTTCTGGACCATCTCATGTCTTTGGGCGCAAAGCCGAATGTCCTCGACGAAGACATCAAGCTTAGCGAAGATCCAATACAGAAGTGCTTTAACGGAATCATTCCGTCAGAACATACGTGGGAGTGGATGAAAAAGTACTAAGCAGCCATGGTCTATATGCCTGACCTATGTATTCCCAACGAGTCTGTCGACCTACGAAGACATTCACGGCGAAATGAGACCGAGACTTAAGCGGAAGTTCGATAGGCCGCACTTCCTCTGTCCGTGGCTCGCTTAGTAGCTTCATCCAGATCCTCCTTCGGCAGACCCAATGCGGCATTCGCAAGACCACGACGCTTCTCAAAATTGCCATTGCCATCGGGGAAGAAGATACGAGAATACATCATCTTCACGAAGCCTACGCGGTCTCCTTTGCCTAGCTCGACTTGGCCTTGGGAATAGCGCTCAGTGACCGACTGCTTGATAATGGTCCAGTCTGATTCGCTGGTGCCAGTAACACGCTGCAAAGAGGCCAGCATCTCCTTTTGCGTAATCGTGAAGGAGTTGATGTAGACCTGCTTGTTGCGATACGCCTCAAGCTTATCCGAAGGGAGGCTCAGAAGGGCGGCGACGGCACGACCGATCTGAGGCCAGGTGGAGACGGAGATGGGTGTCTCGCCCTCGTCAAATAGTGTGGCAGTGCGATTGTCGATGTCGAAGCCAAAGGCGCTGGGAATCGGTACACTCCATTCGTCTTACAAGTCCTCACGTCAGCAGTCGTCCGACAAGAGAACATAGTGCGCACGTACACCAAAAGCCGGTGGTCACGGAAATGTAAGCCAGCTTGCCCTCGGCGGCAATCTCCTCTCGAATCTTTGGTCGATCGGTAAATGCGCGAACGTCCCTGACGACGCCCTCGTCCTCGGTATCCGGAGACCATTCGCTGAATGACTGTAAGCATATCGGATATCTGATTTCTGCGAGGGTGAACCTCACTTCGGGAGAACCCAAGGTACCTTCGCTTCGGCGGCAGCACGCAACAGACGACGTTGCTGATCGTGAGGTGCCGTGACCCCAAGGGTAATGATCAATGCATCTTGACCTTTGAGAGCGGCGACGAGAGATTCGTGGTCATCGTAGTCGACTTTGGCAACTTGAACGCCGGACGGGATAGGGCTCTTGCTCTCATGACGGGTGATTGCGGTCACGGTGTGCTTGCCTCCAGCCACGAGGGCCTCGGCCATGAACTTGCCGGAGTTGCCGCCAGCCTATCGATCGAAGAGTGAGCGGATTGGATTCAGAGGAAATGAATATCACACTTACGCCAACAATGGCGACGTTCTTGAGGAATTTTGGAGAAGACATTGCGAGTTTGCTGAAGTAAAATGTGGAAGTTCCAAAGCTTATTCAATTGTGAGGTCGTCAGCGGTGCAGGAAATGCCGTTCTGATGAATTAGACTCGAGGAAAGTTGAAAGTGACCACCGCAAACCCATCCTGTTTATATATCCTCGGACAACGACAAGCACTCTCGTTCTTTTCCGGAAGTCGATGATGCTGTGATGCCCATACACGGAGTAGCCACGATGTTGGTGGCGGCGTGCCACCAATCTTTTGTGGTGAAACGCAGCGTGAGGGACAGCATTATCCCCGAGACTGCCACTATCCCCGGCTACCACCGCTATCGCCGCCGATTTCAGAATTAGACGCGCCACGTGGGCATTTCCTGAGTATCAGAGGAGAGGCATTCCAGCGCCTCGAAGCGATTTAAGTTCGATGGGATCAATCTGGTTTGAAGGAGCTTTGCAAATATCTTGATCGAGTAGAGTGATGTAGCCAATTCAGTAGTCCGACGATGCTAAATAGAGCTTATGATACTCCTCGAGACGCCAAAACCGAAGGAGTAATAATTGACCCGCGTCGCGTCGAACCTTGCCGATCGCTCCGTCAGATAGCGTCGATCGTCCTTTTCTCGAAGTTCTCTCACGCGCAGCAAGTCGCGAGAACATCGTGTTCCGCAAGTGGCGATGTGCAGTATTAATATGGGCATAGGGTGGTGAATGCGGTGTTCCCCACGCACAGGGCCGAAGAGTCGCAGCGGAGCCATATACACAAGTATCCCGAGCGTCAGCGAGTTGACAGAAACATACTTCACCAGACACCTGCACGAAGCGCGCAAAGAATTGCAAAGGAAATAGGCGGGAGAGGAAATTCATGCAAGATCGTCAAGGCTGCCGAATTCATGATTCTTTGCGCGCCGATCCTGGTCTGCGCAGCTTCTGCTGTGCTGCAAATTGAGATGCGGCACGGTCGAACGTCTCGAACTTTGGCTGGCTAAAGTAAGCCCAATAATCTGCTCCTATCAACGGACCTACATCTTCATGTATGCAGTGGAGTGCCTTCTGTGTATTTTCGGACAATGGAGATGGTCGCGACGCGCAGCAACGTCAATTTGACAAGAAGACCAATCGAGGACTTATTAGATTGAATATTAGGGAATTCAGACGAAATGATCAGTTTGGAGAACTTCAAGACATTGCCAAATGAGATCATCGATTTGGTCTTCGAGCATCTGATCATCACCATTGGATTCTATCGGGCTGTCCGCTTGCGCCGCGTCAACCGCTTCTTCGACGCGTCCATCATACGGGCTTTGTACGTCCGCTCAGTGCTAGATATTCATGACCCGGACACGCCGTATCTTGCCGAGAAGATCCCACAGAAGTTCATGGGCATTGTCTACACACAACCTGTCCGGCCTCGAGAACATGCGGTCATTCTGGCTTATAAAAATATTGTCCGCTCTATATGTAACACTTTGGATACTTTTTACGAAGTGAAAGATGCACACGCGCAAGATGAGCGACGTCGGACCGTTGCAGGGGGGCTCATTTACTTTGCGAAAGCTGATCAGCTAGACCTTGCAGACGAAGTCCTGCAAGCAAGAAATTTGCTCTGCGCTGCTGTGCTGGTTGGAGACGTTGAGGTTATCAAAACCATACTCAAGACGCAGCCGCACGGGTATGATCGAGAAGGCGCCCTGGACTGGACCGCGGTGTTTCTCCCGCCAATAACCCAGGCTGCCACCGCTGGTCACCTCGAAGTTGTCAAGCTTCTACTCGACTGGGTAGGGGATACTCCGGACGATCATGAAAAGCGCTGGATGGTCGACAGAAGCGATCAGGCAAAGACGAGAACATGGAAATACGGAGGAGACTATTGGTGGCGCGATCTCCACGACGAGTGCAGCGGCATCAATGCCTTCTCGAACGCAGTGCGACGTGGGCATACTTCCATTGTGCAATTGTTTCTAGAGGAACAGCATCGATTGCGACCGGATGACTTCGGATATCTTCAGGCGCTATTTGCTGGAGCGACAGCTGGTCGGCCAGATTTGATACATCTGTTGCTACAATTTATGGGAATCTCCCTGTCTGATTATAGAGATGTAGCGATGCGCCTGGTGTGGTTCGCCACGCGCGCGCGGCAGACGGAGACTCTCGCCTGGCTTGCGGATTGGGGAGTTGATGTACTCGGCGATTTTGGAATGCAACCTGCGGAAGTCAGACGGGCGTTGTTCATCGCTACAGCCAACGGTGATGTGCCCACGATCCGTTTCCTTCTAGACCGAGGAGAAAATGTTAAGGGTCATGATAACCACCCGGCAGCAGCGGTTCTGCATCAAGCGGCGATACGAGGTCATGAAAAAGCGGTCAAATTGCTTCTTCATCACGGTGCAAATCCGAAAGAGGCCCTCATCGTTGCTGCGCACGGCGGACAAGTTCGCTTGGTCAAATACCTTCTGAACAAGTACCCGAGTCTAGTATGGCTCTCACTTCAGCCTGACCTCGAGCCGGGAGGATTCTCCGTCGCGAGAAATGCATTGGAAATGGCCATCGGAGGCTGTCATCTCTCCACGATCACCGCTCTAGTGCAAGCAGGTGTAGGTTTGAATTTCGGCAGGGGTGGCAGTCAATACTTTCATGCGAAATTTAATGCAGCCTGGGATGCCCTGGACGGAGTCAAACCCGGTGAGAAGGGAGCACTGCCGATGAACCTGGCGAAGCGTACTGGTCGGCAATGGGTCGTGGATCATCTCATCTTTCTCGGAGCGGAGGATACTGCTGAGACTTTCCTTCCCCGTCCCAGGTTGATGCGACCGCAGGATCCCATGTGCCGAGATCAGATTGTGATGACTGAACGGACCTGGGAATGGGCAAGCAAGTACTGATCAGACATCTGCTGTCAACGCGATGTTCCAGCGTGATAACATTGTATCAGAATCATGCAGTGTGCAAATCTGTGTAGCCGCTGGCGCGCTTTGAGGGCTTTGCATAAATTAAACAGCCGACGGCTTCGAGAACGTTCCGAGGGGTCTTGCGTCAGACCAACAAATGTCACGATTGATGAGTCGGATAGCGCACCATGAGGGCTTGGGTTGTGACAAAAGCCTCGCCATCTTCATCAGACAATTTATCGTTACTGAGCACCCTTTGGTATTCCCTTTTCCCTCTATTTTGTCTTCAACAGCGTGAGCACGTCGAGTCTGCCTCGGCACCACAGTCAGCTCCAGCCACACAAGTGCCACACCGGCCGGAGACCCTTCCACACACACCGCAGCACCGCCACATTCCTCAGGCTTTGCGACGCCCGATTTGCGACGTCATCGCCGTTTCCGTTTCTTCCTGTCCGAGAGCATCCAGACTCCTCTTGCATGACAAAAACCGATCATCCCTAAGTTCTTGGATAGCATCACAGATCATCTTCGCGATTCAGTCCATGCTCTGTCCTAGACCCACGGAGAACGCCATCACCATCCATCACCCGTGAGCCGTGTCCACCACCAAAAGCTGTGCGCCCAACTCCCGCCTCGGTCTCGTGACGCATCGGCTCCCAAGCACTGGTGACATTCTACACTGCTCTGGACGGACACACCCAACGAATTTATCTACAGTGCACTATCCGAACATCGCCATCTGGTGAGGCATCACGATAGTGGGAGCACTAGCTCCACATCTCTTCCCTAACCCCCCGCCGTCACATTCACAGTGACCACGCACCAACATCATAGCCAGCCATGAGTGGCTCACGCGCGCATCCGCCGGCTAGAGAGCTCGTCTACTGTCACCAGTGTGAAGACGAATGGTATCGCGACGAACACGGCATAGTCTGCCCGCAGTGCCAATCCGATTTCACAGAGATCTTAGAGGGACACAACGACCCACAATCATTTGCGGGAGATCGGACAGAGGAAGAGCATGATCACTTTGCACCAGATCCTGACGAAGATGATATCGATCACTACCAGTGGCGTGGTCAGGGCCCGCAACAGCATGGTTTCGTTCGAGAAAATAGTCCCGGCACACCAGGCCAGACGGGAACAGGCGGATCGGACTTGCCAGGCTTTGGTGGAGTCTTCCGAATACTAGGCCAAGCGGTACGAGCGGTCACGGAAGCAAATACACAAAACAGATCCGCTGCTACGCCCGATCAGTCCACCGAACGACAGGGATCTCCTTTCCGAAACGAACCATACATGCACCCTGACGTTGCAGCTTCACCGAATGGCTGGACTACGCAGCAGCATCGCCATGTCGGACCCAATTTCAGTTTCACAATCACTTCGTCAACGAGGTCAAATCTGGCTCCACGTAATGCCAACGCACCTCAAGCATTTGAGCCACAACCTGACCCGATCGCGGAGCTTCTCGGGCAGATCATTGGGAACATCGGCAGTGGACAGCCAGGCGTGATGCACGTACGCGGTGGCGGAGGTGGACCAGACATAATTTTTGCTCGACAAGGAGGGCGCGGTCCTCTTAACTTGATGGAACTGTTTGGTGGCGGTGGCGGAGGACGGTTTGGCGACGCCGTCTTTAGCCAAGAAGGTCTCGATCGGGTCATCACACAACTCATGGAGCAGCACCAGAGCGGAAATGCGCCGGGTCCAGCATCGCAAGAAGCGATCAACTCATTAGAACGGAGGCCGATCGACAAGGACGACTTGGATGAGATGAGCAAAAAGGCAGAGTGCAGCATCTGCATGGACGAGACGCCTCTAGGGACGATCGTGACGGCTCTGCCTTGCAAGCACTGGTTCCATCACGACTGCATCGAAGCCTGGCTCACCGAACACGACACATGCCCACACTGCCGACAAGGCATCACGCCACGGGATGGCGACAACTCCAACCAAGCGCGTCGACCCGACCAGCCACCACTGCACGATACCCAGTCACCTCGACATCAGAACACTTCCATCCCCGGCGCTTTCCCTTTCCCCTCTGCCCGGGCAGAGTCGAGTGAGCCCAGATCTACCTGGGGACCGTCAGATCCGCCACAATCACCATCGCCGGTTCCGAATTCTGAGACGAGGCCTGCGACTGGCAGAACGACGAGCGCGAGCGATCTCTTCTCGCGGATGAGGAACGCCTTTGGAGGAGGCTATGGCGGTGCTGGAGGCGGCAGTGGCAGTGGGAGCGGCACGCACGAGGGTCAATGATTAGCATTTGTCGAGATTAGGCGCTCGTCATCGGGCTTTTGGGAGTGAGCATGACGGTCGGATTTGTATGAGCGCAGGATACCTACAGGAGTTGTTCTCGCAGCATTTTTGGGGGCGCTTGCGGAGTTTTGGAGGCCCTGAAGGATCGGGAATTTGGGTCGTGTCCCTTTTTATTCCGAGTTTCCGAATTTGGGTATCGCAGTGCATCTTTCTCTCTATCTCTCTCTCGTTCTCCCCCACTCTTCCGCTCTGTCATCCGGAGATCATTTTCCGTGAAGCATGGAAGATCCACGAGAAAGGTTTCACGGTCCATATTACCCGCCGCGCGCGGTGTCTCCGCATGCACTTCTGGCATATTTTTCCCCTTTTGGGAGAAACCCTATTAGACGAGCGTCGAAGAACTGTATGCTCGAGTATGGATTGCGGATTATTATATACTGATGATCAACGCGCAAGCGAGTGGTACTGTTTCATTTATTTTTTGTCCTCTGTTTGGGAAATGCGTTCCGCTATGATTTCCTACATGATGAGTGAGGAGCGGCGGCAGCAGCGGCGGCAATATTCAAGCAGGTGAATATACGATACCTCCCAGACCGTTGCGCCGGTGGAATTGAGGGAAAGGGAAAGGGTCGTGATGGCATGTATTGTCGGCGAATTTGATGGTACTAGGTAAGCCCTGATGCCGATCGCAGGGCGTTTTTTGCCTCATTTTGCCTAGTCAGGTACATACAGCTTTTGTCTGCAGGCTATACAATAATACACAGCTGGCCCCAGGCATTGGTCTTGCCGCGATCAACTCAACACACACATGAACACCATCTCTCTCTCTCTCTCAAAAGATGCGGAAGATCCACATGTCGGGCAGACAGAAGGAACAATGTGCATGGATATTCTGGATGCTCTCCATTATTGGGATCGATCATGCATACTGCAAAGTCTCTCTCTCTCTCTCTCCACCAAGAAATATGCACGGTTGATAATAATAATGATGATGATGATGATTTTGATGCGAATGCGGGCGGGGTTCCGGTCAAATTGCCGTGTTGCAGCCAGAAACGTCATCGTCGAAATGCCCCAATGATGACGTGGTGGCCCGCTTACACGCCCGGGATCGTGCCTTGCTTGCTCGCCTCCACGGCTGGAAGCTATGAACGCCTCCCGAGAGCTGCATTTTTCCCATGTGAAACCGATGACTTACAAGGGAAATCGCAGTCCTTTGGTTGTATATCAATTGCTTTCCCGTTTACATATCCTCCTCCTTCTCTAAATAAATCTTCTTCCTCTATACTCCTCCGCAATCACACGTTTTCTCTCATCAGCCCGCCATAATCACACATTCTCTCGCCGGTTCGCCGTCATCATCACAACACATCTCCCATCATGAACGCTTCAAGAACAGTCCTCCGCGCGCAGCGATGTGCTCGCTTCTCACAAGCTCCCATGGGTGCTCGCCGGTATGCCTCTGAGGCTACCAAGGCCGGCGGCATGGGCGCCGTCGGTGGTGGTCTGGTCGGTGGTGGAGCCGTCCTCGCTGTTCTCTACGGTTACTACCACTTCTCCGGCGTCAAGACTGCCGTCCAGACCGCACAGAGCGCCAAAGGCTACGTGGACGATGCCCTGAACAAGTTCAAGCTCCAGCTGCCCGACGCGCCCTCCAACGCAAACGACGCCCTCTCCATCCTCAAGGACACCGCCACCAAGTACGCCGCCTTCATCCCCGGCGGCCGCGGCTACGTCGACAGCGCGTTCAAGGACGTCGAGGCCATCCGCAAGAACCACGGCTCGGAGGTCGACAAGATCGTCCAGGACGCCTACAACGACGTCCGCAAGATCTCTTCCGAGGGCGTCAGCCTCGACTCCGCCGGCAAGGTCTTCGACGTCCTCGCCAACCACCTCACCCGCCTCTACGACGTCGCCGGCGACGCCGCCGAGGACATCCTCGAGAACCACCCCGAGCTCAAGGAGAAGTACGGCAGCTCCAAGGAGCAGATCCAGAAGTTCAGCGAGCAATACCGCGGCGAGGCCACCAAGCAATTGAAGGAGGTCCGGGGGCAGGTCCAGGACATCTTCAAGACCGGCCTCGACTGGCAAGCCGTGGGCAAGATCCAACAGTTGGTCGAGGACCTGATCGAGAAGGGCAAGAAGGCCGGCAACGAGGTCTCCAAGCAGGCCAACGAGAAGGGCGGCGAGGCGCTCAAGCAGGCCAAGCAACAAGGCAGCGAGGCACTCAACTCGGCCAAGCAGCAGGGCGAGTCCCTGCTGAGCTCCAGCCCCCAGATCAAGAAGTTCTTGGAGGAGAACTCCGACGCGTTGAAGAACGTGAGCATCTCCGAGGTCTTGGAGAAGGTCCAAGAAGCCGCCTCGTCTGGCGACATCAAGCCTCTTGAGGAGTACGTCAAGAAGTAAGTTCATCATATGGAATATCAATCTCATATGAGCATTACTGACTATGGTTTTGAAGGGTTGCTGGAAAGAAATGAAGAGAGAACACCGCATGACGCATTTTCCATCATCCATCATCCACCTCCCAATCATGAATGTAACATTAATGCCGCCGGTGTCGACGTCAGCGGACGAAGCTGGGGATAGACCGACATGGTCTCCAGGTTTAAGAACAAGAAGACCATCCCGCGCCCACAGAGCGCACTCCACGCGCCGGGTCGAGCACCGAGCATCGAAAAGTCCTTCTGCATTTTCAGCGCGTGTACATATTTCGATGAGACTATAATGACCAAACAATTAAAGAAATCATCACCGAGGGGAAAAGCTCATCGAAAGGCCCGTAAGCCAATCCAATCGGTTTATCGGTTGACACGATCAATCATCAAAAAGCGAACTCTCATTCCATTCCATTCCATTCTATCCGGCTCACTATAGAACCATCCATACTTGTTCCCCAATCTCCGCTGTTCCAGCCCTCCCCAAATCCTCTCTCAATTCTCCTCCCCATCCACCATCTCTCTAAGTGCTGTACGCCGCCACCAGGTTGCCCCAACTGCCGCCGTAGTGATCCGCGTCTCCAAAACTGGAGCCGTCGGGCAACCTCATGACCAGCTGGGTGTTGTGGGCGGTCAAGCCGTAGAACTTGGAGGCGTCCGGCACGCTGCTCATCACGTTCATGAAGTCTTGGGTGCCGCCGAAGATGTCGAAGTTCCAGCTGCCCGCGGCGTAGCTGTAGATGGCGCTGCTCTTGTTCTTGCTGAAGTACTGCGCCACGCTCTTGTAGCACGTCGGCCCGCGGTTGCCGCACCACGAGAAGTCCGGGTCGCTCGCCGTCAGGGCGTTGGCGTACGGCGCGGCCGGCCGCGGCCGGATCTGGTTGCCGTTCGAGTCCTGGCCCTGCTGGTAGTTGGTCTCGGACTGCAGCAGGCTGATGAAGACGTTGGCCGCGCGGTTGTAGCTGACCTGGTACAGCCAGAAGTGCTCGGCGCCCAGGCCCGCGAGCCAGGTGCCCTTGGTCGCCTCGACCAGGACGCCGCCCTTGGCCGCGATGTGGATGTCGTTGCCGCTGCCGTCGGACGGGTGGTCGGCGACCCACACCCACATGTTGTCGATGTACGCCGAGGAGGAGCTGCTAAGGTGCAGGCCCAGGTAGGCGGCTTGGCAGGAGGCGGCGTTGCCGCAGTTGATCTCCGTGTCCGGCAGGCCGCCGACGGTGATCAGCGAGTTGGAGATGGAGACGTCGCCGGGCTTGGAGCCCGCGAGGTTGACCTGCAGGATGATGGCGCCGGGGAGTTGCTGGCCGACGGTGAAGCGGATGTCTTGGATGTGGGCAGTGCCGGAGCTTCCCGGGGTTCCGATCTGCACGACGGGTTTGGGGTTGGATGCGTCGGTGAAGGCGCTGCCGTAGCCGCTGATGGTGGACCAGCCGTTGCCGACTAGCTCGGTCCCGGCGGGGATGGTGATGGTTTGGAGGGTGCGGTAGACGCCGTAGGGGAGGAAGGCGATTTTGCCTTGCTGGGCGGCGTAGTTGAGGGCGGATTGGAGGTTGGGCCCGTCGTTGGTGTTGCCGTCACCCTTGATCTTGACGCCGCCGTTTTGGTTGTAGTTCTTCAGGTTGATGACGTCCGACACGCGGGCTTCCTGGTATTGGTTGGCGGTGACGACGGGGTAGAAGCCATTGCCGGTGGTCAACGCTGAAGGGCGGTTCATGTTGACGGGCTGGTTGTTGGTCTGGTAGATTGGGTTCGCGCCGACCGTGTTGCCGTACACGTAGGTGTTGGTTTGGGTGCGGCCCGACACCTTGGTGGTACCGGCGACGACCACGACGGGGTTCTTCGAGGAGTCGGCGACAATGTTCTCGAGCATGAAGTTCGGGTACTTGTTCTTGCTGTTGAAGAAGGTTCCGGAGTTGGTGGTGGTACCGTCAACCACAGACACCCAGGCTCCGACACCGTCCTGAAGGACGATCGGGAAGCCGACGGTGTTGAAAGTCGGATGGAAGATGTTAATGGTATTTCCGCCCGTGATGGAGATACCAGTGGTGCATTTGTTGAATGCGAGGTTCTTGAGGGTGGCTTGCTGGGATCCATCATACTCAAGACCGATGTTACCGTAATTGAAAGTTACATCGCCGATCTGGATAGTCGAGCCTTGGCCGACAGTCATACCGGTGTGAGCACCCGATGGGAGGTTGATCACAACGTTGACCAGGCCAGAGTTCTGAGCGACCCTCCACGACAGAGCAGTAAATTGTCTCTGGCCAGAGTTGGCAGTAGTGTCGAGAATGACGTTCTTGATCATGGTGGAGAACTTGAGCTCGCCGCCACCATCGTTGTCGTTTTGGTCCTTGCCACCAGCGATGAGCTGACTGCCATCGAAGTTGGAAGAGGCACGGATCGTCGGTGGGTTGACAGCATCACCGATCAGGATCGTGTCCGTGTACAGGTACAAGGTGGAAGACAAGGTGTAGGTGCCGGGTGCAATGTAGATGACACGGGGCTGGGCAGCGAGATCGCCATTGGGTCGGTTGTTCGAAGCAATGGCGTTGGTCAGACCGTTCGCATCGCTGACGGATACGTAGACCGGATAGTTGTAGTTGTTGCCCAAGTTGGGATCATAGTTGGCCCAGTCCGAGTTCGAATAGTCGATGTTTGGGAACCACCACGAGGATGAAGAAGCTGCCGCAGCACGAGAATCGAGAGCAGAACTCGTAATGATGGTGTTGTTGACACCAGCGTCGCTTTCAATTGTCGAGGTCAAAGGCAAGGCTGTTGCAAGCCCGACCAGAAGCGCCAGCCTTCCAAGGATGGACATGATGAAAGTGGAAACTTCGTGATATCAAAAGCTTGCAGTGGGAGGAAGATGATCGAGAAGAGGTGCTCGTTCATTTCAATCCTTGGGAACAGATCTCGATATATATGGATGCGCGGATCATATGGTATCCTGATATCCTTCAATCGATATCGTCTTGCAGCTCTCGAGCTGACCAGATCTCGTACCATGACTCGAAGAACACGAGGTGATATTCGATATGAGGCATTTAAATCATCCTGTTTGAAGCAACATCCCGCGAAGGTGGTCTCATGATTGGTCACATTCTAGGGCTTGACCTCGTCTCGACGACTGAGAGGTGGAGTCTACAAGACACCATGATGAACCAGGCACTGCTCGTCGGTGCTGACCGCAAGACCGGTCAAGCTGTGATATAACGCTGGCCGAGTTCGGATATTGACAAATACTGATCGGTGAACAGCGCCGACCGGTGAAGATAGAGCTCGCCAGAATTAGGTAAAGATATCACGTCGCTGATCGGAAGGTAAACTTTATCCGTTCTTGACCGGGCTGAAGTTGTATCTTGAGAAGTCCCTTGCGTGATGCGGACGATGCAGAAGTGCTCTTCTAGTGCTTACTTTTCAATGGTCCGGAAAGAAAGTGTACGTCTTGGCTAGTCCAGGCACCCTACAGGTGATAGAGTGCATGTGTCTCTCCCCTGGTCGCCCGGCACGTATTGAGGGGTTCGAGGTTACGGCTGTGATAGCTGTCGGCTCCATAATCCAATCCCAAACTACAAACCTGCGCGCGATACAAATGTTTTGCTTGAGCTGAGTTCGTAGCGCAGAGCCGGTTCAAATGAAAGCTAGGCTAGTATGATCAGCTTGAGCAGCGCTTCCCTGCATAGTACACACGTGCGTCACGCTTGGATTCTATCCGATCAGCTACAGTCGATAAGCCTTCATCCTCAAAGCTTGGCGGGCTGGTTCAGAGAGGAAGGACCGTCGGTCTGCGAGCATAACGCTCAAGGCTGTTCCTTCAGCTCGCAGGATGAATGCGCTCGTCGACGCGGGAGGAGCTGTAGTAGAGGCTGCAAGATCTGCAGGAGCTGCAGGGACTGCACCATGACAGCAAGGAAATGTCGGCCTGGTGGGGAATGTGGTCCAAGTTCAGCCGCACGTCGTTGACATTAGCTATGTATTCCTGTAGATCAGATGTGGGCAGATGCTCGATTGGGAAAATTAGGCGCACGTGGGTAAATCCTGCTGAGAGACCTCGGAGCTCCTGACCAATCAAGTGAGAGGGCAGCAAATGAAGCCCTCCAGGGCTACCACCTTTGGTCAACTCGGACGAGGCTCTCCGATACAAGTAATTCCGAAAGGCAGGTGCAGTCTCGTATTAATTGTTGCATAACTGCACTCTGTTGGAGTCAAGGTATGACACCACGCAAATCGAAGCCTACTTCACGAGATGCGCCGCCTGCTCCCCTGTCACAACTCCGTCAAAAACCGGCCGAGGGGGTGTTCAGCCCTTGAGATGCATGCGTATTTTTCTGCACGATCAGCGACTACATTGCCAGGATCGTCGATGTAACGCTGACTTTTTGCTCGTCGGTCCTCATGATTTCGGTGATGAACTACGAGACGACATGCGGCGCAACACACCAGATGCAAGCTGAGAAGCCAGCTACTATATCGTCGGTTGCTCAAGATGAAGCTAGATGTTGAGATATCTCCCGCAAATGGCGTCGAGTCGTAGGATCGACTAAGGCGTCCTGTGGGCAGCCACCATGGTCGATGTGACATTGACCTGAAGCTCGTTGAGCTCACTACTACCGATTCCGAGCTGCTAGACGATATGCGAAGCAATGCACGGAATGTAAGCTGAGAAAATCGGTTGCGATATCGTCGGTCGCGAGAAATGAAGCTGGGCGTCGAGATATAAAAGCCAGCAGTGATCCCCTTGAGGTACAATGGAATCAAAATCAAATCACAGCACAGCACCAGCGGAACACATCTACCCCATCTTCTCGATCATCGCTATACTCCACAATGTTGTTCTCTAAGCTTAGCTCATTCCTGATCGCGGCCTTGCCATTGGCTTCCGCTGCAGTCATCAAGCGCAACAACAACTACAAGAATGTCCTTTATTGGGTAAGCACCTTGTTTGGACGTTGTCCAGTCATTGGAATGAATCTAACAACTTCCAGGGCCAAGGTAATGACTACCAGAAGAGCCTCGCCTCCTACTGCGCCTCCGGCTCTGGCGTTGACTTCATTGTCCTCGCATTCATTGACCACTTCGGCAATGGTGCCTACCCGAGCGGCCAGATTGGCGCTTGCAGCATCAACAGCGATCAAAGCTACTCTGATGAATGTGCCGATGTCGCCAAAGACATTCAGGCCTGCAAGAACAACGGAATCAAGGTCTTCCTCAGCATTGGTGGCTCTGGCGCTGACAGCACCTGGCACCTGAACGGCGACGGCGATGCCAAGGGAGTTGCCTACTCCCTTTGGCACAGCTATGCTAACCCAGCTTATGTTGACAAGGGCACCCCTCGCCCATTTGGCAACGTCTTCGTTGACGGCTGGGACATCGATCTCGAGTCGCAGGGTGGTGATGGTTCTCCCAACAGCTACAAGTATCTCGGTTCGCTCTTGAACAATCTTCGCGGCTACTTCTCCCGGGACTCATCGCACTCGTACTACATCGCCGGCGCTCCGCAATGCCCCATGCCCGAGGCCAACATGGGACTTTCCATGAACCAGGCCAAGTACGATTACCTCTGGATCCAATTCTACAACAACAACTGCGCCGCCAACGACCTGTTCAAGGACTCCAACCAGAACCCCAACGGTGCCGGATATTTCAACCTCAAGGACTGGCCCAAGTACCTCAGCAACGGTGCCTCCAAGAACGCCAAGCTGATTGTTGGCCTGCCCGGCGCTCCCGATGCTGCCGACAACTTTGACTACGTCCAACCGAAGAACCTCGCCTCGCTCGTTTCGCAGTCACAGAACGTCCCCAACTTTGCTGGTATTATGATTTACGACGCTGGCGCCATCAGTGAGAGCACTACCAATGGCAAGAACTATGCCCAGCTTGTCAAGGCTGCCCTCAACAACGCTTAAAGATGATACCAGACTGGTTCCCGAAATTATATCCCGAAGCTGGAAATTTGCCAAACGTGGAACATACAGCGCACGAGAGATGCGACAGAATTGTACCGTGCTTAGACGAGCTTGATCGATAAATAACAGTGTTTTCCTTCGCAAATGACATCGTTCTCTTTACTCATGAGTTATGTTCTAGCTGATACTAGGTCTTTACCTCGAAGTCGCCTCATTATGAATATCCGTGAATCGAGAGAAAAAATGCGGTGATGGAACAAGTGATTTCTTGGGAACCATACATTGACCCTAATAAACCTAAGGACCTCGGGAAACTCGAAGTCCACGAATTCAAAGCATCCGCTCGTCGAACACGCATTTTCTTCGCCTCCATCATTCATACCACAATCCATTGTAATCCAGATCAACGAATCTCGCAGTCTCAAACAGCCAGCATCATCGTAAATGGAAGTTGTCAGGTCTTGGACATGCTCGGCAAGGGAGCCCGCCCGCGTCGACGCTGACCGTAGACATGTCAAGGATCAAGGAGCGCTTAGAAAACGACGGTTAGAATCTGTCGCGAGCATCCGTGCAAGGCGTTGACGCGAAAAGGACTTACCATTTCCCTGGGTATCGCGGTAAAGGGACGCACTCTCGCACCGTGTAGCGCTTCAAAATCCAGGCCAGGAAACGTTCGAGGCCCATGCCGTAGCCGCCATGTGGAGAGATACCGTATCTATCAAGTTTCCATCAGCATCGAGACCTACCGCGGGCCCTCCAGACCTATTTACTTACTTTCGCTGGTCTGCATAAAACGCGTAAGCATCTAGATCCCACTTGTTCTGCAACATGACTTGTGTCAACTGCTCCAAGTTGTCCATACGCATTCCTGATCCGACCATTTCACCAACTCCGGGCACGAGACAGTCTACGCTTTCTGTGACCGTAGGATCATCTAGACATCGCTTCATGTAGAAAGCCTTGATGGGCACAGGGAAATGGGTCAACATGATCGGGACACCGATAGCATCCGTCATGGCTCGCTCAGCTGCTTCAGCGATATCATCTCCGAACTCATGAGGCTTATTCTCTCCCGTCAAGACGCCATGCTCGTTTAGCCATGTGATGGCCTCGCGATACTGCATACGCCTGAAGGGGCGCGCAGGTCGGGTGAAATCTGGGTTAAGAGTTTTGATGTAAGCCGCACTTTCTGGATCCGAGAGCAGAATATCGATGACACCGCAAAGCAGATCCTCGATATGCTGCAGAAGGTCCTCGAAGCTGATGAAATCCAGCTCGCTTTCGATGTGGGTATACTCGGAGAGATGACGACGAGTCTGGGAATTCTCTGCACGAAAGGACGATTGAATTGCGAAACAGTCTCACAAGACAGGAAGCTGAGTTTCGAGGTAAAGTTGTGCGGTCTGGGTTAAGTAGGCTTGTTGACCGTAGTAAGGCACAGTGAAAAGGGAACCACCGCCCTCGGCCTGTGTCTGGACGAAAGATGGTGCGTTATGCTCTCGGAAACCATTTTCTTTGTACCATTGACGGAAAGCGCCGAGTGTGCTCGCGCGTGCTTTCATTACCATGGCTTCAGCCGGACGTCGAAGCACGAGATGACGCAAGCTCGACAATTTCGCTTGGTCAGTATCGGAAGGGACGATACTGGAGAAGCTCTCCGGGCCGCCAGGCGCTTCTCCAATCACGTTATAATGGTCGACATGAAGCTCGCGGTTGTCAGGGGCATGGTTCTCCTCCGGCACGGCTTTCATTTCACCAAAGACCTCGATTGCAGCCTGCCTCTGAAGAATGATGGACGCCACGACATGGAATTCGCCGGTAAACATACAAGAAAGTATGCCGCGAGTATCACTCAGGTATACAAATGTCCTTGTCTTGGATACACGCATGTTCTCGATTCGACCAACAACTTTGACGCGCGTGCCAGTGGTGGTGTCCGTACAAAGTTTGATGTTGGAAGACTTCGTTGACGAAATCTTGAACTTGACTGGTTCTGGGAGGGAAGGATCGGGTGACAGGATGACACTCCTTGCTTCAGCAAGTCTCGTCAGCCGAACCTTCTCTTCTTCCAAATCTCGCTCACGCTTTTTGACGTACTCAGCGTGACGAGCGGTAGCTTTCTTGACTGCAGATTTAGCTGGAGCTTGACAATCTTGAGTTTGGTCCCCGCGAACTCGAATGATGAAGTTGACATTTTGTATCATCGGGGGAAACCGTAAGTAAGCCGCGAACAAACTCTGAAATGAATCATCCAAAGTGCCTCTGGTCTTGAGATCATCACTGCCCTCGATCTCATCGACATAAACACTAATAACATTCACACCAATGCCCTCGGCTATGATCTGAGGGAGCGGGAGCGACATGGTTGATAACGCGCTGCGTAAAACAAAATGTCTGTGCTAATAGGAAGAGGGGAGGAATTGGGAAGGGCAGGGAAGAGTAAATAACAGAAAAAGGGGTGAAGGGACGACAACCGAAGGCAAATATCTGTTTTCGTCATGACCAGGACATCTTATCGTCGCGTTGTACAAGCCCAGCCAGGTACATCCACAGAGCATGACTCATTTCCTGCCGGTGGATGGTCACCTCCCGAGGTTGGACGATTGTACAGACTATCCAGTCCTCCACTCCTCAATAGAGCATCATGTGAAGTCAGCAAAGAACAGAGAAGCATGTGACCCATTTTTCGGGCACTTGTGTGATGTGGCTGCAGATGATGATATCGAGCACGTCTCATCCCTCCGGGTTGAGCTGATGAGCACGCCTGATCAAGTGCCTCGATCGTTCTGTTCTAGATGACATGGGCGTACAGGTTGCTACTATTTCAAGTTTGAAGAGTATCCAGGTGCATAGCCTGCACATCGACCTCAATGACTAAGAATCAGCACTGGTGATAGTATTGAACCCATCGGAGTAAACCCCCGAACCATGGCGGCTGGATTTCCGGGTGTAAAAGACAGGAGGTAATCACGTGATACAGACCTGGAGAGCCTTAGTCATCAACTTCGCCACGCATTGGCCTTGCTGGATCTTAGATTGTTCACTGGGGGCAGGAAGTCGTCCTTTTTTTTAACATGCGCACCAAAATACTTCTCAAGTCCGGTCAGACTTGAGAAGTCTTCATCGCTGTCGAGTTTATATCGATGACCTGCGATTGGTCTTCGCTTCGCCTGGCTTTTCCGGTTTCCATGGTTAAGGACACCGCTCATTGAAGCCTCAGCTCTCCGAGATTCCACCTTGGTCGACAGCTACATCGGGATGACCGACGGGCGGACTTTGAAAAGCTCCTATCGCAATATCCTGCCAAGCGGTGCCATTTCCGCTCGATCCCGCAAAACACCCATAATGAATCTCATGTTTTAATTACCTCGCCCAAAACGGATTCGCGATGCTTTCGGTTGTGGTCGCGTCGAAGTCGTCATGATCTTTTCATCGTAACCAGCTCCTCTGGTTTTAAGGCCCTGCGTGACGAAAGGTAAAAGCATCTTTCGGCGCTCGCGACCGATGCGGGCACAAGCCCCCGTTCAAGTGCAGTGATTTACAGCCAGTCACAAGGGGTCCATCGGGTCAAAAAGCCCTGGAGTAACCAGCTCCTCTGGTTTTAAGGCCCTGCGTGACGAAAGGTAAAAGCATCTTTCGGCGCTCGCGACCGATGCGGGCACAAGCCCCCGTTCAAGTGCAGTGATTTACAGCCAGTCACAAGGGGTCCATCGGGTCAAAAAGCCCTGGAGGGTTGACGATTCAGGGCTCCAGGGCTGTCGACAATAAGGTTATTACTATGCACTGTCAAGCTCTACATGTCTAAAAGCTTAAAGTAAGCTCAGCGTCACGACTGCACGGGATAACAGCACCGCCCTAATACATTGGTTACATCCCGAAATATCATTTGCACACAGCTTTGCAGGATGAGTCAACGGACCATCAAGCGCTGACGGTCGACAGTGACCAATGCATCAAGCTTGTTCACAATGTGGATGCAAATGGCACTCGATCAGTAGAGTATTGCTGATCAGCTTGGCGACAGCGAAGCGGCTATAAAGAGGGATAGCACTGCCGGGACAAGCAATCCTCTTTCACAGCCTATCCTCGAAACCACGCAGGACACATTCGCCATGTTTCTCAAAAGTCTGCTTGCGATCCTTGCATTACGCACATCAAGTGCAACTGCCTTAGTGAACTTCACTTCCATTCGGTCGAACTTCAACTGGACAAGTGTAAGCATCTCGATATGGATCCCAACATTGGACGTCGGTCGCTGACAAGAAAATCCAAGATCACTCCGTCGCAGGACCTCCGTTACCATGATTGCGGAGGCGGTTTCCAGTGCGCTCGTCTTGAGCTCCCTCTCGATTGGAATGCTACGGTTGGTTCCGCCACGTATGGTGAGAAATATGCCATGGCCCTTGTGAAATTACCCGCGCAGATACCCATCACAGATCCACGATACGGTGGAGCTGTGCTTATCAACCCGGGAGGACCAGGAGCGTCTGGTACGCAATTGGCTGAAACTGCTGGCTCTTCGCTGCAGGGAATCCTTGATGCAGCCTACGCTTACAACAGCGAGACTTACGTCTCGCCACACCCAGACGCGCGTTACTTTGACATTGTTGGCTTCGATCCTCGTGCCGTTGGCCAAAGTACTCCTTACTTCGCTTGTCCTCTGGATCCTGTAGAGGTTTACAATCTCAACCTGCAGTACTGGGCTCAGTCCCTGGATTGGGAAGACAAATCGAATTTTGATCTGCTGTATTCTCAGAACGCTGCATGGCCCCGAGGGTGCGTCTGGGATCCTGCAAAAAACCCCAGTGGTTCCAAGATCGCGAATTTCTCCAGCACAGCTATGACCGCTCGCGATCTCGTCGAGTTTGCAGAGCGACACGGTCAGTGGCGTGAGAAGCAAATCGCGAACCTCACCAATTTGGAGCAGGCGACGAGTCAACGTCTTAGATGGAGGCACGGCGAAGAAGCAATCAACTATCTCGGTTACTCATACGGCACACTCCTAGGCGCCACACTTGCCGCTATGCAGCCTCACAGAGTGTCACGATTTCTGCTCACCGGCGTAACCCAAGCCGAAGAGTACTTCCAGGGTCTGACTACCTCAGATTTGGATGATGGAGATCGCATCGTCAACAAGTTCTTCGAGTATTGCGCTCTTGCTGGTCCGGAACGCTGCCCCTTGTGGGCCGGCAACCGTACCAGTGACACCGCGGCCTACTTCAAGCGCATTGTCGAGGATGTACGCAGCAATCCAATCATCGTAGCAGGCAGTGCCGATATCCAGGCAAATGTGATCACTGTAACGGACATCAATCTAATTCTTAGTGAGCTCTCATCGACGCCTCTTAAGCTCTTTCCGCTTATCGCATCACTCATCGCTCCTCTTGCCTCGCGAAACGGCACTGCCATAGCTGAATTCAAGCAACAATTAATAAATGTTGATGTTGGCCGACTGCCGTTATCATTGAATCCCGAAGATCCTTCGACGGCAACTCTCTTCACATATGCAGGTATTATGGACAGGCTTTCGGGCAATGCCATCGAGGGCGGGGATACGGCAAGACGCTACTCCAAGGCCGAATTTGTGCAAGAATTCTGGGCCCCGTTGCGGAAGACGACAAAATATCTTGCGGATGCTTATGCCACGATCTATCTCTATGTTGCTGTGTGGCCAGTCCGTCCCAAGTGGACCTTTGGGAATTACCACGCGATCGCTTCGAATGTCACCGCCAACCCGATCCTGTTTGCCAGTAGTGGAATCGATGGAGTCACCTCTCTCAAGTCTGCCAAATTCATGCACTCGCAATTCAAGAATTCCGGGCTTCTGATTTCTGATGGAGAGGGCCACACCATCATGTCAGAACCCAGCCTCTGTGTTGCAAGTGCAATGAGGTTTTATTTTCAGACCGGTAGAATCCCAGATACCAGCAAGCGCTGCCTACCTGTTGAGAGACCATTTCTGGGCCGGAGCGGACCGAATGTTGAGATTTTGGGCAATTTGAGTAGAGAAGATCAATTCCTCCTTGGAAAGGCCTCATCAGCAATATAGGAAGTGTAGGCCTCCGCGCGAATGCGCGATAGATTTTGGCCAAATTCGGGCATTGTCTTGCAAAACCAGAGACAGTCCATAGCATGCGAATGCTCGATAGCATGTCAGGGTTTCAGACGGGATCGTTCTTCCAGGACTTCAACGTTTCCTTTTGGGATTTATCGCGCGCGTTGTCGAAGAGAGAGTATGGTCGCTGCCAGGGTCGAACATGTTCCACTCTGTAAGACACTGAATACTAGACCGCACTCCGCCTGAGTTCATTGAATGACGACGGAGACGATGCGATGTCATTGTGTTCCAATTGCTCGAAGTCTGCCCTTGAACGGGCGTGTTGGGGCTTTTCGGCGCTTTCTTCTGAACGCCGGCGTTCGTTTCTCGAGCCAGAAGCCTAGATCAGCGCCACTCCTCGCTCACGCACGGATTGCAAAATGTATCATGGATCATTATGGCTCATAATGATCTCCCAATGCACTGCCCATCATCGCGAGCCTCGGTGTGTGATGTAATTCGAATGATTTTAATAAATAGTATGGAATCGTCTGGCCTGGAGAAATCCACACTGCAAGCTCTTTGACAATCATCACTCGGTCACTGCAAAATGAAGGGTCTCAGTGTCTTCCTGCTCGCTACCGCCGCAGCCGCGGCATCGCCGTCTGCACCAGCTGGCAAGACTTCGGCGCAAAAAGCTAGTGCAACGTCCAAGGCTACGACGGTGTCCAAGGCTGCATCGTCAGCGACCCCCGGAACGTGGACATTCTATTCCACCTTCACAGACGAGGTCACGTCTTCATCGACTTCCAAATATGGTCCCGTCACCGAAACCAGCTATGTTGTGGTTCCTACAACAACAACCATCACCAAATCCACTGGCTTGACCATTCACCCCGGAACCAAGACCATCACCGCCACTAAGAGATTCGGCGGAAGGGTTCACTATGTCGATCCGGCACCAGGTGCCTCGACTGCGCCCATCGTGACAGTTACTACCACGCCCTCTGGATTCACCCCAATTGCGTCCGAATTCGCGTACACCGCGAGCGTGAAGGTTAGCAAGGTCACGGTGACGACAACTTACGTCGAGACCGAGTACGAAGCGTCTACTGTGAGCGTAACCAGCACCTACACCGCAGTTCCCGACACCGTGACCAAGACGGTCTACACGACGACCGTCAGTGTTCCTACTACTCGTACCTTGACGAAGACCACAACCATCGTGACTCCAGTCACAACCACCCGTAGCACCTTCCCTACCCACCATGCCATCTGTAACGAGGACTCCGGAAACTACGTGAATCGCTACCCCTATGGCGTCCCGTTCGAGGCCCTCGCCTACTCCTCGCAAGAAAACGACGACTACGGCTCGGTCCACGCCCTCGACCGATCGGGAGTCTACTTCAACGAGACTTTCGCATTGGCGACCAAGGTCGACTGCTGCAACTACGCCATGACCAACCTCGCCGCGTTCGGATACTGGCAGCCGCAGGGCGACAACGGACCAAACAGCTGTTTGATCTTCAACGTCCGCGACGAAGCTCACTGCAAAGGAAGCGAGGTCAAGTACTCCCTGGTTCCCGTCGATAACATCAACCCCGATTCTACGCCGAGCGCATACTTTGCTTTGTAAGTCATTCTTTTCTTGGATCCGGCTCTCATCGAACCACTTGCGGGACATTTGCTGACCATGCGATTTTTCTTATAGCAATGGAAGGTGTGGACGCGTGACGCCCGACCGCCACAGCTTCGGTTGGTACCAGGAGGGCGGCTCGTACACGCCCGAGAACTAATCCGTCATGAGAGGCGATGACGGGTCTTGTCCATTGGAGGCACATATTCCTCTCTACGCAAGGCGTTACGATGAATCGTGCCCGTGGCTGGATATGCCAGGTGCTGTGTCGCCTTCACGCTGCCACGGTCGATACGAAAAAGAACGGCGCAGTTATGCCCTTCCTTGCAGGAGCACTCGGAGAGCTCTGCTAGGTGATCTATATATTCTTTTGTATAGAAATAGACTATCGTTCTTGTCGATCAATACCGTTCTGAGCGCCACATCAACTTGTTGTCCTAAAGTGTTCACTTTCCCTCGACCGGAACAACTAGATTGTGCCGGCTCTCACCATGAATCACCACCGCATCGAGGGGGCCTCAGATGGACTTTGTTACAGAATGGACCTACATGTCGGAAACCATAATTGTTCTCATGCAACGTGGACTTCAGCTAAACGGCGATACGGTCTGCATAGTCCCGTAACTTAATCATTGCTCACGATGCAAAGACAGGTCCAATGGCATGCGAGAAATCGCATTCGTGTTGATTTTTTAACCCTAAGGATAACCCCCGATCTTGGGACACGGGCGTCGTGCAGGGTCTAGCTACGTCATCTGCAGGCACAAATGTTGAAAGCGGGCAGGGAAACCGCCTCATTACACGTCCCACACGTGGCTACCACGATCTGTTTCCAGGGACAAACCGTTATACATCATGGCCGCCCTATTCTGCTGACCTACGTGCATATTTTACATCTAGCAACTTCCACATCATGGACCTCCTCCGCCAGATCGTGGCAGGGCCGCGAGCACGACACCCAGAAGCTGGCCTGGATCTGTGCTACGTCACCGACTCAATCATCGCGACATCAGGACCGAGCGGGACATACCCACAAGTCGCGTACCGCAATCCCTTGAAAGATCTCGTCAAGTTCCTCGACAGCAAGCATGGCGTGGAGTGGGCGATCTGGGAGTTCCGTGCAGAAGGCACCGGCTACCCAGATTCGGAGGTGTACAACCGCATTCGGCATTATCCATGGCCCGACCACCACCCTCCACCATTCGCGCTTGTCCCGCTGATCATGGCGTCGCTACGGAATTGGCTCAAGGAGGAGGGTGCGAAGGAGAAGAATAGAGTGGCCGTGGTACACTGCAAGGCTGGGAAAGGTCGCAGTGGTACTGTGAGCTGCAGCTACCTCATTAGCGAGGAAGGCTGGACACCAGAAGATGCCATGGCAAGATTTACGGAGAGGAGGATGCGGCCAGGATTCGGCGCAGGCATTAGCATACCGAGTCAGCTACGCTGGATCAGCTATGTGGATCGGTGGACCAAGCACGGCAAGCTATACGTAGACCGCCAGGTTGAGATTGTCGAGCTCCATGTGTGGGGTCTACGGGATGGCGTCAAGATTGCCATAGAAGGGTTTGTGGACGAGGGAAAGATCATCAAGGCGTTTCACACATTCTCGAAATCGGAGAGACAAGTCGTCAGAGGTTCTATCAACCAAGAGTCCGGATTCAGCGACGTGGCCACCGAGGTCATGTCGATCATGGGAGGAAAAAAGACCAAGGCTGCAGATGCAGAAGCCACGGTCAAGGAAGCAGAGAATATCTCGACCCAGGAGGAGCAGGTACAAGACGCTCAGCCTGGAGGAGACGTCGTTTTCAAGCCTTCGACTCGTGTGGTCTTGCCATCTAGCGATATCAATCTCGACTTCGAACGACGCAACACTTCAAAATACGGCGGCTTCACCATGGTCACCTCAGTCGCTCACGTTTGGTTCAACATTTTCTTCGAAGGCAACGGCCCCGAACAAAACGGCAAGGCCGACGACTCAGGGGTTTTCAGCATCGACTTTGACGCAATGGACGGAATCAAAGGAAGCAGCCGCAAAGGCACCAAATGCTTCGACCGAATCTCCCTCGTATGGAAAGCCGCAAAGCCTGAGATCAGAGTCATCACCGAACCGAAGCAAGGTGAACCGGTCCCGGAAGCCCGCCCAGCTGATTGGAAAGGAAATGACGAGCACTCCGAAGACTCCGAGAAGAAGCTCGGCATGCGTGCTGTGACCTCGGCGAGCGCAGATATTAGCCGCGCCGCCAGCCCCGTGGAGAGCAAGCCGGACGAAGATGAGCCGACGGGCCTCGACGCTGAAGGCGTGAAAAGCTCGGGACCCGCTGGCGAGAGTTTGACTCCCATCAGCACCAAATCTCCTGTCGACTCAAGCTCAATTCCACAAGATACCAATGCGCAGAGAAGCATTTTCGGTGCGATCGACGGTACCAGTGACACTCCATCGTCAGCACAATCGCAACTAGGCGCGACGTCCAACACGACTGTTTTGAAGACCGATGATCTTCCGGACCACAAAGGGCATCCCGTGGGAAGTATCTCCATCTTTCATAAAGATCACTCGAGCTCTTGAGACTTGATCAACGGGTAAAGGCATTTGCATTTTGGCTTGAGCGCGGCGTTTTGCGGAGAGTTTTCATAGCATGTGCTTGGCATGAGAAATACGAATTGATAAAAAGAACTTTCTGATATCCTGATACATCATGAGCTTTTTCCAAGCACACTCCCCCTGCTCTTACTCATCGGGTTGGACCGTCTCGAGGTCGATCGCTTGTCCAAGCTCTTTGCTGATCTGCTCTTCAATCTCTTCTCCGATCAATTGGGTCTTTTCCTGTCCAATATCTTGCTCGGGCTCCTTTCCGATCTCTTCTTCGATTTGCTGAATATATTCCTGTCCAACCTCTTGCTCAGGTTCGCCCCCGATCTCTCCTTCGACATGTTGGTCCTTTTCATTTTCGATATTTCGGATGAGCTCCCTCCCGATATCTCGCTCAATGGGTTGTTCAGGTTCCTCACTGATCTCATCTTCAGTCTCCTGTTCGGTCTCTTTTTCCACTCCTCCTTCAATGTCCAGCAGTTTCCGACTTATCATGTCCAGATCGTCGGCGCTGGTCACGGCGTTTGAAGGCTTTCCGCTGACGCACGCCCCATTTTCAAATCGACTCATAACCCGAACGTGTTTTGCCATGAACAAATCGTGGTTGCGGAAAAGTCCCTGCACGACTCTTTTCTCCTCGAGAAAATCGCACAGCGAGTGCCAGTTTTCGAGATCTTCCTTGAACCATACATCGTATTGTTTCTTGTGAGTGTATCCCAGTAGCTTCATATGCGATACGTCCCGGATTTGGGTACACGATGTCTCAATCTTTGAGAAGATCGCTGCCCACCCAAGATTTGTTGTCGAATCATCATAGTAAAGCCTCACCTTTGAGAACTTGATGCTTTTGAGACCGGCTCTGGTGGAGAACATAAGGCTGTGGAGGCCTTCGTAATGGATGTCAAGTCCACTGATGGTGAGTTGACAAAGATTCCTGAGCTTCACGGCCGTCCAGTCCATCTCGCATTGCAAGCCATCTCCTGCAACGAAGTCGAGCTTGAGTCTTTCTAACAAGGGCATGTACTGAATCGTCGTTGGGATGTGGCTGACGTTTGAAGGGGCAACGTCTTTGTCCCAAATCGCTTCTGATCGTCCTAAGCCCCTTGTGAACTTCAATGATAGAATCCAGATCTGGTTGTCGCCTTCAGCAGAGGCGATTTCGTTCAAATTCTCCTCACTGACGAAGAAGTCGCCAGCTAACAACCTTTCGGCTTCGAACATTTCCAATCGGGATCGGCAAGGGTCGAGGAGCAGCAAGGAACTGATTCCTCCACGCTTGCGAAGAGGCTTGGTGTCAATAATCTCCTTGGTCGCTCTGAAGGGCATTTCAATGTAGACTCTCCACAAGTTCGGGCATAGCGGAATCGTATCGGAGAACAGCGAACACACTTCTATGTTTGTGTAAGGTCGTTTAGAAGATGCTTGATCCGGCTGTGAGTGATCTGAAGAACATCAGCATCCCTTCGGTCCACAACCTGGGTAGATATATCCTACCATCAGTTAAGCTTTCCAAAGATAGGTCATTAGAGATCCATGACAAACGCTCGACCACCATGCGTGGAGAAGGATAATTTGACCCAGGAAGATCACTCAGGGAAAAAAACCACCGAAGTATCACGCCAATAACTTGAAACGAGGCAAAGAAAGATCAAAGAAAGAGACATTCGCATTATGAAGAGATATGGAAGAAACATCGTGCGATACCGTGGTGGCGTTGCACGTGAAGTCTGCGCTGCTTTGCAAGAATTCGACATGTGCTTGGATCGAGTCTGCTGAGCATGTGATGTTGTACACGACTGCTCCGGGAAAGTTGAACGATCGAGTGATGAGTAACTCTAGGAGTGATCAGTGAGTGGCTTGAATCGAACTTCATGATTGTGAGGCATCGGCGATAGCCCTCGCTTCTGTCGACGAACATCAATAAATTCGCACAGTGCTTACCATCTCGCGATATCGTGATCGCAAAAGCTGAAAATTCTACAGCTTCCGCAGTAATTCATGTTTTACCCAAGGTAAAAGAATTTCCATAGATCGAGAATCTCTCTGTGCGATTCTTGCAGCAGATCGAAGATGTCAGCCCATGCTTCGCGTCGACGGCGAAGCTATACGTTTCTAAGCTCCACTTCCTGCAACGACTGCGCGCCCGAGAGTAGGAAGCCTTGTAGAAATGTCGTGCAAGCATTCATGTTCTTGATTGAGAGGCGACGCAGATGACGGAGATTTAGGTCTTGTCATACGATTAAGTATTGACTGTCTCGAGGGCCCGAGAAGTCGAAGACCATCTCCCTGCTCACTGTCTCTGAGAGCGCATTTACGGATCTGGCCGGAAGTGCTGATGCCCGGGGTCATGCTCCGGGATGTTGAAGAGCGATGCAAGATCTACATTCGAAAATGAATGCGGGTACCATCGAGAAGCAATCATCAGGCGTACACCGTGCCAGCTTTCCTCATCCTGTGATCCCCATTCTATCAATTGGTCGGGCTCCCAACTCAAGGTGCTTTGAGGGGAGAAGCCATGATAGCCAAGCTGACGGATACGGAATATGCTGGGTCCACCCCGAATCGATTGTCTCTGCCTTATTTCATCGAAAATATGGGTCCATCTGTCGCGTACATTGCTCATATTGGTCCCATCGATCTGGAAAGCGATTCCAATGCGACGAAGTTCAATGGCGCGTAGTTGATGATAGTGGACCGCGAGGAAGTGCTGAAGGCTGGGGAAGTCGAAGCTGGTATTTTGAAGATGTATCGACTCGAGGTTCGGCAGGGAAATGGATTTCCAGTCGAAGGAGGATTGCTGCTCCGGAGCAATATCGCGGAAGCCGATTTTCAAATGGCGCAACATAGGAAAATGTCGCAGTACCCACGGGAAGTGTGAATTAGCCTGCGGACCAGGCCATCTTTCATGCCATTCGCGCGAGTCGTTGAAATCTAAGATCAGGGTCTCAATCGCGTTGTCTCACGGAGCGTTTCTCCCGCCGATCTGCCCAAGGGGTTGTCCCATTAAGAAATCGGCTATTATTGCAGCACAGACCTTGAGTTCTTTGACGCCGACATGGTATTTAATAATAAGAGGTAGAGAAAAGTGACTGTCATCCCTACATTCACGCATGAAACGAACGCAGCTCGCAACCTGAGCATAGAATGTTTCCACGGAATGAAGATTCGGACAGGTGAGTAGCAATTTCCCAACTGTCTGGCACATGCGGCGGTTGATCTCCAGCGGTTTTGGAAGGCCTTGATATGGATCATCGACATCGCCACCGAAAGCTTTTTGAAGATCAGCATTGCACGACATTTATAGAGCTGGGAAGTCTTTGGAGAGCGGACGTACGTCGCGTCCGATGATGACGATTTCCTGCCCAGCGTGCTCGCCAAGTCAGACGGCGAATGCATCTTCGGATGTAAGGATTCTGAGCCAAGAGATCAAGACATTCAGCTCTCTTTTGCCGCACATAGCAAATCGTGATATGTTCGGATATTAGAGCGATAACAACATTATAGAATTGCCGATCGACGTGTCGCAGTAATTTGACAGAATCTTGGTCGCAGTAGCTAGCGATCATTAGTATCAGCTCGGGCGGGAGGTACACGATGGAATGCCAAGGACTCGAGGTTCGGCGGTGTTTTGTGATGGCGAGTTCTCGAGATTCGAAGGAATCAATGAGGGCGGACGGACGGAGACACGCTCAACAACGGCAAATACCTGTAGGTCAATGTCAGAGAGCGATTCGTGCGGTGTATTTGTTTATGCTTTAGAAATCATTGATACGTGCATGAATTTGACTGTGCCGCATACGCACCACCTGGCCGCGGTGTCATCTTTGGGCAAAGCGCGACAACAGCCAGCGAAAATGCAGCCAGCGAAAATGAGCGCAATACGGCGTATAGGATAGACGACGGGACGAGGCTCATGCGAATTTTAATGACGTTAACTAATAGCGTGTATTAAGAGAGGCGCGCCCTCCAGTATTCCTCGCTGTCCGTTCTCGAGGCCTCATCTTCATTGCCATCGTCTTCGTCATCGGCATAGCCATTCACTTCTTGAATTGGCAAGACGCGTGGGAGTGAGACTATACGTGGCCGGATTATATCTTCCGGAAAGCTGTAAAAGATTTCAAAGTCGGTGGTGTCCATACCTCGCCGACATCGCTGGGAGATAATATCACCACAGATACGATACCAACTGAGCGTATCCTTGCCCACCCAGGTGTCCTTGCACCGATCTTTATCGCCGAGCATGACCGTTGGCCAAGACAGAGACCGACGTACTCCTCGGCACGGTTCCGGCCAGACTTGGTTGGGATCTTGCGCAAAGAAGGATTCTTGCTTTTTGTAACCGTGGTATCCAACCTTGCGCATTCTGAAGATGCTTGGCCCGCCTTTAATGCGTGGTAGGCCAGCTAGATCGTCTAGAAGCCTGGACCAACGGCTGAAGATGCTGACGTCGTTTGAGGATCCAACTGTATAAGCGATCCCGACGAAGGAGAGTTCGATCTTGTGCAAGCTATCGTAGTGCGTGAGCAGTAGATGCCGCATGCTAGATAGCTCAAAGCTCATATTACTTATATTTATAGCCTCGAGATATGGTAGATAGATGGATGTCCAGTCGAGGAGGGTCTGGTTGTAGTTCGGTTTCACCAGCTCAATGTTGAGATGCCGCAGGTGGGAAAATCGCTGAATGGAGTCAGTAAATTGTTGGAAGCATGGTCGATCGTGCGTGTCACCTGGTTGCGAATTCCAGGCATTCAAATCTTTATCCGAAGTACCCAAGTCCTCCATAGTGCAGTTTTGAGGCTGCAGTGATGCGGACGAATCGCGCCTTTGCAGCGTAATTCTTTTGAGTTGAGTGACCGGATCCGTCGTAAACGAACACGACGGCAGGATACCGTCGTAAAGCAGCGAATGGCTGTATCTTCCAGCAGACTCGCGGCCGATGATGTCCACGCGTTGAAAATTAGGACATTCGCGAACTATTCGGCCGACGGCACTGCCCAACCGTCGAGTAGGCTCATCAGATCCTCCAAGCCTTGCCCATAGGTGTAGCGAGCAGGAACAGACATTTTTCGCGCCCGCGACAGTGGTGATAATGGTTGTGGGTTGCCATGTCAATCTCTTGATGCGGTTTCGTATGCGTTCATTCTGAAGGATGAGTTCGAGCTGGTCAATCATCTCTTCAGTAATAGTGCGTAGTGTGATATGTTCAAATACTAACGAGATCACCACGTTGTCGAATTCGGGACCAATATATCGAAGAGACTTTAGGCTCTCAAAGTCGCAGTGTTTGGCGATCTGAAGTATTAATTCAGTCGGGAGATACATGCTTTGATGAACTTCAGCGGACGTGGCAGCGTCGTATTGTGTGTCGCGTCGAGACTTGGAGGAAAGGCGTGCAGTCGAGGATTGGGAGGGAGCAGAACATGTATGGAAACAGGATCAAGAAGGTTTTCTCTGCGCATGAATCAACACATCTGTAAAGGGACGCAGGTGACGATAAGACAGTTTTAGTGCTGATGAGTACGCGAGTCGTGATAATCTCTTGGTAAATAAGCTTTTCGAGTCACAATTGGCGGACCTAGGCGTTGCTGTGCCGCACCTGCATTGAGTTGAAGCTGGGCGACAGCATGACAAGATAGCACAACCAGATCTCGCATCATCTCATCTTCCATCTACATAATAAAGGCGTAAAACAAAATGCTATACGTAACAAATTTCTAGTCTTCACATAGCGCAAACCATTGTGCCTCTCAACCTGAATGCTCCACAATCTCGCTCACCAACTTCCCATTCTTCACAAACGTCCGGATTTGCTCTGGCAAAGGCACCTCCACGCCGTCATCTTCCTCATTCTCTTCGCTGGGCGGCAAAATTACATTCACCGAACTACACTTGCTTGTGAAGACTTCCGTGTCCAGACTGCTTTTTCCCAGGTAGATACTGGCACCATCGACTTGGTCCAGAAGAATAGTTGGAGCGCTGCCAGTGATCTGGATCGCGAAGTTGGGACTTTTGATGACGTCGACCGCTGATACAAGCGTGTCAACGAGCAGTTGAGTGCGTGGAGAGTTGTCAATGCTGAGAGCGTTTGCCTTTCCGCGCAATAGAATCGTGGTATTTTTGCAGCGTGAGATGAGAATGGATTGAGAGATGGTTACGTCGACCTCGATCGGTGCTGATGGCGAATCGAAGTGTTCGATCAGCCACTTATTTCCATCTAGCGTTTTGCTGCCCTCTTTCTTGGGGACTGAAGCGCTGCTTGCATGTCGCATGCTGCTAGGCTTTGGCTTCACCTGCGGTCCGGGCGACTTGCTTCGTGAAATGTCCCCCCGATCAGGAACAGTAGAGCCTGCTCGCAGCGATGGGTTTTTGTGAGTCATTTCGCTTTTGTCGACCTTGCGTAGACCAGCGGTAACATCGGAGCCGCGATTGAGCTGATCGAAAACTGCTCCCATGTCGCCTCCACTCTTGGCTTGAGATGCTGAAGGGAGCGGCGGTGGTGGCGGCGCATTGTCGAATTTTGGCAACGGCGGCGGCGGTGGTGGAGGTGCGCCTGATGCTGGTGGGGGTAGTGATGGACCTGCACCAGGCGTGCTGTCGACATCTCGCATCGCTTGTGCAGCATCGACGCCATTAGCATTCCACGTGACACCTGTGGGATAATGTTTCTTGATGTATGCCTGTAGAGCTTTGAGGAGGGCGTAGTAGGAGCGGACAAATTTGACGTGCGCTTGATCTCTGATAGAACAATTAGAACCTGATTGGACAACAGCCGTGCCAGAAATGACCCATGGACTTACCCATCCTTGAACGCCTTCAATACTCGGTTTCCGTACATCTCCGCACCACCAATGGTATCCCCAACGAAGTCTGCAGGTTTACCATCCATGAGTAACCATTGCAATGTGCTGATTCCCTCCGCAACCATAGCCAAATGCTCTTTCACTGGCGATCCTCGATTGCTGTCTTTGATGTCCGTGGCAGTCGTGAAATCCTGCTGCAGACCCTTCAACAAATCCGCGAACGTCTGCGACTGCATATCAGGCTTCTTCGCTTTTGTGGTGATGAGGAGAAATTTGCGTTGATCGGCGAAGCCCTTGGCGACTGCGGCGGATTGCTCAGCAAGAAGAGGATCGAGACCATTGCTTGCAGCTACAAATGTCTTGACTTCCGTCTCAATCAATTCGTCCATGTCCACGAGTGAGGACGGCAACGGAGCGACAACAGCGCGGGGTGTAGGTTGGCTGACGGTCTCTGATAACGTTGGGAGGTCGGGAGTACCGACAGCCTTTGCGCTGCCGGGCACGCTGGCAGGAAGCGCATTGTCGAAGCCATGTGTCGATGATGCGATGTCTTCCAGGCGAGATGTAGCAGCCTCGAGTCTATGAACGAGAAGTTTCAGCGGATTGTTCTGATCTACGACAGTTGGAGCTGGGCCTGTCGGATTGTAGTCGGACACTATCTCCATGGCGTGGCCCGCTGGATGATGGTGGACTGAACGAGGATCGGACTGATCTGATAGCATCTGCGGGAGTGCTGAAATTCGGTACTGACCTCTTGATCAAGGTGGTGAGATTATTCATCCCAAGTGCGGTTGCAGCCATCGTGACCTCTCTGTGTAATGTTTCCCAGCGGAAGGTATATCCGTGCTTCGTATGCAGGTACGCTTCCCCGTCTATTTTTGAGGAGTGTTTCCCTTCTTTCCCCAATATATTTCCAATGGTGAGGGTTGATGCTGTGTGAGCACAAGACAGATAGTTCGAGCTATGCGATGCTGAATGGGAGGTTTGCTGTCCAAAATTGTGGTTATGTTGATATTGTAGGATGTTGTGTTGATGTGCAGGCAACAAATGAGCTCCTGAAGCCTCGCGACGAACAACCTCCGTCATACCTTTTGTTTCGCGCCACGAGGGCACGCCCAATTACATAATCACCGCGGCCTTTCGATTCGTTGTTCTGGAAGCTGGGCTGGGAATCGTGTCAGCCACAATCTGTCCGCGCGCCAGCCACATTTACGCGCCACACATCGCTGACCACATGCATGATCGATCTAATAGCTGATAACGACATTCTGGGTGTCAATAATCCGATGCTTGTGATAGACTGAAAGTGAAGCGTATGTCGCACCTCTCAAGATGGCTGAGGAGAATACCCAAATTGAATTCTGCACTTTGGGAATGCTCATCATAGGTGAGCCGCAGCGAGGAGGCTCCGACCCCGAGCGATAATCTCACGACATTTATACAAATCAGATGAAATTCATCCGTCGCCAAATTCACCCGATCAAACAATTCAGAAAGACATCCTAGGCGGCGCGGGAACCTACTCAGCACTAGGCGCCCGACTGCTGAGTTCGAAGGCCCAAGAAGCCAAATCCATCGGCTGGATCATTGACGTCGGGTCCGACTTTCCTGAGAAAATTCGATCTACGATAGAATCATGGGGAACGACCGCCGTGTTTCGTAAGCGACCTGAAGGCGAGCTCACAACTCGAGGCTGGAACGGCTACAGCGGGAACGAAGTCCGAGCCTTCAAATATCTGACCGAAAAGAAACGGCTGACAGCGCGTGACTTGAGCCCTGCGCTTCTCAACGCCAAGAGCTTTCATTTTATCTGCGGAGGCGCGAGATGTCTCACGGAAGTCATGCAAATATTGGACCTTAGACGCGAAGAAAACGAGAAGAACAAGCAATCATCAGACCCCAATATCCCGAGCCCTCGTCCGCTGATCGTCTGGGAGCCTGTCCCTGATCTTTGCGTTCCGCTGGCGTTACCCGAGACATGTCGAGTGCTATGCATGATCGACGTGATCAGTCCCAATCACGCCGAACTTGGCGCTTTCTTCGAATACACTCATCCTGAAACCCACGTCGACCGCGAGACGGTGGAGGCGCACGCGCAGCAATTCATAGCGTGGGGAATCGGCCGGGACAAGAAAGGCGCGATCGTCGTTCGGTGCGGTGCGGAAGGTTGTTATGTACAAAACTCTGAAGTCAAGAGATGGTTGCCAGCGTATCACACGTCTGAAGATTCGTCTCACGCGAATGATGATGCAACAAACTCGAGCGGTAAAGTCGTCGACCCGACCGGTGGTGGTAATGGCTTCCTCGGGGGTCTCGCTGTGGGAATGGTGAGGAGCGGAGGAGATATTGTAGAAGCGGCGCTGTGGGGTAGTATTGCGGCGAGCTATTGCATCGAGCAGGTCGGGATGCCGGAATTGACGGCGGGGGCTGATAATGCGGAGCGATGGAACGGAACGGTGGTGCGCGAGAGGTTAGAGGAGTTCCGGAAACGAGTAGATCTCGGATAAGAGCTTCCAGACGAAAAAGCTGGAGTAGCAAGAAGAGCATTATCGCTGCATATTGAACTCTCAATATGAGCAACGGGTTCATTCTGTCCAAAGTTCCGTGTGCATCGCTTCGAACCGTGTAGTTGCTTGATGATGCAAACGCCCGCCTCCGAACGTCTAATCCAGCAATTTGCTTGACTAACCGAATAGATCACCGAATATTTTCGCAGAAAGTACTGATAGAAAAGTATTGCCTTGGAAAATTCCTTTGCTCTCCAATAATGAGATTATCATCGATTGCGTCTGCACATCTGATCCTCGAGTCCGAAAATTGAATCTCGTCGCGGAGTCAATGGTTGGCCATGCACGGGCACCGTGATCCAGCAATACTCTTACAATTTCGACATGTCCGAATCTCGCCGCGGCGTACAGAGTTGTCCAATAGTCGTGACTGTAATTGGAGTCGACCTTATGAGCCAATAGTAATTTGCATGTTTCGAGATGCCCTGCGCGGGCTGCGAGGAAAAGTCCCTTTCGCGTTTCTCCTAGATCTCGGCCATGACCCAGCATGACACGGACGGAGTTCGTATGTCCTTCCTCGCAAGCAAAGTCGAACGGCGTGAGCCCATAGAAGTCGTGTTGTCCCGGAGTTTCGTTCATAAAGCTCGGATCCGCTCCATGCTGCAAGAGTAATTGGCACATGTCTGCATGATCATGTGCCATCGCGAGAAAGAGGGGTGTTCTTCCGCTCGAGTTTGCTAGCGCCAGCATCTTGTCAATCATGCCTGCTACAGTGAGAGCGGCAATAATTGGCTGAGCGAGATCTACACGGCCCACCCAGGAGACATTATGTAGAGGAGTGTTACCTTGCCAGTCGAGATCATACAGATCTAGCCCTGCATCGGTGAGAAGCTGGAGAATCTTGACACCGTCTCCCGGGGACTTTGGTAGGCACGCGATCGTCGGGCAACGTCGATCATCGGTGCCCACGCTTAGCATGGTGGGCTTCGCACCAGCATGTAGCAGCATTCTTGCCACCTCGGTGTGACCGAGGCCGCAGGCCCAAGTCAAGGCGGTGACACCGGTAAAGTCTAGCATCTCAAGAAACGGTATGCCGCCCTCTTGGGGCTTTAACGTTGGAAGAGTGGCCAGGATCGCCGCCACTACGCCAGTCATGCCCTTCATACATGCTTGATGCAATAGTGTTTGGTCCGCGGCATCGACGAACGTGGTGTCAGCGCCCTTCTCAAGAAGCATTTTTGCAATTTGAGAGTGCCCGGCTAATATCGCACGTGATAGAGGCGAGTGGTTATGTCCGTTCTTTGCATTGATGTTGGCTCCGGCTGCGATCAGGATTCGGGTCTCGTTTTCGAATCCTAGGGAGCAGGCGACGTGTAGTGCCGATTCAAAGTTCTCGTCCTGGAGATTGAGAAGTGTGGGATCTGCGATGAGACAGGTCCTTATTTGCTGAATGTCCCTCAGCTTTATAGCTTGAACCAGTGTTGAGTTAATCGATTTGAGCTGCCCGGGTTCAGAAATAGAGTGATCAACTTGGTGTTCAAGCACAAACTCCAAAATCTCCGATAAGATATCCGAGCTAACTATACCCGAGTGCGCTGACGCGTATGCTTCCGATCTCTCAGACAACCCGGATCCGGGAGCCTCTGTCGAAACATTATCTCCAGGATGAGCACACGTCGACCTGATAGCGAGAGAGTCCTGCGGCGTGTCGCTAAAAGTCTCAGCGATACTGGTGGGCGTTGTGGTCGCGGGGAGACTAGCGTTCGAGGCTGTCTCCGTGCTATCTAACCAGTGTGAAACAGTATCTGACTTTGACGTTGACCAATGTGAGGTCGCCATTGCATTAGGCTCATATTTGCTTCGTACTTGAGATGTCCAGTTTTCTTTGATCTTTGAGAATCGTCAGAAAGTGTACCAACTTCACGATATCAAATTTGCTGCTTTCTTACATACCGCGAGGAGTTCAAGCTCCTTGTCAATGAGCATATTGGTCTGATCTTTCGGCACAAGGCTGTCCCTAATGATGTCTCGAATTATGGGATATTGACTGCCCTGAAATCTGTTCGTTATCTTGGCGATTTTGGAATGGTCAACATCTGCCGACCTGGTGGTTTCATTGCTCCTGCTTTCTATAGCAGAATTAAAGCTCACGAGAATGACTGGCGGACCATTTCGGAGCCACCGCTGTTGGCTGTTCTGTAAATTTGGATCGGCGTCAGCGCTGAATGTTGTCCGCTGAACTTCTAAATATATCTACTCACGTCGAAAGTCACAGTCGGTGTCGGCACGGTTTCATATACACTTAGTATGTGCATCTTGCTTGAAGCTATGCGAAATCTGTTGTGCAGATCTTTCAGCGTTGTTGAATTTTCCGCAAGCTCACCAACGAGTTGTTCCGGAGGCTGATCCATGATCATTGTGCGAAGCGCCTCAATATTCATGCCGCGATGTGGTGTTCCGAGAAAAATTATAGATCGTACAGGTAGACGAATTTCGCTGTAGATGCGCGATGAGAGAGAATTCAAAGATGTGTCGCTGCTGAGGAGGCGTACCGTTCGTCTCTGGCTTGTAGAATTGCCTATCGCCAATCAGAAGAAGACCAAGATGACGGCTGGAGGTGGGACTTCTCACCATTTTGATCAATAAGCCCCCGAGGCTGTGTCCAATAAAGATTATTGGACTACACCATGTCAGCAAGTTTATAAGTCACGCGTTTTTACATGCTGTCAAATTACCGTTCATCATCCTGCGATTCGATCAGCAAAAGGGACGATCATCTGTCGGGTCGCGAAGGAGCGTACTTTTCGGTGAATGCCCAACAAGCTTGTCAGGAGATCTCCGGCCAAATCTCTCAAGGTTGATACAGAGAGTTGTGGCCCTGTCAGTCTGCTCGTGTTTCCGTAAGTGAGGACGCGAGCGGTAGGCATGTCGTCTGGGATGAAGTCGCGAAGCCACATCTTCCCATTCGATGAAGACCATGATCCGATTGCATGACCAGCGAGGCCGGTCACAGCGATGATGCTTGGATGTCATCAGACGGCCAGTCCACCGTGAACGTCATGCCAAAGACACTTACTCTGCATCGTACTCGCCTGATTTAGGCCAGTACAAAGGTGTGAAGCCTCGGAAATCGCGATCAATGTATAACTCGTCACGAACTTCCTTCCGTAGTCGAGGGACGTGGTCCAATTCACCGATGCTATGCCTGTACTCGACCGTGGCGCATTGACGATGGCGCGGTCTGTCAAGACTAGGGACAATCGTCTTAATAATTATGCGTGTACGCTCGGCCTCCTCAAAATAGTCCTTCAAATCATCTGTTGTGACACCGGCCGGGATGCCATCAATTCTCCACACCAGGGACTTGAGTTCGGCCATGTCTGAACGAGCGCATGGCCGCGATGAATGCGCGTCGCAGGACAGACAGAAGAAGTAGGGTCGTACTTGTACTTTCCAGCCTGTCTTTCTGAATTGAGAACGGCCAGTGAAAATATAGAAAAGTCCTGGATGCGTCGCATTCACGTATGACAGTCTACACTTCTCTCATCGCACTCGAAATGAGAGCGCGGCCTGAAGCTCTTACGGGCGGCCTCTTCGCCGGAAGAGTATGCTGGTCAAGCCACACCCGCCAGGCTAATGATCTCGAACCCATAAACCGTCCATAACTGCAGCTGCACGAAAGCCTCGCCGATCGATTGCATGTATTGTCATATCGCCGCGACCGGAAATCAATAGGTCCTGACCAATAGTAAGAACAAACATAATATAGATGAAAGACAGATTCCGTGCGGGTCATTTCTAGACAGGAGGTGTTCCCTCCGATCAAGGCCGGGCGGGGAGCCGCTCTGAATTGCAGTCACTATATTGATGCAGATTGACGGGGGTCCATCAATATCTATGGATGCCCGTGTTGATTTGCCCCATTGCAAAATTGTCACTAATGTCTATCCCCGTGTCCCGAGACGCACTGTATACCGAGACAGGATGAAAGGGCCGCCACATTTCGTGGCTGCGCGTGCGAATTAGTCATGCTTGACTGAGGCATCATAGCCGACACTGCTTATGCCTCAGGCATAGTAGGCAGCGTCAAGCCATGTATCAATCAAGCTATGCGCTGATAGTTTCCGCATGATCGCATTAAGTTAACTTACAACTTGAGCGAATCCAAACAGAACTGTCTACACTACTCAACTTGGATTGCTAGAAGCTTCTACAGTCACATGCATAGCCTTTAAAAGTCTCTTTCTCCCATGCACCTATCTTAAAGAGAAATCCGAATGGAAAAAGAAGGAAGCGTATAGCCGCCACCTAGCTCCCAAGGCAGAGCACGCTACGGTTTTCTTATTTGAACGAGACACGGCCTGCGCGAGAGCTAAAGGATTTGAAACACTTCAACTGACTCAAGTTCGTATAATGTGCAATAAAGTTAATGAGACATATCGCGCATCTTGATCAGATAGGGTCTTGACCGGTAAGTTGTTTAGATGAACGGGTGGTATAGTGCGGGCTGGTCCCAGGCCATTAGCATCCAATGTTCATTGTCTTCTACATCTTCCTTTGCGCGTTCGACCGCTGCTGATGCGTTGCGCGGCGCTGCGTTGACCCTATGCTCAAAGATGAAGCTCATGCGCCCAGAGTCACCGCCACAGACCAAGACCTGACCATGCGCCTGGTATCGCCCTCGATAGGTCTTCGGAATCCAGAGGTATCGTTGCCCCAGATATAGAACCCACTCACGGGACTCGTCCACAGTGAATGTTGAAGCGCTTTCAGGCGAACATAGTGACAACGTCACGGTCGGTACATCGATACCCTCAGAACTTTTTGTACCGAGGTCATGATAGGCCTTCGAGCTAGCACTGAGAGCTATCTTTTCACCCTCGATCCAGATATAAGCTCCATTGGCGTCAAACTCCATACGTGGAAAGAAGCCGCTGCATTTCCGCACAAATAGCGTCACTCCGGTCCTCGTATCCCATAGCCGCACGGTGCGATCGCCCGACGCCGACGCCACTTGCGACCCGTCGCTCGAGAACACCACGCTGCCGACCCCCCCGGTGTGGCCTTCCAGCGTCTGCTGGCATGCTCCGGTCTTCGCGTCCCATAGCCGCACGGTGCCATCGCCCGACGCCGACGCCACTTGCGACCCGTCGCTCGAGAACACCACGCTGCCGACCCCCCCGGTGTGGCCTTCCAGCGTCTGCTGGCATGCTCCGGTCTTCGCGTCCCATAGCCGCACGGTGCCATCGCCCGACGCCGACGCCACTTGCGACCCGTCGCTCGAGAACACCACGCTGCCGACCCCGCCGGTGTGGCCTTCCAGCGTCTGCTGGCATGCATCCCACTGTTGTGGTAAATTCGTGACGACATGTGGCGAATACGATTCCTCTCGCTCAAATCTTTGGCGAACGAGGCTCTCCGAAGGGCTGAATTGTAAAGCTGCAAAATACACTTGAAGTGGAGCACGTTCGATGATATCTCGATATGCAAGCAAGAAACGGCGTCCATCTTCTAGATAGTCGTTGGTAGATGGTGTAGCTAGCGCCTAGACCAAGTTAGCGCTTTTCAATGGAAACACGGTCACAGCTTGGTGATAAGCGCAGTCCGACATACTGACCTTTAATTTGCTCTGCAGGGATGCCGACTGACGGATTGAGTCTGCTACAGCGCCAATCAAGCTCATGGCTTCCACCCAATGGAGCAAGTGTTGAGACACGAAGTCATATATAGAACCCACATCATCAATCTGGAGGTCTGCAAGGCTAGCGTGTCGCATCCAGAAGCGGCATGCATACGATAATGAGGGAGAAAGAGCAGCGTTCAGAGTGTCCTTCAAGATTTCTTCGACACCCATTCCAGGAAATGTTAAACCGCACAGGTTGCGTCTCAAACTAGTAGTCATTAGTTTCAGGCAACAGTGTAGCAGCTGGCGATGCGTCTCTGCCTCTGAAACCCAGAGTTTAGGGTTCCTTCCAGCACGCTCCGGATGGACCAGATAATCTCGAAAGGATTGATGAATGATGCTGACGGGTCGATCGGACGCGGTAGAAAGGGTGAATACAGATTGTAAATGAGATAGGACAGGCTCAGCTCGTGCCTTGTCGTCATTCGAGAGGAAGAGAAGCCTCTCTATTTCGCCCATTCCTAGAGGAGTGAACAGCAGAACAGTACAGCCAACCACGTGCTGTTGCTCTTTGAGATACCGGTCACAGACTTCTGGGGACAATCCGCGCATAGAAAGGGTTAAGACACACTCGTACATGAAGTCCAGTGGTTCATAGGCTGCAGCACCTGGCTGATTTTCGCCACAAAGATCGATGAGTCGGCGACAGGGATCCTCGCGCCGGTCGACATCAATATAACGACAGACCGTCTCCACAAAGATGAACAGGCCATCCGCCTTCTGCGCCACCGCGTGTATTTGCTCCTTGGTTGGCCACTCGGCAGGTAGCTGACGTTCGCGCTGAATTCTTCGCAGACGGTATTCAAGATATCTTATAATGTCTTGCTTCACATCGGCCACGCCTTGCAACGACAATTCCCGCTTGAGCACAGACGGTAAGTGCGCAAAGTCCGCGACAAGATCCGGTTCCTCTCGACTGGTCAGGAAGATGCGCACGCGTAAATCAGAGAGATCGACAGTATTGCTAATAAGGTGAAGCACAGAGCGGAGATCGCCCTGATTCTCACACTCGTCCAAAGCATCTAGGACGATGACGAGGGTGGGCATCCGCGACGCTAGCTGTCTCCGTTTCTTTAACGGTCCGAGAATAAGTCGCTCATATTGCTTTGCCAATTCGGCAGACTTTCCTAGCAATGGAAATGCGAGTAATGCCTCTCCTAACGCTTCGCAATACTCCGTGTCACGATGCGCCAACTGGAAGGCCAGAGTCGACAGCATTTTAGTGATTGATGACAGCTCGTGATGATTGCGTCGAAAGAAGAAGCTTGCCACGCTATGGCCCTGATTGTGGAGCAGTTCCGCCACCGTCCGGGCGATGGTGCTCTTACCTGTGCCTGCCCAGCCGCGAAGCCAGAAGATCGGGGGCGCATCCGGTGCTTCTGCCCACTCTTGTACTGATCTCAAGAGCTCGACGCGCGTTCCCTGATGGCATCCACGGTGGGTATCACAATCTTCTGGCGCAGAGTAGTATTCAGCTCCCTCGACGACATCCAGTTGCCTTGAAACACGACCAACACGAGCAGTGTGTGCGTCCGCTTTTGTCGAAGATTTGTCCAGTTCCTCCTCTAGCTTCTCGCAAGCCAGGTCTTGTTCTTGAATGGTCTTTTGCATGGCAGCCCAGTCATCTGCCGTAAAGACATCTCGTGCGTATTGGTGAACATGAGACCGTGCAAATTGGCAGACAGCCTTCATTTGCAGTTGCAGTACTGATTGATAGAGATCCAATATGCGATCTCGCAGTCGGTCTCGTAGTTCATGCTCTTTGTGCACAGCGTGAAGGCGTAGTTGATTTTCTTTCGCACGATACCGACAGATGATATCGAAAGCAAGATTCATGATGGCGATGACGTTGAGATGCTGCTGAGGGGGCTGAAGTAAGGCCTAGGAAGCAATATGATCAGTATGAGAAAGTCTTGGGGAATATAGCAACATTACTGGAAGGAGTAGGCTCAGCGCTGTCCAAGCCGCAGCTGCATGAGGCTCTAGACTCGCAACCGGAGTCACGAAATCCCTCAATCCATTTACGACCGCCACAACATCTTGCAATTTTGACGGCTTTCGATGATCCCGCTCGAAAGCCTCGAGCTGAACTTTGACCGTCGCTCGAAGGACTTCATACTGTGGTTTCGCAGGACTCGTGTCGTGTTTCGACTTGCGTGTTGGAAGATGGATGTCGCCAGATCGCCGGCTTTTCTCTAACGCCTTGGCATATTTTTCTCCCTTCAGAACGGTAGTTAATTTCTATCCGACTGTCGCTCATATTGACGAGCGAATGTACACACCAAGGCTTTATCATCAATCACGACTTGCTGATACGCCTGATACCAAAGGTCGTCTCCTTCATTAGCTGATAAGGATCCGCTTACAGTACCATCAGCGGGAAGAGTAGTATCCTTATTGGCGCGCCGGTCTTTTCTGAATAGTCGAGACATCATGGTATCGCGGAGCGCGTCGTATCGCAGAGCGCGTCGCAGAGCGCGTCGTAGAGCGTGTCGAACTCGCCGTATGGGAAGTGGAGAAGGATGTTTGAATGTGGAGCTCAACATTTCAGCTCAGCCAGCTCAGCCAGGTGGCCTGATTGAGGGATGGAGACATGCAAGTCGTGACTCGCTGCATGCAGCCGTGCTGACTGATCGACCCATCTCGCTTTCTAAGACTGCTACAATTCTTGAACTTCTTTGGATGGCTAAAGAGGCCGTTTGGAGAGTAGTTGGTCGAGATGCTCACTTATTGTGCTGGTGTAGAAGTTGCGTCAGGAAACAAACTTAATGCCCCAAAGTCATGCGCCACGTGTGGCGCATTCCCGACTTTTCAGCCACGTCGCTTTGTTAACCAAATTCATTGTCTTGCGTTTAAGGCTTCATACTGCTACAACGCGCGGTTAGAATAAGGTTTGAATTGTACGACTTGCTCTCTGATCAACAGACTTATTCACACATTTATCTTTGGTCCAACAGTTGAAGAATATGAATGTACAGGAATGCGCAAAATATGCGCCACATTTAGCCACAGCAGTTCTTACACCGACATTACGCTACAATATAGTTGAAAAGGTACGAATTTCTAGAACAATAGGCACCTAGATTCAGTTTTTAATACGTAATTGCCGATTCTGTATGAGACACGAATTGCGCGATAATACGAAGCAATTTCGAAGAGGTGTCTTGTGTCGCAGTGCGTCTCGGGACACAGGGATGGACGTTAATCAGCTTGATTTTACGACCTTGGTACCTAGGTATTTTGGGATGTTAGGGTTGGGTTATCATTCTTCGTTTTCGGGATAAGAGCAACGGGGTTGCTACACAGAAGAGCGACCGACCCGGATGACTTGAATAAAATGCCGTATGGAGAAATGAGAAGGGAAAGGGAAATGCTACTCTACACAAGAGCTTTCAACGCCACACCCACAGAATGAAATTTGGATCCATATACTCCATCACCCCATCCCAGAGGCCACTCGGAAAAAGAGTCGATTACATTTTCTCACGCGCCAACAAGGTTATTATGATGCTGCAAATGCGCCTCATCCTCATCGTCGCTCTCCTCGCGCGCCTCCCTCTCATCGACCTGAGACCAACTATCCGTAGGAGTCGCCACACCATCGCCGTCCTCGGACAACATGTCGATGTCGGTGATGTCTTCGACGTCGACGACTTCTGCTGCTGAGCCGTTCACGCTGGGAGCGGTAGCGGGCGTTGGTTTTGGTAGAGTTGTGGAAGCGAGGGTCTCGGTGTCGTCGGCCATGTCGACGGGGTGGAAGCCGAGGGAGTGTTGGGACGGAGGGGATGTGGGGGCGCGTGTTCCATCTGCGGCGGGAGCATCGGCGTCGAGATCAGTCATGGCAGAGACGGAGGCGAAGATTTTGGAGTTGTTGGCCGTCTCTTCTTTGTTGTTGGTGGTTTGATCTGCAGGTCGAGAGAGGGGCCCGTGGTGGCCGTAGATCTCGCCCAGCTGCTGTGATAAAGAGGGGACGGAGTGGAACATCTCGGACGCTGTCTCGGAAGATGGACCTGATGCAGCGGCCAAAGTGCGACCGACAGCATCGTAAGGTGGATTCGCCGCGGTCAACGAAGCGAGATGTGCTTGTGTTAGTTGGGGTGTGATCTGGTAGAGATCGTCGGAAGTGAAGGACGCCTGAGTCTCAGCTGAAGGCGAGAGCGTGCGCGACCTTGACTGAGCGTCGTTGGGGCCCCCTACTGTGGTTTGTCCGGTGGGTATTTGCTGTAGGCCGAATGCCGGAAATGCTGCGCCCGGATTCCGAATACGTTCGCCCATTTGAGACAATCCCTGAGAAGAGCTGTCCGGTCGGAAGGCAGAGCTCCAGTATGGTCGTGTCGGAATAGGTGCCACAGGCTGTGTTGAACCAGACAGGTCAATGAGTGGGTTCTGGGCAGAGGATCCTTGTTGACGGGCCATCTCCTTCAGGCTGGCCGCGACAGCGGCATGGAATTCGGCATCTTCTGCGGAACCTTCCACTTCCCGACTCGACGCAGATGCAAGCTGGCTCTCTTGCTCGGAAATTGAGAGAGCAATAGCGAGTTGCTCTTCATATGTGAGATCGTTGTCATGTACAGGCTCATTCGTGGGAGTTGCAGCAATAGGTCGCGGTGTCAACTCACGCGGTACGGAGACTTCTGGGTCGGGCACCTCGCTCACGGCAACCTTCGGCGGCACCGTCGGAGGACGAGGAGTCACACTGCGATCAAGCTCAAACTCGTCGCCGAACGGGTTGGCAAACGCTGATCCCATCTGCCATCCGCGTGAAGCCACGGGTCCCGAGGGCCCCGCGGCAACGGGCAATTCGAGCTGTCGTTCAACTTCCCGCGCGCCATCTCTGATTTCCTCCGGCAGCTGTTCCGTAGTCACAGGCACGGCATTCGTTATTCCTGCTTGATCCACCCTCAGACTTCCGTCGTCGTCAACAAGTGCATCAAAAGATGCAGTACGTGCAATAGACGGCGGTCTATCGATCGAAGCAGTCGAGCGCCGTTGTTGTAATTCAAACATTTGTTGTTCCCGTTGCATGAGGTATGCCTGGCCCAGTCTTCGCCGTTCCTCTACGGCATTGGGATCTACCGGTCCGCTAATTGAAATTCTTCGAATCGTGCTTGGATTTGAGAGGTTACGGCCCGTTGCAACAGCAGCCGCCTCGATGCTTGCATTTGCCTCTCGTCGAATACCTTCATCGTTTGCGGGTGTGCGGCCCTCGAATGCGAAAGCTTCGGCCGCTCGTCTACTCTCAGGATCGAGATCTGCTCCGACCGTACGGAGAAGCTCGATGATCTTTTTTCGTTGTTGCTCAAGCCATTCCTGGACTTGCGGGTTCTCCATCACCACCATACCCAGGGCGGCGATGATACCGATGGAAAGGAGAATTCCTGACAATGATATAGTCAGTCATGGTTGCTCCACCGTGAATATGTAAAATATGCTTTATGTTTGAAGCGTAGAAGTCGCATCGTGCATATCGATCTGAAGCACACGACATGAACTGTGGCGGGTGGCGAGGGCTTACCTTTGGCGACAGCCGCAGCAGCAGGCATCTTGACGTCTTATTCCTCGTCTGTTGAAAACGATGGTGTGAATGTTGCTCTCTCGAGGCTTGCGGCAGCTGTACTCAAATTCAAAAATGGCCTTCGACCTGCAACGATCAAAAAAGAGGACGACAAGAAGGACCGGATATAACAAGATAAGAGGAGTAGTGTAGGCTGCAGCATAAAACAGGGACGTCGATCCCCGGTTTTGGTAGAACGCCTGCGCCACAGTTTGCGGGGACGAAACTACTGGTTTGTCACATGCGTGTGCCTTGTTTTGCCACAGCGGAAAACATTCATATGCGTGGACCGTCCCAGATCTGGTACGTGGATGATACAGCGATAAGCGGCGCGGTCCGGCGGCTCAGTCATGCATCTCAGTGTTCATGAGCACAGGGAAATGCGCGCGAATTGCTTCGAGGCATTCTTTGGAAGAAATCGACCGCATGAGTGCAGATTCTTTGCCTTCACTTCAGGACTACCGCGCGATGAAAGTTTACCTGGAGCGGCCTGGAATTCAGCTTCCTCTACGTAACATCACTCGAGCGTCATCGTCTATGGATTTTCAGCATTCAATGGTCATCTGCGAGCGCATCCGAATTTCCGTGGCACGTCGTTGTTCGGCATCGCTACGACACGTGATTCGTCGAGGGGCGAAAATGATAACGGCCAGTGTACGAGCATTGACATAGCACGATCATCGCCTGTAAAGTTGGATTTGTCGGTAGGCCGCCGCGGCGACGGAGCCGAGAGCTTGTCTGCGGGTTTCGGCGACGATGATTTGCGGCTGGCCGAGATGCGTCGCATATCGCTGCCTCGGGTGACTCTTCGTCGGTGCGGCGATGCGGTGTTTCATTCGAACGAGTGTCCTGTACTCTTGACTTCGGAACGACATCTGCTTTGCCTTCCCCTCAGATCGTGTCGCGCATCTGAGCCTCTCAAGGGGTAGATTCTCTTGACGTCCTTCATGAACCGCCCCGTCCGCGACCGCCACGGCCGCCTCTTCCTCCACGGTTCATACCTCGCCCGCCTCCCCGATCGCCTCTTCCTCCGTGGTGATCTCCACGTCCACCCATTCCACCCCGCGCGCCACCAGAGTTGCCTTGTTGATTTTGCTGTTGTCTTTGCTGTTGCTGCTGTGCCTGCTGCTCCTTGACTTTATCCACGACGTTGTCTGGTACGCGAAGGTATTTGATCTGCGAGTCACGTCGATGTCAGTGACTGTCTGTTTCAAGTTGACACGTCTGCGATCTCCCTGTGCGCCCTTGTCTTTCCGCTTTGACCACTCACATTGTTCCCTCGCACGTAGCATTCCGGTACGCGAAAGAATTTGTCGCCGTCTGCTGACGTCTGTACGACCTCCTTCAAAGTGAGGTTCATGTAAGTGTCGCATGCAACCAGGTGGCCGTTCAGAGTTTCGCCGTTTTTGAGTTCGACCAGCATTGCCGAGCCTTGTGCGGCATTGAGGAGACTTAGCGGAAGCTAGACAGGACGAGAGTTAGGAATCGAGCGTTGTGAATCAAGACGTAGATCTAGTGCCTAGGCGTTGTACTTACCATTGCGCGAATAAGAATGTGGAGGGAAGTTAGTGGGTGGCAGTGAGGTTCGACAAGATATGCTCGTCGGCGCGCGACAATGAACAGCGAGACCAGCAAATCGTCTTGGTCGCTCAAGGAAGGGGAAGGAATTGCTCGCTGTAAACAAATGAATACACACGCGACGTAACGGAAGATAATGATGAATCTTGAAATACCTGCAACATGACAATTCTGGAGCTGGACACTGACGTCGGAGAGCGGTTTCAGAGCCTCAGGCATTACATTCACGCTGAGTCAAGCTTCTTGTCCCAAATACCTACTCACCTGCTACTGCAGCCCTGAGAGAACAGAACAGGGCTAGCCCACGGACGCACGCTTCTTTTGGGCCGGTCAGCTTTATTTGTGCGCCCGCTGTGGAAAGCCGCGTGGAACCCGTCTGCATGGACTGAATTGTTTTGCTTGGTGCAATATCAATCCACCCAGCGCGACTGAGAACCGCGTGCAGAGCACCCTACTGAGTTATGTACACTAATGACGCTTCATTCGGTGAATTCAACGAAGAACAATTCCATGATGTAGTTATAACACCGCGGTGATCTATAGGTATCCCTGTGTGTGGAGGACCGCCGGGAGAGCGAGAAATAGAGGCCACCTCTCAGGCTTCGTCTCCTCGCCTGATGGCGTCTGATGTATTGGTTTTCTCCCCACACTAGAGCGGCGGAAATCCTCCCGGTCTGACATACAGCACATTTTGGCGGAACTTTGGAAGCCCTCACTGGCCCTCCACCTGGAAAGCTCTAGGCACCGACATAACTCGCTGCGCCTCATCCAGTCACGGTCCATGGCTTCATGCAGCGACTGTCACTCCCGGAGAGTATCTGTAGCGATTCGTCCCTCTTTCGAACCACGATACCTACGTCTTCCAATGTTGTCATTGACCTACTAGGTGGTTTCGATAGTTCCGCTCTCAGGAACATTGGACATCATCTCATATCACTCTCGCTGCCGCCATTGTCCCGTTCCATCATCTCATCGTCCTCTTCGATGCTCACCTGCTCGCTTTTTTCGTTACACTTGACGGCGGACGAAGAGTCTTGCCCTTCTTACACGTCGCTCGCTCTGACTTGACTTCGTCGCTTGCCTTGTCCCTTCACTGACTCGAAGACGTCGCATGACTGACTCACCCTTGTTTACGACTCAAGAGGTCAAGCCTTGACGCTTCCCACCTATTCGACGGTCTACGTTCGCGGCTGAGTCGGAGACTGCCACACATCTCGTGCAATGCGCTTTCTCACCACCCGTTTCATACTGGGAGCTCTCATCCCCGCCGTTATGACTGCTGCCATTCCTGCTGAGCCGGCAATAGTCGAGACGGGCAATGCAGCATCGCCACTGCCTACAACTCTTCGTATCATGACGAGGACATTCTCGCAACAAACCCACAGCACAGACTATCCGCTTCCGACCATGACGCCTTCCTCTGAGCCGCCGCCGTACTCAACCGACGATGAGGTCTATGGTATTCACGCAGAGATTCAATCACTACTGGAGCTTGAACAACAGGCTCTGGCTTTGCAGTTCCAGATCGACGCGCGTAAACAGGTCCTTGCCGGTCGCCTTCGACAGCATCGGGAGCAAGCGTCACTCAAGGAGCTCCTTGCACAGTGCGACGGACTCGTGTGTGCTGCAAAAGTCATTGCGCAGCGGATATGTGACAAGATCGGCATCTCCACCGAACCCTCCCTTGCGTATGCTCGTCTTGAACAGCAACAAGTTCTTTTACCGAATAGTAATGACACGCAAAGCACGGCTCCCTCAGGCAAAAATGACGACTCGGCTCTGCCCTCTCACCGTCCCAGTGCAGTCAATGAATCGACATCAAATTCCAATGCACTGCCTTCTCTGGTCAATGTTACTACTCCATGGAGCGCGCTCGTCTCCGTTCTGGAGGTCATAGCATCGGTGCTTGGTCTTGCAGCTCTGTTCGGGTTCATACGCCGAAGGTTCTTCACATCGGACCGAAGCCGAGCCGACCGTGCGGCCGATCGCGAGGAACGCCTCACTGCTCGTGCATACCGTCGGGCTGCACGACGGGCAGAGGTACGACGACGCTGGACAGAGATGTGGCAGAGCGTAAATTGCTTTGGCGGCGGCCGGGACGCAGAGTATAGAGTTGGTGCCATGCCCGTCCCGAGTGATGCATCTCGATATGAAGGGTACCGCCGTCACGCTGATCGTCATCACGAGCGACGTGCGGGTATGCTTCCTTTCCGGACCTCATCACGACGGAACAACGCATACGTGCCAACGTCCGACTATGACGAGAAACGTGCACTGATCGTGCAGGATGCTTTTCTCGAGGAGCAGAGGGCTGATCCCGCCATTGCAGAGAAAGGCCAAGCCATGGAAGCAGAGATTCGCGAACTTCGCCATGCCCACGATATGGTGCGCAATCTCATATCGAGGCCATCTCACGTTGTTGCAACCCATGCAGAGACCACTTTAAGGATCGATACGAGCCCACACATCGATAGGGACCTCACACCAAAACCACCATTCATGAACGGTGCCTCTATCATCCCGTCACACATCGCCCCCATCACCACAATCACAGCCACAGCCTCCGTAATCGCGGCTCTCACGCCTGTGACGCGATCACGCGCGAGCTCAACCACCCTCCCACCATCCTACCGCTCCGAGTCTCTACCAGACTACACCTCCCGCCCCGGCGGAACGAACCCCCGCACCCCCCACACCTTCGACGACAACACCTCGGACGATGACGAACGCAGCCTCCTCCCCACAACCTCGACAAATCCATACCGCACCCGCGGCCGCGGCCGCCGCAGCCAACAGCATGGGACCTCCTACCCCCACCACAACGACAACGCCATCTTCAGCCTTTCCTATCCATCCGACGACGAAGGAGAAACCCCACCATCGCCATCCATCTCCACATCGTCATCGCAATTCTTCCCACACAGCGAGTCCACACTCCCTCCTTTCAGCCCCGACATGATGTCCAGACAAAGATCGAGGTCTTTGGTTCTTACTACGCCCGCAAGCTCGATTTTGGAAACGAGTACAAGGCCCAGCGGGGAGACGCTCCGGATGAGCGAAGATTTCGAACGGAGGAGTCGGAGCTGCGAGAGACGACGATGAAGTGGACTTCCAAACGGAATTTCCTTCTTTCATCTTAGATTTGTTTTCTTGTTTTTTCAATGGCCCCTCTTCCGCCCTTCTATATTTCCCTCTTTCTCAGCGCTGGGAAATGTTTCAGGCAGCGCATTCCATTCCAATGCCCAACGGCGGCATTTCTCATTTCTATGTATTCCATCGGATCTTGCGATCCGCATGAGTGTATTTCTTAGTTTTCCCCAAGTGGGGCTTTGCTCCGCCAATGACGCGGGATCCAAGGGCCGGCGGGCGGCTTTGCGCGCAGCAACATCTTGTTGCGGTGAAGCAATTATCTAATGACTATACATGACCGTTCAATGTGACTCTTGGAAGCGTTTCTTCGATGTTGGCGCAAGGAGCGACTTTGGCTGATAAACTAATTCTGAGGTCATCTTAACGTCGGAGAAAGGTGATGTCCGATGGCTTTCTTTCATTGCATGAAGACCTGGAGCCCGCCCAACTTCTCACTATTCCTTTGTTCATAATTGATGGGCCCCCATCAATATATTCATGTGTCTCCACCCACGGGTCCTTCGTTTTTGAGTTTGCCCAGGTGAAGTTGAGGTTTAAGAGCCCTGCTCTTCTCCAACTCCGGCATGCTAGAAAGGTGGAGCTCTAACGTGTATGCGTCACTGAAGGCTTTTGGAGCAATGTTTTCGATAAATGGGATTGAGTTGGCGTTCCTGCTGCACAGATCGCTGCTGTGGAATACGCGGAGGATGCACCTCATGTTTGGAGCAGGGAGGTCATCGTGACGCCGGATCGGAACAGCTGGAAAGCGCTGTGGTAGGGTACTGAAGCACGGCGTCAACTGTTGTCTTTGTTGAGTTTGTATACTAGTTGTAGTGATGGTCGAGCGTTGGGTCATATCGATAGGGAGGTCTGGTGACATTCCGATATAGGGGTTCCTCATGACGATGTACCTGGTGATCTCATGTTCATTGTTGCCAAGACCTTCGGATGTAATTCTCCGGCACGTTTCGAGTAGTGAACTTGCCAGGCTATGGGAAGCTTGGCGACGCATCCTTGTGATTACCGTCGATTCTGGAAGACGCTGCGTTATGGCTAGAGGTCCAAATGCTCAAGACTGGCTAAAGCTGTGACGATTGCTGTCAACAAAATGCTATTTCTTTGCGACAATCTCTCTGCTATCGGGGTCGAGCTCGCACCTCAACTTCCGACATGTAGCAAACCGCATGGGACGTCTTATTTACACGACAATTAGTTTATGTTGCCACTCTGCTACACAATGCGCCCGGTATTGAGGGAGGTCGAGATCTCTGGTCTTGTGATGGATTGTGTTCCCACAGAGATCAAGCACGGACACAGCAAAAAGGGGCCACCTGAATCTTGTAACAACATTGAAAAGCTGACACTAATGTTCTTTGACGACGATGGACCCCACGACTTTGGCATGTTTTCGCAGATTCTCAGGCATGACATCAAATTAAGAGAGCTGTACCTTATTTTCGGCTAAAATGCGCCTGCGGATGTTGAACACACAGATTTTTCGAATGTTCGCCTTCCGAATTTGCAAAGGCTATACCTGGCACATGTGCGAATTCGTGTGCAATCGTCGAAGCGGATACTACAGGGCTCCACAGGCACACGGGATTCTGTTGTTTTTGAGCAGGTACATCTCAGTGGCGGCAAGTGGTCTGAGATTTTCGAGCACATTGATGGTCCACGCGTGATCATGGCGCGATTATCTGGCTGCAACTATACGCCGCTTTCAGACTAGAAATGGAACGAGGAAGATGGAAAACCTCATCGTCTCTTTATCAACACAAACACTCGACGAGAGACTCAATAGGTGCGCTTGGATCGCAACCCATATATAAGTGTACGTGCTTTCTGCATGGAAAATTCAAACAGTCGGTTCAATATATTGTTCCAACCTTGGAAGTTTGCTATTGAATGACAAAGTATTCGGAGTTTGGCGTGCTGCCATCGCTCCCGCTTTGACAAAGCCGCAATTGATCTTTCACTTTCCACATATCCTGTGGAGCTGTGAAAACTTTGAACGTTTCTCACTCACCTGAGTACCAACATAACTTGCTGTTGTCACGTCGCAGATATCGAGCTATCAACCACAAAGCCTTCCGGGCGTCACAATTATGGCGAACGATATCCGAGATGTATTTCATGCGGTGCTATTCCCAGAGGGCAGTAGCGCAGACTACGTCCACCAGCCATCAGTAGACGGGAAGCCTTTGCCGTATCTACCATCAGAGATCATGCAGCTCGTATGATTGCACAAAAAGCACTTGATACGTTACCAGCTGACTTTTACTCTACCAATAGATTTTAGAGAAATGCGATACATCTGCTCGAAATTCGCTCCGCCAAGTGAACGAAGAATGCTTCGACTTTGCGACATCAGCTCTGTTTGAGCATTTCCAGAATCCTCCGAACTTCTTGTGGCATGAGCAGCTAGAGGGACGTATAAGCACACTCAGGCATATCAAGCGATTCACTTAGGATCGGCATCGAGCTGACTTTGGTGGTGAGTAATTCGACATCGTCGGAATCGATAGAGCTGGACCACTGGGTTGACTTACCAAAAATTGTGCAGGTCGGTCGTTGGTTCAATTGAAATGATGCCATGATATCGCCTGCCGCGAGGACTTTTACATGACGGTTGCAATCACGCAAGACCTCAACTTCATGTTCAGATCATGCCCGAATCTTTCGAGCATCCGCATAAATCTCGATCCTCAGAATGTTCATTGGGATGAAGATTTCCCCAGACCTCATCATGAACAGGGCATCTTCCATCTACCAATCCATGAAACACCTCTTTCGCCGCAACTGAAACATCTCGATCTACATGGTCTGCTCGTCGATTACTCGGACACTCAAAATAGACTTCCTGCAATTTGTGCCACACTTGAACAACTCAGTATTGGCGTCAAGATGCACCATACTGATCAAACACTCCCTTCTATTCCGCAGATGATAGCACACTCATCTCTGCTTACGAGTCTTCAAATCAGTTTCGGCTGGAAATTGAGGCCAGTGCTTGCGCATCAGGATTGGTCACTCATACGACTTCCGAACTTACAGCACTCGTCTTTCTTGTACGTCGATACATCGATCCAGTTGATGCGGCAACTGCTCTCCTACAATGATGCTACATTGGAGAGTGTGCACTTCTCGTCTGTTGACCTTACTGCCGGTAGCTGGGTCGAGGTGTACGACATTCTTGGTCGCAAAAAGTTGAATTATTTGGGAATGATCTCCTGCCGCTATCACCGATTTTCCGACGAGCGGTACATGCCACTGGAATGGGAACGCCGCAGGGTACTTTGTGACCATATCGATACTCATCGACAATCAGGCGAGTATGACAAGATGGTAATCTGGCCCGCACGTGGTGGTCTTGATATCCATATGGGGTCTCCTGGCTCGGAACCGTGCTATAGCGAAGATCCTGACGATTTTCTTGAAGGTCTGCATGGCAACGATCTCGGGGATTTGTCAGATTACTCTCTTGAGACAGACGAGGACTCCCTCGCAGCATTCATGGAATAGAACACAGAAACAACATCTCAGCACCAAAATAATTAACGTGGTGGCCTCACTTGAGGGTGTACGTCTCTGGCATCGTTCTATGGAGCATGCTTTTAGGCTGCTGCATATGACCATAATTTGAGCGAAAATGCTTGCATGCTCAACCTAATGAATCCGCCCTCTGGTGACGGACTTCTTGATCGTGCTTTTCTCACATTCATGCCCGGCAAATAGTTCACATACTCAGTTGGCCCAAAGGTCCCTTTACACCAAACTCAAGTCAGGGGCACGAAAACCGTCTGTAAAAACAATTATTAATGCTTTTCGCTATTGACTTCTTCTATACGTGGTGGTAACCTGCTGTTCTGTCAATGAGCGAGCAGAAGCATGACATCGAGGAAATTCCAAGCGCTTGTGCAATTCTTCACCTACCTAGGTACCGAAGCAGGTATTCGACGCGTCCGTAGGCAGCAACACAGTGACCCACGCCAATCCGACTAATTGCACAAAGGTTTCGAGCCTTCCTCTCAACCTCACTTCCTGATCTTTTTATCCCGATGAATCAAACCTTCAACTTACCATAACTTGACTTCTTATCACAAACGTCTCAACTCGTCCTCGCTGACTTCAAAATGCCCTCTACTCGAGGATGGATTCCGATCCCATGCGCCCGAATGTGCCGTGCTTACCACCTGAGATCATCGCAAGAGTAAGTCACAACTTGCACCCGCCATTCATGAGCCTGTCAATGATGTCCACTAAACTTGCAAAGCTGATGCCCCACGTGAGTTGCTGGGATCTTTGCAAGCTACGATCCATCAATCGTGTATTCCGTGATTGTGCGATGCCTTTATATTTCTGGGTCGTCACGTTTCCCCCCTACGGCACTACAATGACATTCAACAAGGCGGAGTTGCGAGTACCGTCTGGGCTTCAATCGAGGTGTTCACCTGGAAGCCATCAATATCTTGGAACGATGGATCAACATATGTGCTACGTGCGTCCTGCGGGAACGATGTGACTGGCGATCAAACGTTCACGCGCTGACTTAGGGTACCGCAGATATGAGCGATTCCAATCCAAGCACATCATTCTCGAGAATTCCAAAGCACCTGTTCAGCGACTTCGGTATGAGCACTGTTCTGCCTCAAATGATTTCAAAATGCTCGAGGTTACGCCAGTTGCAGATCAATCTTCCTAAACAACGCTGACGATTCAAGTATAACGACGAAGTTGTGACACATGGATCGCAGCCTTTTTCTTGGCCGCTATGCATCTTCGTCAATTCGCCAGTCAAGCATGTGAGCATCAGCAACTTGCGCATATGCGACTTCTTTGTCAGCGACGAGCACGATCAAGGAGATAGCTCGAGCTCGACAGTCCCTAATCAGGTCGAGACTTTGCAACTCTACTTTTTGATTGAACTCGCTGAAGCAGGATGGGAAGCATACGCCCCTCGTATTGTTCGAGCACTCGCGAACTTACCATTCCTTCAACGTCTCGAGATTGTTTTCAAGACGACGGTGATGATTATGAAGCTTTTATAGCTTTTATTTCTGTGTTCATCTCTGCGGACTGGACCATTATCCAGCTCGCGAATCTGCGCTATATCGTGCTAAAATCCATGGGCATGAACTACGAGTCACTGGCGAGCCTCCTCTGTTCAAATGCAGGTACACTTGAGACTGCCGTATTGAACAATGTGGAGCTTTTCGACGAGGCTTGGTCGAGAGTCTTTGACAGCCTCAGTGCACCGAAGTTTGCTTTGATGTGCCACTTGAGGATGAGCGACTGTTCGTACCAGAGCGAGGACTTGTCAGACGAGATCCGTTCTCGCGACACAAGAAGCTGGGTGAAGCTGCAAATTGCTATTGAGGAGCGTTTAGAAGGGCACGATGAGACTGAATCGCACAATTGGCAGAGTTTTGCTTCTCCCTATGAAGCGGGCCACCTGCGAGAGTGACAGAGCGATACAAATGCGCCGCTACAGGTGGGTGTTCTCTGAGCGACCACTTTTATGTCCAGTCAATGCTCACCCATGGGGACGGACTGTTCGATCCGTTGTTTGCAGAATATTTCTACTGCACGTATAGCAGAAGTGATCACGTCAAAAAAGCGAGGCATAAGGCCCTCAAACACAGCTTTAGTTCTTGCAGCATAATTTGATCCATCATAATTCATTCTCTGTTCGTTGTATGTACACATGGCGACGTGAAGTCAGCAGTGTAGTGGTGTTAGGAAGAACTTTTGCAGACGCGCTGTGGTCAGTGAAGCGGTCTGACCTCTCGACTATCTGATTCACCTACCACAGTCTCGTACCGCAGACTTTGGCACCGCAAGGATGGCATTTCTTCCGACAGAGATCGCTGCACTTGTACGAATATTATAGGCAATGAAAAGCCTACATAACCTGTCGCTATGCTGATTCAGGATTTCGTAGCTTGTGGTATACGCCGATCCTCGCTCGCTGAGGGCGCTGCGCCTCGTCGATCGAGATTTTCGCAGATTCATGACGCCGGAAATTTTCAAGAGCAGCCCATTCCCGATGGGAAATGCGATACTGCAGTTAACGGAGGCAGATCAGCTAAGCCATGTGTAGGCCTCGATCGAAAATTTACCTGGGAGCCAAGCATGATGGATGTCGGATTGGAGCAATGGATCAGTAATTGAAGGAAAGAGGGAGCCCCGAACACTGTTGCCGGTGCGCTGAATGCTACGAAATCGACAGAACCTGAAATGATGGATCGAGAGGGCTCGAAACAACTTCAGAATATCATCAGAGTGCGAAGCTATCTCTTCAACGACTTTGACATGGGCGGAACGGTGGCACGAATGTTTCTAAAGTGCCCGAAGCTGAACGAACTCTACATCATCTTCCCAGCCGATCGATGGCAGTCCAACACATCGACTCCCACAGGAACTCGCGATCGGCGTCATCAGCGACAATCCCGTGAAAATGGTATATTTCAATGGCTTGCGCATGACCGATTTGCCCACGGAGATGGGCAGGCGCAGATTCAGCCCTCGGCTCGATCATTGATAACAGCATCGAGACACTGGAGTTCAGTATCGATTGTGAATGCGAATCGGCCAAGCCAGCAATCAATGTTGACCAGTCGTCTCAGGCGGTACGCTTTTCCACAGCTATACCGTCTTGCTGTTAACTTCGACTATCATACACCGCCATCTTTGCGTGGTAATCACCATTTGAGTTGGAGTGGTGTCAAGCTGCCTGCCCTTCGCTACGTCTCGCTTTCTAATCTCAGTACAGACAGCGAATCCATGCTGGGTCTACTCTGTCCAAATTCGGGCACGCTCGCGACACCCTTCCAGTACTAGAGGGTGTTACGCGACCATAGCTGCGCGAACACTTTCGACGGCCTGGAGGAGATGAAGTGCAAGATAGGAATTCGTGGGACCCTAGGTCGTCGCAGATGTTCTGGACGCGATGGCATCTGATTTGGAGTCCGTGTGGACACTCAGATAATGTTCAATTGGGCATATTGCAAAGTTAAACAGCCAAAAATCCATAGAGAGAGTCCATGATTTGATGAACTTTTTCAACGATGCTGCTGGAGAAGTTGGGGTGGAATCGGTGGATCACATTCACGATGCCGCGGAGCTCTGCTGTGATGTCCTGATTGGGTGTAGTGCTGGTGCCGATCACAGCTTCGGGCTACGCGCTGGTGATCTTCCTCAGGTACCAACGCTGAGTATTTGTTATCACTTGGCAAAGACAAAACCTCGTCAGTCGAGCGCAATCGCAGAGATGACGATGTTTTTGATTGCGCTTCTTGGCCTTCGTCTTGGCGCGCGAAGATCATATATACTCAAGCTCTCCCAAGCCCGAGACAAGCTCCGGGCATGTATACAGTCAGTGCGGTATCTCCAACAACGGAGGACGCCCACTCGGAGATCTGCACCCCACACCGGCACGCCTGCGCCGCCTCAAATTAAGTTCTAGATGCGGAGAAGCAAACCGACCATGACCTGTCAGAAGAGGGGGATGTGTACATACAGACCGCGGTTATTTTGCTCGCGAGCCAGGTACACAGCACAACGGCCACGCGATGCGAATTGAAAAATTCGCATGGATCGCCCACCACCATAGCATCGCTGGAGCGGCGCCGACGAAGCTTAGTTCGATGCCGGTGAGCAAAGGTGTCATCACGCAGGCAGATGCTTTTTCCCTTCCCTCGCCTCGTGGACCAGTCAACCGCGGCGTATAGAGAGGGTGTGCGCATCTGGTGTCCGCACCATGTTTGCGACAACGACAGCACTCCCCATCCTGCGTTGACGAATCCATTCATCCGCAGCCTTTCCACGTCCCAGCCGTCTGGACGGCGATGGCTCACCAGTTCGGCGAGAACAGCATCGTTAGTGCCGTCGATGTTCCTCCCGGACGCGCCGGTCAGCCCTACGTGATTTCATCCCAGGAGGGCGAGCTTATCTACGTACCTTTCTCGCGGGCCTTGACGCGTCTTTTGGTTACGGCAAGAGAGACCGACTATGCTTTCGCTGTGGTCGCGCGCAGCGGCAGCCATGGCGATGTCACGGGCTTCTATTCGCATCGACGGGCGCATGTCGTGTTTATATGCCTCAAAGGGAGCATGCGGTTCTGGGTTAATGATCAGTGCCGGACGATGACCGCGGGCGACTGTGTCAGCGTACCTCCGGTATGTGGCGTTCCGAAGATACGGCCGATGATAGTACAAACAAACATGACAAAGCGACTGACCTGCCCTCAGGACACCTTGAAGCAGTACCAGATACTTGGTGATCACTCCGAGTCAATATCTTTCTTCTCGCCCGGCGGCGGTGAGGAGTTCTTCCGCTTCGTTGGCGAACTCACGACAGGTCCTTTCTGGCCTCTGCAGGACAATCGTGATGCATCAGAAGCGCTGGGCTACAAAGTCAGCGCCGCGATGCAGCGGTACAACATGCAGTTTCATCATGACTACAAATCTGTTGATCCATCACTATGGAGGGCCAGCGATGCACAGCTCCCCGGCCGAGCCATACCTTATTTCCTCCGTAGCGCATCCGGCCCGGCCTACCTCATCGGCGGGACAGTATGCAGACCTCTAATCACAACACGAGAGTCCAACGACCAATTCTCCGTCGGCAGCATCGAGGGCTCATCGCATCATTTCGACAATTACGTGTTTGGCAAAACCGGCATGATGCGCTTCGTCGAGGCGCAGCACGCCTTTCTGATCGTGGAGGGAGTGGTGGAATTCGTCATCGGATCCTGTCTACCGGCACTCCTACCTGCTGGTCAGGTCATCTACGTGCCACGCCTGACCGAGTTTGCGATCCACTTTCGCTCACGGTTTGCGAAGATGTACGCGTTCGCAAGTGGTGCCGGCTTGGTGGGATTGAGCTGCAAGCTGGGCGACGAGTACGATCTGCCGATGCCGCCGAATCGGTCGCAGCCTGTCGACTTGCGTGCTCTGCAGGCATTGCAGTATGAGTTTGGTTTTCAGCTATGCTGAGGGATGTTCTTGCCGAGAGCAGGTTCTTGAAGGAAGAAAGGAAAATCGGCGAGTCCTGGCTTTGATGAAGGCTGGGCTATGAATACATAATGGCATTTGTGCGAGATGGTTTTGGGGCAGATACGTATTTCGGGTTCATGCCCGTTGCATATATCATGGCGGCGGTGGCGATGTTCTAGTCGAAGATACCCAGAAATGAATTCAGGCGAGGAAAGCCTGCAGCATGGAACATTTCGGTCGAATTCCCTCTCGTCGGCGTAGGATTCTGTCGCCGTGGTGATGATTGCGCTCGCTCCAGTCTGACGTAAACAATACGCCATTGATACGTGAAGTCGTTGCTCAATTTTCCAAATTGAAAGCATTGGCTTTGCTCATCATAGCTTTGCCTGGTGAATATTTCATGATCCCGTCATCCAAAACGCTCGCCCAAGCAGAAGGGAAGCCGCGGCCTGTCGGCGTGGGCGGCTGGCAGGGCGAAACTTCAACGGTATCCCAACGCTCCCTCCCACCGAATTCCCTTCTCACCGGCCTCTTCTTGCGACCTCCCAGTTACCACATCGCCTCTGACCATTACGCATTAATCTCCGACCCCCGGATCGCGCATTTCCACGTGTGGAATTCAATCTAGAAGCTAGTCCGATCAAGCCGAAAGATTCCAGACGCGTGCAACGGACCTGACTGCGGCAGTTCTGTTCTGCCAGCGTTCGTCACGCGGGTGTCTGCGCTCGCAAGCTACACGAGCATTACATCAAGCAGATCTTCACCCGATACGGAGTTTTATCACAGGATTGCAACTCAAGCTGTGACGGCGACCACAGATCAGGCGTGTTCAGCGCATCTAAATCTACAGTACTTCATCTTCGATGATCTGAAGCTGCCACACGGCGATGAACGGCGAATTCGTGGCTCCGTTGGCCTGACAAGCCGCGGCCGTTGACGCACTCCAGCAACGACCAGCCGCAAAATACCACGGATAGTCTTCGCACAGCCAGCCTTACGAAACAGCATTTGGCTGGGCCTTGTAAAACTTCACAATATGTCGCAGTGAATGTGGCTATCCTCACGCCGAGACCGCGTGGGCCGGCAAGTTTCCCAACGTTGCTCCTCGCCGGGCAACGCAGAAGCACTCTTCGCACGGAGCAACTCGTATTGACGTTGGCATTTCGCATCATAGCTCGCCATAGACCCTTGGTACCCTCGCAATACTTGTACAATGCTTCGCCCTCTCAGGCAATAGTGGATGGTGGACTCTATCGTGTGGGCGTTGCAAATCCCTTCTTTGAAAGCCCTACGCCTTTGTCCAACCACTCCATGCACGCTCAAGAAGTGCTTATACTCTACACTTGAGTTCGAAAGGACAGGTGGAATGTTTCTTCTTCATACTTGTTTGTTGCATCTCGAGACTCAGCACAGGTCCGCAAGTTCAACATGCACATGCTAACGCCATTACTGATTGTGCTTACATTGTCCGTCGTGAGGATCGTTCAAGCAAAGCCTGTCGACTTTCAGACATACCAAACACAAGCTCAACAGCAGGAGGAGCGGTTTATATATGGCCGTGACGGACATGTCATCAATGCAGAGCCGGCGGGGTCGTCATCCATGCAGCTGGGCGAACTGCAATCAAACTCCGGTACACTCACTGCGCGAGCGCTACACTCGATAGACCACTCCAACACGTCCAATGGTTCCCAACAGATGCCTACTCCGACACAGAATGCTTTGAATGCTCGTGATGCTCCTCTGTCCGGCATGTCTGCCTTCACTTGGACCACAAGGACAGCAGCGGCAAGGCCAATCATGACGATGGGAGGTCTGATCATCCCACTACACTCTTCACAAACACAGAAATCGCATCATGCAACTGCAGGAAGTGCAGCATCAACTGTATCCTCTGCAGGCTCTGATACGCTGCCAAGTGGTTATGCAGCGCAGAATGCGACAAGCACATCTACTGATCCGACCGCCACACTGGCCGCGGGAGCTAGCTCCGTCGCTCCAACTCCTTCGAAAGGGCTGCAGATCAGTCTTGTAAACAAGATGGCTTCAAACAACATCAAGATGTACATGTCTGGCCTTGATATGAACGGCTCACTCATATTCCTCGACCAGAGCGGAAAATGGTTCTATCCGCAAGCCAACGGTACCACACCGCAGCCCATCCCTTCAAACGTCGAGTTCAGCCTCGGAGGAGCCAATACGTCCCTGAACTTCATGACTCCGGGCTATATTCGCAGCGCCCGCATCTGGATCTCGCAGGGTAGCCTGAGCTTCTTTTCTGTCGCCACACCTGATGGGCCTGGTCTCGTGCAGCCGGCTGCTGTCAACCCGGATGATCCCAACACCTTGATCAACTATGGATTCGCAGAATTTGATTGGGAACCTTTGAGCGGACTTTATGCCGATATCACCGCTGTCGACTTCGTTGGTCTGCCTCTTGGCATGGAGCTGATCGATACGGATGACAACCGGTTCACCGCTCTAGGCACGCCTGCTAATGCGGCACCGGTTTTGTGCGACATGTTGAAAAGGCAGGAGGATGGCGTCTCACCATGGGGTAAGCAAAACACTGAAATCTATTTTTGTGGGCATTGACTAATCTACTATTAGGCGATCTATGTGTCTACAACGCCGCTGGTGAAGTCATTCGTGTCATCTCACCAGGCAACCTCGTCGCTCAAGAACCCACCGCCTTCGACGGAATTTTCGACGACTATGTCAACCACGTCTACGCGCACTACTCCTTCGCCGATCTCACCATCATTACCCAAACCGATTACGGAAACGTCACCTGCCGCGTCCTCGACGACGACCAATTCCACTGCGACGGCGACAACCGCGGCTACCCCAAACCCAGCGCAGCCGACATCTTCGGCTGCAACAGCGGCCCCTTCGCCATCATGAAAGGCGACAACGCCGTCCACTACGCCATCGTGCCCCGTCTCTGCGCGGCATTCAACCGCGCTACTCTCTTATTGCCCGGAGGTGATCAACAGCCCGGACCTCGACCACCGACATTCTATACCGCTGCGCCGAATAATTGGTACAGTGCCTTCACGCATCAACTTGAGGTCGGCGGCGGAGGATATGCCTTCTCATATGATGATGTTGAACTCTCCCATGCGGATAGTGCGGCGGGTCTGCTGGCTTCGATGAATCCGGAGGAATTGGTAATTTATGTTGGCGGGTCATGAATGAGGACTTTTTGGAGGATCTAATGATGGAATTATTAGGGGAATCGATTGATATAGATGATATATACGATAGACTAATTTTTAATGACGATTCGTGTAATGAATGAAAGCGTCGAAATGACTACTTGTTTCGTGTTTGCTCGGAGCAGTCCTAATTTTCGCATTCTTCAGCCCACCCTCTGCATCGTAGAGTCCAAAACAGTGTGATCCTGCTATCTTGTTCCCTGGATTCACAACTTACGTATGTACAAAAAGTATTTGGCACAAATCTATCTCAATTCCCGCTGCACTATCACAAGCATGAATTGTATTCGCCATGCGTCACTCAAGATGGTTGTCAAGGTACTGTATTCCGATGGAGCTCGGAGATAAGCCGAGTGGTGTCCGAACCCTAAGGAATTCAATCCTTATCTCTCGGGGTTGCCATCACCACAATCTTGTCCGTGTAGTTCATTTTACCTCATATTCAAGCATGTTGATCCCGGCAAAAGATGATGAGAGGTCCTCGCTGTGTCTTGGAAGATGGTCGAACTGTAGTTGTGTTGGCTCCTGAGGGAATGATGGCGGGCTGAGTGCGTCTCTGACAGCACATTACGCTTTGCGTATATAAATTTGATCAGTTCAGCTTTGGCAACGTCGCAGGCCGGGCGAAGGACAACAAGAGTAAGTTCAGATGACTAATGTGAGTACGCATACAATCACAAAGATCTCAAACATGGCTCTGGACGGAAGCCACGCGGTTCGATCTTGCTGTGCCTTCGACTTGTCTACAAATGCGCGGGATGACAATATCGTAGCACTTCGCAACTGTCTCACGCGGCTTGGGCGGCCATAAGATGTCCATCCTCAAGCATACACCTCTACTGATGACGACTTACGGGGCTGGTCCTCCATCAGCACGGATCCGTCCTAGCCATTTCAGATTTCCCAAGCGGAGCTGAAATACGGCATCAGGATTTCGGCATCTGATCGCGAAGATCGGCTGGAAAATCCACGAGGACTGCGAGGTCGCGATGGACCTTGCCACTGAGCTCAAAGTGGAGAATCGATGGCGGTTTCGGATAGCACGCTTGACGGGCTAAAATCTTGTTTCGCGATCGAGACCGACTTGAAAGCTCGCAGATGGTATCTTGGCTCCCCCAAAGCGATAGACATCGAAATGGACGTTTTCAACAGCAACATGACATTGATTGGGCAAACTCTCGTCGTATCAAATGGCTACGGCGGCATTGAATTCTTCCACCTTAATCCGGACGCAATCACATGGTGATCATACGGTCGCGTAAGTAGCACAACAACCAGCCCTCGGGATGCGCGTCGAAATTTTCCATTTATCGTTTGGCATGTACTTGAAAACAACTCCGAGCATTATTACTACCGAGCACGGCACTACGAGGTTTTTGCAATGTCACCTGATCGATAGTGCTTATGCAGACCACAAAACCAGATCACGACCAAGCGCTCCACATTCGCAATTGGTCGAGCTTGCGGATCGATTCATGTCTGTATGGAAAGGACGGCGTCAGGCACATGGTCTTGTCAGGTGTCATTTGCCTGACCGGCGATGCAACACCTGCGGGAGCCGCTGTGCACCGGGAACTGGTTGCGAACGTGAAGGACAGAAATCGTCCCTATCTGTTATTCTTCGCGATACTCGAAAACATGGCTCTATTATGTTAAAAAGATACAATCATGCTTCGTCAGGTACTGTAAGTCTGCAAACCACATATTGGCAAAGACTTCGCCGCACGTTCTGCGCCCGCCGCGTGAAATTGTTCGAGAGAAAGGATATGCATTTCTAATAACCGGAAAGTTTATGCGACACGCAAATCAGCCACAAAACCTGGAAACAAAGCACAATTCCTACATCCACTTTCCCGTTCGTCATGGCCCTGACTCCTTTCGTAGCTCGGTGTCCATACCTGTCTATTCCACTCCACAAAAAGCCCCAGCTAATGATGCTCGTGTGGTCTGAAGATCTCCGTTGCCTGGCTCGATCCCGGAACGTCACTCATTGAAGTCACTCCCGTGGTGCACGCATGCTGATGTTAGGCGAGGATTGGTGTTATCTGGGGTATTCGTGCAGCCAAAGAGGCTCTTTGCAGGTGTTCTGCCAGATGTTCTGCCATGCGTCGGGTACTCATTGATCGCGAGTCATCCGTTTCGTCGTCTATTGGAAGTTCTTGATAACGGCATCGGCGTACTCGTGGGTCTTGGCCTTACCGCCGAGGTCACCGGTGATGGTCTGCAAATTCAACATATCAGCATTAATTCCCAAAACTTCATACCCAAGCTTAACAAATTTCCAGAATCTTACCTTGCCCTCAGCCAGCGTCTTGAAGATAGCAGCCTGGATCCTGTCCGCGTGCTGGTACAGACCCATGTGCTGCAACATCATGATCGAACTCAACAACAGCGCAGTGGGGTTCGCAAGGCCCTTGCCGGCGATATCCGGAGCGGAACCGTGCACGGCCTCGAAGATTGAGCACTCGTCACCGATGTTTCCAGAGGGAGTTAGACCCAGACCACCGATCAGACCAGCGCACATGTCACTGAGGATGTCTCCGTACAAGTTGGGCATGACGAGGACTTTGTCGGCGTAGGGGCTGGGGTCGGTGACGATGCGCAGGCAGGCGTTGTCGAGCAGCTCGGCGTCGAACTCGACGTTGGGGAATTCCTTGGAGATGTCGCGGGCGAGGTTCAGGAAGAGACCGTCGGACATCTTCATGATGGTGGCCTTGTGGACAACGCGGAGTTTGGGCTTGCCGACGTCCTGGGCGTATTGGAAGGCGAAGCGGAGGACGCGCTCAGATGCGGCCTTGGTAATGAGTTTGATGGATTGGACGACGCCGTCGACGACGACGTGCTCGATTCCACTGTATTCTCCCTCGGTGTTCTCACGGATCAGGACGGTGTCGACGTTGTCGTATGGGGTCTTGTAACCGGCAATGCTCTTGCAGGGACGGACGTTGGCGAAAAGGTTGAAGGTTCGGCGGAGGGTAAGGTTGAGAGAGACGTGGCCCTTGCCGATGGGAGTAGCGAGAGGACCTTTGAGGGCGACGTAGTTGCGGTGGATGCTGTCAATGGCTTCGTCGGGAATGACGGTCTTGCCATCCTTCAGGGTAGGAGTGACATCGACGGGCTCCCATTTGATAGGGACATTTGCGGCGGAGAAGATGTCCTTGACGGATTGTGAGATTTCGGGACCGATGCCGTCACCTTCGATGAGAGTGACTGTGTATTTGCCCTGTATAGATAGTCAGACCCCATTGCCAACCATGACCATGGCCTCTTTCGATTTGCCCTACATCACTGCCGGTGGTTCCCTTGAACCCGGCGACCTTATCGCCCGGTGCTGCTGCCGAGTATGATCGTAGTTGTGCCTGTTTTGCGACTCTAGGTAAGCGATGCTCTTATCATGTTCCCATCGCAATCCAATCGGGTGGGCGGACCTGTACGAATGATGGTCGTGTAAACTGCTGCATGCACTGAACTGATTGTCGGGCTGGCGCGGTGCGAAGGCATCGGGACAACATGTTGGTAGCTGGCGGGGTGTAGAAAAGGACGATGTTTGTTGAGATTCGCTGTCTGCAGATGATACGCAGATCAGGGCTCGAGGAGTCGGATTGAGATGCTCAGTATATGACTGGTGCACAGGCGTATATGCGATGCAGGTGATCGATCAAACGTCGTGGTGGTACAGTGGATGGTGGTGAGAGTGTTGTTGCGATTGTTGTGATGTAGAGAAAAGACGGCGAGATAAAGAGGCTGGCAAAAGCAACGCAGAATGATGATCTGAGCTTCGCCTGCAGCTGTTTCTCTCTCCCGCCGCAGAACAGTCCACGCACTGCGGAGGAGCGGCTTTTGGCGGCCAATGTCCTCCACTGCACCAGACCTGAACAAGCACTCATCGCCGGTTTGCGGCATTCAACAATACACAGGGATTTTTTTCCTCAAGAATATGCATCTCTAGGAAGACAGTCATTGTATTGAATTGTCTAGATCTCACATGAAGTTTTCTCCCAATTGACACCTTACAATAGACCGTGTCTTCATGCTGGACAGGAGGAAGAGACAACAGCCAGAAGATCAGGGCTCATCGTCATCCCACGGCGCAAAAGACCCAATTCGGCCTGGCGTGGACAGCAGGAGAGAGAAGGCCCGACATGCCTCAGGCGTCAACATTCGGTGGGCAAGCATCTGCCCGTGTGCAATTCAATGTATCGAGCTTCGCATGCACATGCTTTCGCCGATGATCTCTCCGAAGAGTATCGAGGCGTGCAGTTCTAGTTGACTTAAGTTCCGCGGGCGGACTACTCTCCTAAAAACATGCCCGTCTCTGCGACCCAGGAGCGAATCCTGCTGAACCAATACCATCTGACCACACTCGATCCTATCGAATGGCCGCACGCCGCTGACGACGAGTCCGAGGAGGAAGACGACGACGATGATACTGAAACGAAAACCGACGAAAGGCCTTCAAATGGGAGAAGAAATCGCTCGAATACGACCTCGAAAGCTTCACGCATCCAAAAGATCAATCGCCATGCCAGCCTCCGTTCGTCAATCTCTGGCGGACAAATCAGCGTTCAGAAAGATGAACCAGATGCGCTGGGAATGGCGCCCAGTGTTGCGGCTGAATTGCGAAAACGTGGACTGCCGGTCGAGGAAGATTTGAGTCTGCGCAATCGCTTCATGTTAAGCTCCACCACCTTCAATCCTCAGCTGTACCTCTCCCAGGTGCACCAGTCCGCGAGCACGGCGGACTTGCTGCGAGGTCTGGACTTTCTCAGTAAAAGCATTGAACAAAAGTCGGCGTCCCTGAAAGTTCTAGTGGAGAGCAATTTCGAGCGATTCGTGCGCGCAAAAGCCACGATCGATTCTGTCTACACTGAAATGCGCACTCAGGGTGTAGATGAATCCACAACCTCGCCAAATCCTCAGGCAGCTGGGCTCCTTTCACATTCGCGGCACACCAGTCGAGGCCAGAGTCACTTTCGAAACCAAAGTGGCACGTTCGGAGGCCCGGGTGCTAGAGCTGCGCAGCTGGACAAGAAAAAGACGGCGTTGACAAAGGAATCGGAGTACGGTGTCGCGGGTATCAAAACTCCATTGCAAGAGGTTGCAATCAAAGCGGAAGAAGTATGGGGTCCAGCGTTGGGAGGTCGTGAGAAGGAAGAAACTCTGAAAGCGGTCATGACAGCACTGGAACAACATAAAGATGTCTTTCGCGTGAGCGGAAATCTCTACGACAGCATTAAAAAGAACGATTTCGACGGTGTCATTGACGCGTATAAACAAGCCAAACAGCATGTTGAGAGAGCGAGACGAATCGCAAACTTGGCGAGCGACAACAATATCCGGCTAGGAGACGCGGATGTGCAGCAGATTATCGTGACAGCCCGGATGTGGCACGATGCGACCGTTCAGACCGAAGAATTCAAAAACGACATCTGGAAGCGCTTGAAAACCTCTCACGGACGTTCGGCGGCGGCAAGCGTGGACGGATCGGATAAAGAGCAACATATGGAGTTGATTGGACTGCTACTTCAGCTCGGTGTTGATGAAAATCCCATCTGGGAATGGATCAACAGCCGATACCTCTACCTCAAGGAAAAAATCGCTCGATCATTTGAAAGAAGCCGGGTTGAAATTGAGATCCAGCGACGGAAACTCACACACATCACCAAAATAGACGATCATGCCCTAGCACGACACTTACGCTCGGCGTCAAGTCTGCCGGGCACACTTGTCCTCAATCGCAAGGACAACAACACTCGCGACATGGACTCGACCACGGTAATTCTGTTCTGGGAGAAAGTTCACTCTGCGCTTACTGCGCTGCTGTCCTCGTCGACAGGAGTCCTAGGGGAAGTGCTAGAATGGTGGGAAGTCGCGCAATCTTTTATAACAAATCAAGCACAGAAGTCTTTTCCGGTCGGTGTCTTTGCTGCTGGTCTGGAACATCTCCAATTGGATCCCGATCACGTCCGAAACATCCGTTCAGGAGCAGTGCGACTTCTCCAACTTATCCGAGAGTCAGTACATACATTCTTTGCGGACCCGCCTGTCGATGATCTCAGCGAGCTCTACAATGCAGTCCCACAAACTCCCATTTCACCAGCCGCCATGTCTCCAGCAGTAGAGGCCCGAAAAGAATTCTCTTTCGATCTTGGCGCCGTTACCCCACCTATCGCCGTTCGCGATGGTAATTCAGAAAAGTTTGCGTTTTGGGCACCAGGTTCAAACTCTCTGTCTACCTCACACTACCTCGCTCGTCTGCTCGCGTTGGTCGGAAGTGCTGCTGGAGAAATGGCAGGTCTGGAAGTCGTCAAGCAATCACCACCCCAGACAAAGCCTGGCAGCACTACATTGAGTGTTGAGAACCTGAAGAGTCTCGTTACGATGGTCCGAGAGCGATGCATTGCGGCTCTCTGCGCTGCTTGGCTTGCGGATGCTGCTCGATGTCGTGTTCTGGAGACATGGCACCGCAGCCCTGAGCGTCGTGACCTTACCTTGATGCCGCTTGCTTTCGAAGCGTGGATGGAGCGGGTCCTCTCAAATGTGCAGAAATTAGCATATGTGGCCGACGCTCGACCTGCAAGTGAAGTCGTCGTTCCGCCGCCTGCGAAGCTTTTGGGCATCGTGAGGAGTACTTTCGTCACCGGTCTTTACAAGGGTCTTAGTGGAATGGTCGAGAATGCTGAAGGCGTAAAGCCTGGCAAGAATGGCAGTCTGGATCCAAATAGCAAAGATACTGAGGGAGATAATGCGGTGATCAGAAGGATGGGCTCGAGTGCGGCGTTGCGAGGTCTGCTGGGCGCTGCTAATGATGAGGAAGAAATCACCACGACGGGCATGATGATGGAGGCGGTAGACGGAGAAGACAAGGTAAGTGTTCATGCTGCGATGATACACTGAGGCAATCGATATGTGTTGTGCGTTTGCTGACAATCAAGTAACAGAGCGTTCGTCTTTTGCTGACGTTGTCCAACTTCAATCACCTCCGCGCCATTGCCATCCCGCATCTTATCACGCACTACGAAACACTTTTCAGCGTCAAGCTCACCGACGAGAGCAAAACTCTTCGCGATGTCCTTACTCAAATAGACAGTCGCCTCTTCCAATCCTACACCACACCTACGGCCGAGAAGCTGACCGCCATCATCACCGCCGGCATCAACAGCAGAACGTGGTCACAAGGCACTGAAGCTGGCGAGAGGAAACCCAACGACGTCAAACCCTACATCTACGCTTCCCTCCTCACCCTCGTCCTCGTCCACGCCGAAGTGACAGGCACCGTCCCACCCATCACATCTGCCCTCCCAACCGAGTCCAGCTCTACAAGCTCACCAACCATAACCACAGCCCCCAGCCTACCCACCACAACATCACCACTGATTCACCGCATCCTCACCTCCCACCTAACTCACGCCTCCCAAACCCTCCTCACAACATTCCGCAAGCGCGAGAAATTCTCCCTCGCAGACCTCATCCAAGCGACCCTGGATGTCGAATTCTTCTCCCAAACCCTCCACGCATACGCTTCGGACCCGGCATCTTCTTCGCAAAGCGATTTGTACCTCGCGATGGATGAGCGCACGGATCATGATGCGAGGAGCGCGCTGCAGAATGAACTTCCGGAAATGCGTGCCGTTTTGAAGAGGTTGAAGGAAGGCACGAGAGGGGAGTTTTCGTGCTTTAGAAGGCAAGCGAGAGAGCCTGTGGGTGCGAGTGGGGAGACGAGGGGGCGGGGGAGGACGGCTACGAATGGTGGAGGTCCGCCGAGGAGTTGAACATGACGTCTTGTATAGGTTCAAGTACCCGAAAATCACGTGTGAAATCCTATCAATTTTCGTGATGTTAGTCCATACTGTTCATTTTTTCAATTGCAATTGATTGTTGAATTGTGTTGAGAGCTGATGTTGGAATTGGTTGGCATAATTTGCATTAGGGCACAAAATTGTGTACCTCTCATTGATATTCAGGGGTCAAAATTCAAGCCTCGGGCTTCAATGCAAACCTGCAAGGGTTGGTTCGGATATCGTACAACAACGGTGCGCTTATGTAGTGCAATTTCTCCAGCATCGTACCTAGGTAGCTTGAACATTGCTTGATACGTTCGCGAAATAGTCAAGAGCGATAAGAGAACGGACGAACAAACTCACGGGCACGGCAATGATTATCCTGAATCTCCGCTTCACGAGCTGAAGGCGCATGGTTCCATCTCCACCGAACATTTCCGGAGCCATTGGATTTGCATAAACTTGAAATATCATTTCGCGCTTCGAAGACACGCAACACGACAGCAAGATGGCGGCGAGCAAGAATGAAAGCGCCTCTAAACAGGAGAAGTTCCCTACGCAATCCTCAAATGTTAAACAAGAAGTCCAATCCCATGCACCACCCACACTCTTCTCCAGCAACCCCGACAAAGCCTGGGTCGAGAAGTTCTTCCTGGCCTACACGCCAATATGGATGGCATCAATGGCGTACATGATGTTCAGCGGCGCGGTATCAACCTGGGACGATAAAGCGATGTTCATCCACGGCGTCGTGACCGGGACACCCGTTTTCATCATCCCGATGTTGATCGCACCGAGATACACGAATCGCCCATGGCACGAAAGCTACTGGTGCAAAGCAAATCTGTATCTCGCGATCTTCGGCTTCTTCGGGAACTACTTCGGCACGGAATATTTCTTCGATATGCTGGGTATGACATATCGATTCCCGCTCGTCACTACGACGTTGGATTCCGCATTGCTCGGCAAAGGCGTGCAGACGGTCCCTGTGATTATGTATTTCTACACGCATGTCTATTTCATGACATATCACGTCACGGCGAACATCGCCCTACGACAGATCATGCGTCTGCGACTTCCCGGGAAGTGGATTGTTTTCGGCATCGCGACGTTTGTGATTGGGTATGTCTGGTCGTGGATGGAGACGAAGGCCATGGCGAATCCGCTCATGGAGACGCAATTTTATTATGAGAAGATGGATGTCATGTTGCGGTTTGGATCGGCGATTTATGCGACGTATTTCGTTGCGAGCTTTCCCATATGGTATTTTATTGACGAGGAGATGGAGAGTGATTGGGGATTGTGGCAGACGGCCTCAGCGGCGATGAGTGCGAGTATGATTACGATATATTTGTTGGATTTCTCGGCACAAGTGATCGGTTCACTTTGAAAGGGCTAATTCATTGGTGAAACCTTTTGCCGTAATTGTACTGTACATTCAAATTAGGTGTTTAGAGCCTGCGCCAGATGAAACAGATATCCAGAAGAGCGAGATGTTGATATATCGACTTGCTGGTACTGTAACAATAACACATTTCTAGGGACTTGAGACGTCGTGGATCTCATTCTCAGGCCGATATTCTAATGCACGTTATTTTCCTTCTAGATTCGCAGAAATGTACTGAGAAGTTCAGACCACGATTTGTGCTGAATTCCCTTCGCCTCGAAGTGATCGTGCATCATTGCTTTAAGGCAGTCAGGAATCGCAATCGTGAAACATAGCCTTCATCGAGGAATATTCCAATAACGCCTACTTTCGGCTCTGTGTCTACCATGGTAGATTCAGACCAAGATTTGAACGCAGTCTCCGAAGTCGAGGCTTCGATGGGGCTGGGAGCCATATGGCGACTCCTCTCTGTAACAATGGCCTAAGGACTCCGACCAAGTAACAACGTGCGAGAGACGTGGTGATGTACTCTTTCGTACGGTGAACATCCATGCACACCCTGATGCAGTATGAAGTGAGCAGTGTAAGGGTCCCATGGGTGTACGGCAACCAAATTGGGGCTTTCATCTTCCCCATTCCTGAAACCGATGTTTGCGTCTTGATCGATCTGCCTCTGAAAGGTCTTTCGATGACTTCCCTGGGCTACGAGGTTGGGCAGCGTCACCGCTGCCGATCGTTGTTTCGTAAACGTATAGTAGCCGGCCGAATGGGTTTCCGTGACGGGACAGTCGCGGCGACTTGCTGTTTTCCGCTACAGGATTAGTGGCGTCTGTTAGTGACGACCTGTCTCCGTCTCTTAAAACGTTTCCGACAGTAGGATTCGTTGTGATAACAAGTCCATCCGCAAAATCTAGGGCCTTTAAACGAGACTGCTGATCTGGTATGGCAGCCGTGTGAAGTGGCTCGGTCTGGCGTCTTTCATTTGGATCAGATGTGCCCTTGACTTGGACAGAAGATGCCAAAGTCTGCTCGATCATTTCGCGAACCATGGGGTAGATGGATCCTTGCCACGGGGCCAGCTTTGCGATATCATGGTGATCTGTGCTGGCCTGCATCACTGTTTCATTCTCTCGACCTTGAATCGCTGACTCATACTCAACCAGGATGACAGGTTTGTCGCTGCGAACCAGCCTGCCCCGAGATTCATCGAAAACAAGCGGAGCAGTCCTCTGCGTTTCGAACACACTGAATATCCGAATTTTGTCCGATAATTTGCTGAAGGGGGCATGCATGCTCCTGAGTATAGCAGAATTGGGCTCCAACTCTTCGACAAGCTTTTTTAATTGATCATCTTTGATAGTCTTGAGGGCATCAACGTTCATGCCGCGGTGCGGAGTCGCGAGGAAGATGAAAAGGCGGACTGGTAATTTCGAGATGATATTGAGCTCTCTAGCTTGTATCAACGCCATTTTTATAATCAGACCTCCAAGACAGTGTCCTACTAGGATCATGGGACGTTGAACACCCTGTGCCGTGCGATTTCGAATTATGACCAGATTGTTGAGAAATTCCGATGCCAAGTCTCTCAAGGTGGAGTTCGAGAGATTCGATCCCTCGAGTTGGTTCGGATAGCCGTACGTAAGAATTCGGGCTGTGGGTGCGGAGGATGGGACATAATCACGTAGCCACATCTTTCCATTAGGCAGCGACCATGAAGCAATTGCATGGCCCCCGAGACGAGTGACGGCGATTATATCCGCGTCATGTGTGCCTGCAGCTGGCGAGTGCAAAGGCGTGAACCCGCGAAAATGGCGGTCGAACTCAAGTTCGTCGCGTATGTCGTCTCGTAGCCGAGGAATATGGTCTAGCGAATCCAAATCATGCTTGTAATCGATAGTTGCGGTTAATTCCTGACGCGGATTGTCCACGCTTGGGCAAAGTGTCTTGACGGAAATGCGGTGTTGTTCAAACTCTTCGAAAAAGTCCAGAACATGCTCTTTGGTGACGCTCGCGTCAATGCCTTGGATTCTCCAGCTCAGGTTCTTAGACATGTTGCTGTACGTGTTGAAGGAATGCAGCAAGACTTAGATGGTACGTCGCTGACATGGCCGGAACACGCTCCTTAAAACCTTACCCAGGACGGCATCCCTCACAGGATCATCAGACATGCAACCCAGTGGACATAAATACATTCACCGATGCATCTCGCCAAAAACGGGGCGTCTGGCAGGGTGGCAGCGGCGAATACTATCTTAGTGCCCTTACCCAGGACGGCACATCTGGGAAGGTTACAGGGTTATGTTTATCGGGAAATCCTCCAAGCTCATGCTTTCTTTGCTGTGCTTACGCTAATGCACGACTAGAAACGCGATAGAATGCGATCGCCATTCGATGGCTGGTGTTGGGCGTGCCGCCCGACATCTGCCTTCGGGCCAATGAAAAGGTCCAACTTCCCACCGCATCCGAGGGGCAGAAAATCATGTTCGGTCGCCTCTGATGACGCGGCAGCAGTCATCGCGATGAGCGCATATTGGTGCAACGTTATGCTGATCTTGATAGATTATAGAGGATGATTTCCCTGCTGCGGTCATTGAATCGGGATCGTGTGGGAACTAAATCTCTGTGTTAACGCCCGAAGTTAACCAAATTGAAGGCCCCCAACCCTGTTGACGTGGGCGGGATCTTGTTGGACGAATGGGGGTCGCGGGGTGAAGTCCCTACTGCAAGCCGACTGCATAATTCACTCGCGCACGGACTCATCCAACCCTTGCCGGCGCCAATACGAAACGTCCGCGCAGATTTGATGTCCAAGTTTTGGCTCTTTTGGTATCGCAAGAAGGTAGGACATTCAGACGGCATCGAATATTTGAATTACACACAAGATTTCGTGGGCTGCTCCGACAAATTCTGTGATAAAACAGCCTCTCGTCAGCTCACCAGGGGCAGTGCACCTCTGGACAACCCGACTTTTCTCGAGGCGTGGTCAAACCAGTCGCGTGTCTGTTGGCGATCGCGCGCAATATCGCAGGGGCAAGAGCACGATTTACAACATAATGCATTACTACCGCGGTGATTCTCAACTCTCGCATCGGTCAGGTCCATCAGATGTGCGAGTACGTTTAGCAAAGATTCGCAACCAAGGCAGCACTGCCCCCGTTGCTTACTTGGAGCAATCTTCTGGCGCGAGAATAGTGCATCCTGTCCACATATCCGTAATGACTGCTCCAAGTATGAAGCCGTAGCCATACATGCCGTGTCGTGAAACTTGTCCGCAAAAAGCCACCGAGGCCCGTCCGATGGCTTTCCGGCCACATCACAGTGATGATCAAACGACTCGCTGCCACAATTCCTTGCAAGGACAGCGACAATTCTACCCAAAGTCTGGTGGCAGAGTTACGAATGAACGCTTTGCCGAAACCGGACAGTGGATGATGAGAAAAATCGATGAAGAGCCCGTCAGCTGGCCTCCCACGTCTAAGCTTCACAGGCCAATAAGTGCAGACAAAGTCTCCGTAGTGCGGCTAATTCAGAATCGACTTCATCTGCTGCGAATCAAGGAACACTTTGTGACCCTCTCGCTGGGCTTTCTGACTTAGTCGCAAGGCCTCGCGGACCGGAAACAATTTCGACGTGCCACGTACAGCCTATTCCGACAGGCCGAATATTTCGACTGCGCTGAAACAGGCAGGGATCACGCAATAGACTTGCACCTTGTCGCTTTACCTTCGGACACCAACGATGAATGACCGTTCTCTTCAAGAGATGGGTGTCTTTGCAGAACGCGTGTAAACCAATTTTTGCGCCTTGAAAGCTTGTGCAATTCTGTAGCGCGATTGTTGATCGACGCCTGGCTCGAAGAACAATTTCTTTCGATACCCATTGTTTTTGAGGGGCCACGCGCGGGCGCCCTTTTTAAACAACATATGAACGATGCGGACTCTGCCATACTCTGCCGCATTGGACAATGCAGTTTGGTCACCATGACACCAATTCATGTCCGCACCAGCGGTGATCAACTTTTCGCAAATCTTGAGGTAACCTCCTCGAGTCGCCTCGAGTAGCGGGGAGGTGCCCCCTAGAATTGGTCCCACGGATGCACCGAAGCTGATCAAGGCGCTCACTACACCTTCATGTCCGTGGTAGCTCGCCGATGTGAGTGGTGTGTGTATTCCAGAAAAGCTCCCGGGGAAGGTAGGCCGCCGCGGCTTTGCTGTGATGCTCGGATTCGCGCCGAATTCCAACAGCGTTCGACATACATCTGCATGGCCATTGGATGCTCCCAGAAATAATGCAGTATAACCATTATTTGTGATCGCATTCGGATCAGCATTGAGCTGCGTTTTCAAGGTATCCCAGTGGGCAGCACGATTGCCAACATCCGCAGCGGCTGATCGAGAACTTTTCAGCTGATCTGAGTTGGTGCTGATATTGAACAACTCACGACATAAGTCTGCTCTGCCAGAGAATGCGTTCATGTGTAATTGAGTCCATCCAGATGTATCCTTGCGCCAAAAGTCCGCTCCGAACTCAGCCAGGAGCCGCAATATCTCGAGCCCTTGCTGCGATTCGGGTAGTCTGTGGCTACCAGGACGCAGATGTCCACTTTCGTTACGGGCCATTAAGTTGGGATCCGCGCCTGCTTCAAGCAGAGCCCTGACAATGGCGAAATTGCCATTTTCGCAGGCCAGCAACAACGCTGAGTCTCCATTATCGGGTGTTTGGTCTGCATACGTGCCGATATTTTCTGCAGGTTCTGTAGAGAGAAGCATCGCAACTGCCTCGGTTAAACTCAAGGAACATGCGAAGTGTAGCGGGCTCATAAGGAACCCGTCGATGGCAGCTTTGTTGGCACCGCTTTCAATCAGTAAGATTGCAATAGATAATTCCTGGGCACCAATGGCGTTGAAAAGTGGAGTTTGTGACTGAACGTTTTTGGTTTCGAGATCAGCTCCATTCTTTATCAGGCATCTCACTTCTGCTTCGAACCCGAGAGTAGCTGCAATGTGTAGCGGCGCATGTCCATTTACATCAGAAGCGTCCATCAAGCCGGGGATCTTGGCCAGACGGTTGAGGCGATCCAAATCGCGTGCTTTTAGTGCTGCTACCAACGCCGAGTCTCCGGGCTCCTCCCCGCGATTAATGTGGAATTGGTCAAACGGCTTGCCATTGTGCCAGACCACGTCAATTCTGTGGAGTACCCTTTTGTGTACGAGGCAGGTCTTCACGCTTGCTTGACACGTTAGACAGACATCGTATGACCCGCCAGGGTGTTTGCTTGGATGACTAATGCTGTACGGTATGCATGTGTAGAAAGGATGCGATAATGTAATCTCAGCTCGACAGCTTCTGCACAAAGCTTTGAATGACGATTTCTCGAGGTCAACATCGAGTGTAGTTGACATGGTCGCCGATCCAGCGGGAACGGCCTCGATCTCAGCATTTTCTTCGGTCTCCTCGCTGATTCGCAGATCGGTGAAAGCAAGCGCTGATCTGTTGTTGAATTCATTGTTTGGCGATTCAACTATTGAAGTCGCACCCTGCGTTTCAGTATTCATGTTCTCTCTGTCTTGCCCCGACACTGAGAGAACGTGGGAAGGAGCGGCGACTGGGGAATCGACCGGCTGTGGCGTTCTTGACGTAGTCCGCTGATCAGACGATTCACCATCAATCAATGCCGCCTATTGACAAATGTCAGGTTATGGTCAAAGATGGACAGTACATTGGCACCCGTACACACCAAATGATGTTTCTCGTCATGGTTGAGCGCGTCTTCTGTATTTGCCTCAGATAACAAGCTGTGTACGATCATGTCTCGGACTTCAGGATAGATTGATTCTGAATATTCGGACAATTTCGCGATCGTGGAGTGATTGGCATCAGCCGGCAACGACGTCTCGTTCTGTCGACTTTCGACAGCTGATTCGTAGGTCACTAGGACGACAGATTCGCCACCGCGAGTGAGTTGGCCCGTAGCATCCTGAACAGATGAGAATCAGTCATTTAAAACGTATTCCTCGAGGCAGCACTGTGCCTCGGTGCGCGACTAACATTATACACCACTGTCGCAGTCTTTTGCAACTCGTACACGCTTAAGATCTGAATATCATCTGATACTCTACGAAACCGGGAATGGAGATCCCTCAGGATCCCGGAATTCGGCTCTAGCTCGTCGATTAGTCGCTGTGGGGGTTCGTTCTTAATGACAGTCCTGAGAGCGTCGATGTTCATGCCTCGATGAGGTGTCGCGAAGAAGACGATGAGTCGGACAGGCAAGCGTGGACCGATCCTAGTATCTTTGTCAGCATGCGACAATGGTCGCGGCGACCTTTGGCCGGATGACATTCACCTTGATTCCTCCGCTTGTATTAACGCCTTTGGACATTAGCGTGGATCACTGTTGAGAAAGCAGGTAATAGGCGCACCAGTTTTATGATTAAGCCACCTAGACTGTGGCCGACGAAAACGACAGGACTATCGTCATGTCAGCGCTTGGATAAACGACAAGTGAATAGCAAGACTCGCCGCTGATCACCCTGAGCAGAACGCGGTCAGTCCTGCGAGCAGAAAGTTGACAAAGGCGAGACATACCTGGGCTGTTCTCTTGCGCATGTGCAGCAATTTGGACCGAAACGCCTCAGCCAAGTCCCTCATCGTTGCAATCGACAGATCAGGACCTTGCAATTTTGTCGCATACCCGTACGTCATGATACGGGCTGTCTGGGTGGCGTGTGGTAGGAAATCTCGCAGCCACATCTGCCCATCCTGAAGAGACCATGATCCAATTGCATGACCTGCGAGACCAGTGACCGCGATGATGCTGTAAAGACATCAGCAATCAACGACAATCCAGATTCATTAATAGGGTCCTCATGTACTCTACGTCGTGTGTAACTGCAGCTGGAGAATGCAGTGGCGTGAAACCAAAGAAATCACGATCGATGGATAGCCTGTGCCGCACGCGATCTAGCAGGCCGGGAATATGATCAAGCGAGGTTGGTTCATGTCGGTATTTAAATGTTGCGGTGAGTGTCCGATGGGGATTGTCGACACTGGGACAGAGTGTCTTCACTTGAACCCGATCTCGCTCGGACTCTTCAAAGTAACCCAAGACTGCCTCTTTCGTAGCACCTGCTTTGATGCCTTGCATTCTCCACATCAAGGTCTTGGCCATTTTCGGTCGTATTGCTAAACGTGACACGAGCTACAGCACATGATATGGGAATGCGCCCTAGTATTTAGACAGTATGGTTTGAGAGACTGCCGTCTGGAATACGCCGGTACACAACAAGGCTCATGCTTCCTGGGTGGGGTCTTTGATAGGCGTAGCGCGAAGGATGTGATTTTCGACTTCACGTATTGCGACGGCCACTGGAGCCTTCTGGGGCCGCCTGTCCGCCGGTCCAATGAGGTGCGCTCGCAAGCTTCTCCAGCTGCTGACTGTCAGGACGCAGACAGCATACAGACACTTCTGTAGCAACATGCGGCCATGCGCCGGATCCGGCGACGCCAAGCGGCATCTCGCTGTAGAAACGTATCTTACCGGAGAGAAGCTTAGACTCAAGATGTCACCTGCGCGTTGTCGTCGACGTGTCAGACGCGAACATCAACGTTCAATAAACTATGGCGCTTCGCCTGAAATATCCGCACGACGCTCGATGATCCCCGAGGTTCCAAATGCGTCGTCAGTTTTGATTACAGAGAGCGATTCTCAATGTCAAAGGAAGCGCAGTCCGACGGTTCGTGCGTGCACGGACCTCCTGTGCGCTCACCAGAGAAACCACACGAGAATATGTGCATCCTCAACACCTCGCGACGAAATATCTGCATCAGCACATTACGATGCCATGCACATCTAACATCTCTCTCGACTGAAGAAATTGTCAGGCGGGATCTCAGATCAATTTCAGCGGCAAAATGAAGCGTAGACAAGCTCGACTTGGTCTACCATCCTGTCAAGGGATGAGACGTCTGAACGTGTATTCACTGATTGCAATATCTCATATTCCAGGACGAATGCACAATTGATATCCAATTTGAGCCTATTTCGATGTATTTACTGGGCTGCGATGAAGGTCCGCTCAAGCGGTTCTCCAAGTTGGTCTATTTTGTACTTCCTTCAGGATCCGACTATGCAGTCCGCCCTGTCACGCCGTTCAAAACACTATTCCAGAAGCGTAGGCCGGCAGCCTCTTTTGGCTCTGGTGCCCCAGCGTCGCACCGGGCCCTTGTTGAAGAAAGCCTCGAGATATGATCCTTCGTCCTCCGAATCAAGTCCTTGCTGTATGTGATGCATGTCTCAATGCTTGGCCATCACAACCGCTTCCATACCATATCCAGGCAACCGTAACGAAGATCGGGCCCTTGACCGAGGGCGGTAGAGTGTTCAGCACCCGAGCTGAGCCTCAGCTCAAAGAACCATATCCATCGCATCACCGGAGCGTGATCCGCGTAACCTGAAAGCCAAGCAACGTACTCATAACTTCCATGCGAATATCCTGGCTCACAGAGACGTTCCACGCGTCCAAATAAGCACCCGTTTTGGACCTCGGCCAAGCACGAGCACCTCTCGAAAGCAGATACCTGACAACCTCGACGCGACCCTTTCTGGCGGCGATAGACAAAACGGTGTTCCCACCAGCATGTGTGAAATTGAACTTTGCACCAGCATCGACCAGGAAACGACAAACATCGAGATGGCCTTCGGCCGCTGCGACGTAGAGAGCGGTGGCACCGTCTGAGATTTGCTCTAATGATGCACCGGCTTCGGTTAAGATCTTGACGACGTCCGTGTGGCCATGTGCGCTTGCTGAGCGAAGAGCTGTGAAGCCTTCGGGGACTTCGGGCGAGGTCCGACATCGTGTCTCGACGATTGCGCCGTGGGATAAGAGCGACCGGCAGGACTTCGCTTGTCCGTCGCCAGCAGCTAGATACAGCGCAGTGCATCTTTCGTCGTTCATTGCATCAACTTCGAATTCGACGCCGCTTGCCAGCAGAACCTCTAGAGCGGCCTGTTGGAAGTTTCGAACGGCCACGTGCAGAACTGTGTCGCGCGTTTTACGAGTAAGCGCTTTGGGATCTGCCCCGAGATGAATCAGTTCTAGACAAAATCGTCCCTCGCCTTTGCGCGCGAGGCTGTGCAACACCGTATAACCGAAGTCATTTTTGGCGTTCAGATCCAAACGGTATTTGAGCAGGAGTTGAATGATCTCTGTTTGTCTAAGTGGTGGCCGCAGACGCTGGATAAGAGAGATTTTGTTGCCGTTGTAAAGTTCAGTAATGTTTGGATCAGCGCCGCGCCTGAGCAAGATCTCTATGATGGTGATATCGCCGCTGAGACAAGCCTTCGCAAGTGCAGTATGGCCATGCTGATCTTGACCGGTAAGATTGAATGCGAGCCCTGTTTCAGGCAAAGCGTCAAGTAAAGCCGTCACGATCGCGAACGACTGTGTGCGACAAGCATAGTGTAGCAGCGTCGAATTTCGATCATCAACAACCGTGGTATCGGCCCCAAGATCGATCAGCAGCTTGATCATCTTGAGTTGTCGAGCCAGAATTGCCATACCTAGTGCGGTTCGGGATCGAACAGTTTTCGCTTCGAGATTGGCTCCATGGTCGACCAAGAGCTTCACTTCTTGTTCGTAGCCAAAATGAGCGGCGATTTGTAACGGTGTGTATCCGTTCGCGTCGGTTGTCTCTCTCAGGTTGGAGTGACACTTCCTTCCATCGAGATCTCGGCGTTTCAATGCGTTAATTAGATAGGAGTCCCCGGCCTGCGGCTTCCGATCAATATATATAACGACATCCGACAAACCCTGCCTGTAGATCAACACGTGTTGGATGAGATTGATATCATGTTCTTGGCAGGTGAAATTTGACGAACGACATGTCTTGCATATTGCACGAATCCAATCACTTTTGACATGCGCTGTTTTGTGGTTATCTTTGTAGCATCGGTAGAAATAATCTGGCGAGCTGATCGGACGCTTGCACCGACTACAAGTAGTGCTCAAATTCTTGCTTGTTAGGCTAGGCTCGGCAGGTAACTTGACAATGGCTGGACCACGATCGTTGGAATCGGAGTTGGCAGACTGCTGTGAACGGCTGTCGACGTTTGCTTCGGGTTCACTACCTGCTATAGAAGTGTTTGAAACGGCGTTTGCTGCCGTCTGCGGCTTGATGCCGCTAATTGGGGTGGCGGATCTATTGCTATCCTGTTGTGGCAGCGCGAATGGAGTCCGCCTTGGTGATGGAGTTTGCTTCGGTGGTGGCGAGGCTGTAGCTTTGCTCGCAAGATTGGCGTTGCTCTTTGCTTTAGCGGGGGCCGGCGGCGATCGCAACCCAGACTGAAGCGTGTTCTCCTGCACATGTACCTCAAACATCAGCACTCGTTTCAAAGGCTCCTGTGTCCCCATCTTACATACGGTAATTCGTGGCTGATCGCGAGTAGTATTCACAGCATCGACATGCATAGCGAACATGAGGCTTCTTCGAATCTTTGCTATTATTGCTGGATAAATCCCACCTTGGTACCTATCGAACTTGGCAATAGTGGTGTGGTTGGCTTTCGCAAGGATAGACTCTTCATTGTCCCGGCGCTCCAGCGCGGACTCGAGGTCGACAAGCATCATTGGCTTGCCCGCCCGCACATACTTATTCTGAGCTTCCTGTGGTCGATCGATTAGCAGGGAACGCACATTTGCTCTGCGAGGCTTTTCTCACGTCGAACACGACTGTTTGTGTCTCCAAGGTCTCGAACACGCATAGTATGGGTATCCTATTCGAGACGTCGTGGAACCTATCGTGCATGTCCTTCAGTACCGGCGACCCTATACCGATCTCATAAACCAGATGCTGCGGAGGCGCTGTCTTGACCATAGCCTGTAAAGCATCGATATTCATGCCCTTTTGGGGAGCCGCGAGGAATATCAATAGACGAATGGGCAAGCGCACGCGTTGGCTGTCGTACAGGTTAGTAAGCCACAATGAAAGGTGATCCGAAGATCGCCGTCGGTTTTCGACTTCTACCTCAGATACTTTTTCCCTATCATTGCCTGCGGGCGGTCAGCACGTTCTCGAAAGGTCGGGTTGGGAGACAGACCTTCTTGATGAGCAAACATCCTAGACTGTGCCCGATCAGGATGAGAGGCCTATGCAACCGTCAGCAGGAGGACATGACTGGATATTTCGTAAAGTAGCCCACCGTTCATCACCCTAGAAGTCATCGGTCAGGACTGGATATCATCAGCACGTTCGAAGTCTCGTACTCGCTCGGTCATCCCACGGAAAGCCAGCAGATAGGTCATGAACTCATCTGCCAACTCGTGCAGCGAGGTATTGGGCAGGCTCCCTCCTGTCAACGGTGCGGCATAGCCGTATGTGAGGATTCGAGCATTGGGGATGTCCTGCGGCAATTCATCTCGTAGCCACATGCTCCCATTAGACATCGACCACGAGCCGATTGCATGGCCAGCTAACCCAGTGACAGCAATAATACTGGAAGATGTCAGTACATACCACCGATGCAGACATGTCAGCGATAGACGGTGCGCGTTCGGTCTTACTCCAGCTCATAGTTCTCAGACTTTGGGTGATATAATGGTGTAAATCCGAAAAAGTCGCGGTCGATATGAGGCGAGTTTAGCATGCTTCGTCCAGAATCGGCAACCAATTCTGGACATGCTGTGGGATGATCCGGTTTTGGGTTGTATTCTACAGTCGCGATGGAGCAGGTCGGCCGATCGAAATCGAGACATATTGATCGGACGCGCAACCGATCAGGTTCACGAAACAAGGCGAGGACACTGTCTCTGGTGATCCAAGCAGGGATATTCTGCACCTTCCAAATGAATTTCTTGACCATGATGATCTGCTACTGCCATAGCAGAAGCAAGGCGTGAAAGTCGGCATTCCTCGCCTGCTGCGACTGAAGCGCGGGGCGGTGCATCGGTTTCGGGCCATCCTTCGCAATCTTTTCGGCTTCATGCAGAAGGGCGCCACGATCGATTGGTCATACAGCAGATCAATGCCGCCAGCCTGGGTGATATGCAGCACCTCCCAACGATGGCGATTGCACTTTTCGAGAAGTTTGACACATTCGGAACCTGTTGGAGTGCACATCTTGCGGTCTGCAAATATGTTGATGGACTGCCCATGTGTCCTTACTGCGCGTAACAACACCTGATGAGAAGAGCCCGAATTACGTTGACTTGTGCACGAGCACCGGAGCATGCTTCGTCAATCTGCGCGTGCTGGCCGGCCGCAGCGGTCCGATGGGGGTCATTCCGGGGTAAGGGCCAAAATTCGGGCGTCCTGGTCCCATAAGAAACTCAATAACCTCTGGAAGATCAACACGAAACAACAAGATTTTCCCCAGAACGCACCGGACGATACATTATACCAAGGATTCTGGCATGTATCTACACTGGATCGATCGAGACTCGGTGTTTTGAAACCAGCGACCTTCCAATTCTTCCTCGACGGCGCGTCGGGAAACCATCAACGAATTGTTACAGGACGCGTTAAGCTCAGGGTAGTAATCAGCCAAAGCCAAAGGTACGCCACATCAATTTCCAGCGAATCCCTTCTCCACTCATTTCAGTCTCGTACATAGCCTGAAGATCAGATATAACGATCCAAGAGCATCCAAAAGCCCGGCTGCGGTGTATAGTGCGTAGATGTATGCAGGGCAGCCCAGACGAAAGTCCGTTTGCATCACGCCTTTATTCAGCACGTCTTCTCAATATCGTACTTTTCCAAAAGCATCGTGATCTCCACCCTCACGGCCATCCGAATGGAAGGGTCAAACCATGTCGAGTACCACGTCTTCAAGGTCGAGAATGGCCATGCACGAACTCCTTGTTCGAGCAGGAACTTTACTACGCTGACGTGTCCGTTCCTGGCGGCGTTCAACAAGACGGTGATTCCGCTCGCGTACTTGATGTCATGGCGGGCACCTGCCTTGAGTAACAGTCGGCAGCCCTCGAGATAGCCGTGTCCGGCCGCGATGCCGAGTGCGTCGAAGCCGGAGGCATTCAGCTTATCCAATTGGGCGCCGGACTCGACCAGAATAGTCACAACGTCGGTATGACCGTTCATGCTTGCGGCAGCTACCGGTGTGAGCATGAACTTAGTGTTTGCGTTGTGCTCAAAAGGGCATTCGACATTCACATCTGCGCCGTTCGATAAGAGTATTCGGCAAATTTCTGGTCTGTTCCCCACAGCTGCGAGCCAGAGGGCGGTGCGGAGGGACTCGTCCTTGACCTCTAAGAGAGACTGGGCGCCGGTGCGCCGTGACGATTGCTGCAATGTTGCATCTACGCTGAGGATCGCCTGACAAAGATCTGCACGGTCAGCCCAGACCGCACAATGGAGAGGGTTGGCGCCTGGGTTGAGAGCGGCCAAGTTCAAGCCATACTCAACCAAAAGCCTGATCATTAGAGCGCTGTTCTGGGAATTTGGCAGTCTCAAGATCGCCGAGACCTCGGACTTTTCGATTTGTGAGGTTCTCATTGGATCTGCACCAGCGATGAGCAGCTGTTCTAAGATAGCGTGATCGTTCATCACCAGAGTTATTTCCAACGGCGTCGTCCGCCCACGATCCCCTTTATTCAACATCGTTGCCAGTTCCGTCGGAGACAGTGCGGCAATTAACATTGCTACGATCTCGGTCGAGCACACCAGGCAGGCCAAGTGCAGCATTGAGCGTTGACGGCCATCGCAAGCGAACTTGTTTGCACCCAGCTCAAGCAGCAACTTCACAAGGGCAACATTTCTTGCGAATATCGCCGTTGCCAAGGGAGTGCGTGAGATGGCATTGGTGGTTTCGAGATCGGCTCCGCGTCGTGCCAGAGAGAGCAAGCCTGCCTCAGAACCTATAAAGGCTGCCACGTGTAAAGGAGAGTCCCCGAATGTATCGCCAGCGTCCCTCAATCTCGGGTCTGTAGCCAAAGCCTCCACCTGATCGATGTCATTCGCCTTCACTGCTAGAGTCAAAGCTGAATCTCCTGGTTCAGGATCCCTGTTCTGGAAGTATTCATATATGCGCTGGCTACCGTAAGATGTAACGCGATGCCTGATCGGTGCCGTCCTATGCTCGACACAGTAGGTCGATTCCTTGTAACACATCTGGCATACGGGCGCCTGACCCTCGGCATTAACGATGGTATGTGGTGTTGTGGTACACTGCCAGAAGAACTCTGTCGATTTTATCACTCGCTTGCATCGGATACATTCGGTGTCCAAATTCTGGGATGGCTGACTTGTTTCAGCAAATAATGTCGCGCGAGATCCACGAGCCGGTAGAAGCGGTGCCGAATATGCAGCAGAATCTTTGCGCAGATGTCTTTCGGAGCCGACGGGTATCTCCAATTGTGAGCTGACGCTTGCCGGCTTGGTTCCATGAGCCGGGTCCCCCATAGGTTCTGGGCGAGTCCCAGGCTCAGGTGTAAGAAGATCTCCAGCCTGAAGCGAGTTCAACTCGTTACCGAACGGTTTGGACATCGACCAGACCGAATCAACGGCTTCAGATGAGAGGTTTGGATCATCCAGTACATCTTTCCTCGTGTTTTCATGTGTTTGGTGGCGCCTCGGCGTAGCCTGTCCCTGAACTCGTGGAACTCATGTTAGAAGAAGGGCGGGCAGATCCAAAGTGCATTCTAGATGTCCACATACCGCTCTACGATCCGAACTGTGTCCGCCGTGCGCATTCGCCGACAGCAGGCTTTGCTTTATCATAGCTCTAATCGGTGGATATATTCCTCCTTGGTACCTATCAAACTTCGCGATGTCTGTATGGTTAGCTTTGGCAAGGATGGTATCTTCATTATCTCGGTTCTCCACCGAAGAGTAGACATCCACAAGCAGCACGCTTTTGCCGCTTCGGACGAACTTTTGCTGAATATCCTGTGGCGATGGAGTGTTGAATTAGCATGCGAAGGTAGTGTCCGGTTCGAAGGCACTTGCATCGTAGATAACCGTTGGCGTTTCTAATGTTTCGTAAACGCTGAGGATTTGAATGTCATTTGACACTTTCCGAAATCGGTCATGCATTTCCCTTATCGTCGGAGAGCGCGGACCCAGTTCGTTGAGGAGCTGTTCCGGCAATTCGCTTCTGCTCTCAATCATAGTTTGGAGTGCCTCGTTATTCATGCCTCTGTGTGGCGCCGACAGGAATATAAGTAAGCAGATAGGCAGGCGATGTCTCTCGCTGCTTTGGATGTCAACGGCCAGATGTGCGGTAGAGTAACCATCATTGTCCAGAGATCTCTTACCGCAGATATCTCGATCCTATCATGGCCTGACCTTGTTAGCGTATAGTTCGAGGGAGGATACAAAGGGCGTCAGCTGATGGCCTACCTTCTTAATGAGCAAGCATCCTAGACTATGTCCGATCAGAATGATGGGACTGTGCAAAAATTAGCCGAGCGATCATGACTAACGAGCATGACTCCAACTCGCCGTCGTTCGCCCTATCTTTCATCAGTGTCGAGACTTGGCGGTGCTGGCATATCCCTTCAAGATAAATACCTGTTCGGTCATCTCGCGCATGTAGACCAAATTGACCAAAAATTCCTCCGCCAAGTCCTGCACCGTGGAAAAGGGACGGATTGAGTCTGCTAAGCGAGAATCGTAGCCATACGTGAGGATGCGAGCGTTTGGTACATCGTCCGGCAGGACATCACGTAACCACATCCTTCCATTGGGCATAGTCCATGACCCTATGGCATGTCCGGCAAGTCCGGTGATGGCGATTATGCTGTATCTCGACATCAGATCATTCTCGCAGCGCGACGGGCGACAACGCATATTTCAGGCAGGCATACTCTGAATCGTAATCTCCTGATTCTGGATGATAGATCGGAGTGAAACCCCAGAAATCGCGATCAATGTGAGGCATATCATGTCCGGTCTCACGCAAGGCAGGACTGGCCGTTGGATGCTCCGGCCATGGATCATATTCGACGGTGGCGATCGAACACTTTGGTCGATCGAAATCCGGGCAAATTGATTTCACACGTAATCTTTCAGGATCCTTGAACAGTGCGAGAAGGCCATCTCGTTGGATACCAGCGGGAATATTCTGGACCTTCCACACGTATTTCTTGACCATCATGCTGGTATTGCCGCGCGAACCGGATTTGATGATGTCTGTCACCACTGCATCGCGAGCAGCGCAGATGCGGGGCACGAAAACTTACATGGGACACGAGGTGTCTTGATGTACTGTAGATCGTCCGACGATGCAGATCGTTGCCACGATGTGACCGGCCCTGGAGCAGGATGACCGCAGCCAGCGAACGAATGCATGGGACGTTTCCTCCCCAGCATAGCCACAATAACACCACGTTCGGTGAAGAACCGTATCCATGCATTGATTTGGTCACCAACTGCGCAGTCCTTCCATCAGCAATCAGCGTGGTAACGATACTTAGTTCAGAATTGCTGCTCGTAAACATTTGCGACTGATGTGCGAAGACAATCAGCACAAGTTCTCGAACAAACATATACGGGAGGACGTTCCGGGCGGCGGAAAAACAGTCCAGCGGGCTGGCTGGACGGGCCGCCACGTGGAACGAGGCGAAGCTTCAGACGTCTAGCAAATCTTGGTTCCGCTTTCCACTTCGGACCACGAGAGAACCATGTTGCTGATCTACCTAGGTAGTCAACTATAAAAGGGCCGCCCACCGATCTTTTGCGCTTTCAAAAAGAATGTTCGAATTGGCTTCAGCTACGACGCGATCATTTTCAAGAGAGTGACCAAGATTACTTCCACGGATAAAGACGACAAGATCGCGTCCAAATGGCGACCGCCTCATCAGATACGACGATACACCAAACCGAACAAAAAGCAATAACTCCCACAACATCTTCACGACTGCCGCCGCCTCTACCACCCCTCGACTCGCTCGCCGCGACATGGCGCCCGCCCACGACGAAAGGCGTCGAGCGCCCCGAACGCGACATCCCAGCGTTCCTCCACCAAGACCTGTATCCCTCGCGGCTGGCGTCGATCCAAGGCCATCTGTACTGGGCGGGGCGCGTGCTGCCTCCACGAGCGCTGCACGTCCACCGGCTCATGCGGCGCGAGATCGTCGGTGTGCAGAACGTCGACCTGCACATGGTGTGGAGCAAAGGGCGAATCTGCATCAAGCCGCTCCCGCTCTACCTCCTCGATAGTGCCTTCAAGGAGAGATACGTCCAAACAGATCCGGTACTGCAGAGTTACGCGCTAGGGTTCCTATTCTCGTACATGGCGCTCGTGGCGACGGAGTTCGATCTGCACATCGCCCACGAGGCGGCGCTTCTCCCAAAGACGCTGAATTGGTCGACGTGGAAGGCCCTCGTGGAAGAGGTCGACGGCGTGCTCGGCCCGGACGCGTACGCGAAGATCGCGCCGCGCTACATCCACGGCGAACTCCGGCTGAGCCGGCTCGACAAGGTCTGCCGGTTGACCGGCCAGGGGGTGGTGTACGGCTTTCTCCCGGAGACGTCGACGGCGCTGTTCAGCGAGTTCTACGCGGACCACTTCGGGAAACTGGCGGCGGCGCTGGTCTATGTGGCGTTGATGCTGACGGCCATGCAGGTCGGGCTGGCGGATGAGTACCTGGTGGGGAACGAGGCCTTCCAGCGGGCGTGTTATGGGTTTACGATTTTCGCCATGGTGGCGCCGCTGGTGATTGCGATGGTGATCTTCTGGGTCGCGATGGGATTTTTCCTGCTGCAGTGGTGGAGGACGAGTAGGGAGTTTAGGGGGAAGATGAGGGCTATTGAGAAGAGCAAGGCGGGCGGTGATGGTGGGCCTTGATCTGTTGTTTTCCTTGTTGGACGTTGTATTGGATTCTTCAGGGACGCGCTTCAGTGGTCGGAGTGAGTGGCTCCTTGGGGGAAAGCAGCCTATCGGGTGTTTCTCCGAGATCTGAGACCAATCCCGCCTAGCTTCGATCCACGCCAAATCTCTCAATCGGACAATTTAGATATCAATCGCCCTGCGCACTTTCTCCGCAACAGCCATGAACGCCTCGGCAGAAGGCGATTCCGGACTGGCCACCATCGTCGGCTTACCCACATCGGCATCCGCACAGATGGATGCATTGAGGGGGATCTCGCCGAGGAAAGGAACATCCAATTCGCCGCAGATTTTCTTGACGCCTGAAGTTGAACAAAACAAAAGTCAACATGGCATTCCAGCGTTGCGGATTCAAGAAAGCCGAGAGCGAAAGAAAAAGACGGGTTGTAAAGGAGGGGTGAAGGAAGGGAAAGAGAAAAGGAAAAGAATTCGGCGTACCATCGCTCCCGAAAATCTCATGGCGCATCCCACACCCGCCACACACGAACCCACTCATATTCTGCACGAGGCCCAAAACCTCCACGCCCATCGTGCCCATCATCGCGACGCCCCTCTGCACGTCCCTCAGCGCCAGGGTCTGCGGCGTGCTCACCACGATCGCGCCATCGAGGATGACGCTCTGCATGATTGTCAGCTGGACGTCGCCGGTTCCGGGGGGCAGGTCGATGACGAGAACGTCCAGCGTCGACGGCCAGGAGACTTCGAAGAGGAGTTGGTTCAGCGCCTTTTGGATGAGCAGGCCCCGCCATGCGATGGGTTTGTGTTGCGGGACGAGGAAACCCATGGATATGGCGGAGAGGCCGTAGGATGTCAGCGGGAGGAGGGTGGAGGTCGGCGTGAGTTCTGGGGAGTGGTCTTCGAGCTATGAATGGGGGTTACTGGTCAGAGTGTCTTGCCTCTATTTTTCGTATCAAGTGCGGGTTTGTCGTGTGGAGAACTCACGTTGAGTAAGGTGGGGATACTCGGTCCATAGATATCCGCGTCGAGGATACCCGTATGGAGACCCTGCCTCGCCAATGCCAAAGCCAGGTTGATTGAGAGGGTGCTCTTGCCTACGCCGCCCTTGGCGCTGCTGACGAGGATGACTTTCTTGACGTTGGGAATCCGCCGTTTCTCGGGAAGACCTGGAAGAAAAATCATAAAACAAACATCAGCACCGATTCCCACATCTCCTGGTGTGTTTCGTTCGAATTGGGGAGGGAAGGTAATTACCGCGTTTCATCCTCGGAAAAGGCGCCGGCGTGCCTGAGCGAGGAAGACCCTAAAACACCATCCCCCAAATTTCATGTCAACAAAAGCTTGACGAAAAAGTCCAAAGATCGAAAAACCGAGTCCCACATGTAATCCCCTTCATATCAAGTCGTGGCCCATGGAAAGCTGAGAACCACCAAGCGTGCAATTCCAACAAAGACACCCTCAAAGGAGCGGTATAAACGGGCCGCACTTACCAAAGGATTTTCATGACTCGCTCTCGGCGCAGAATTCGAGAACAGCCGCTTCACTCCGCCAGAGCAGTCCAGATGAACCCTTCCCGCCCTCGTCGATCCCGGCAGGAGGAGAGCCGATCGATTCATCGCGGCGCAGCATTGCACATTCGATGTTGAGATGTGAAATTTCTGCGCGAGGGATGGCGAGGCGAATCTTGACATCGTCGAAGGGAGGAGGAGAAGAGGAGCAGGAGGAGGAGACAAGGTGGAAGTTCGATGCGTCGTTTGTCGAGTTTTTTCTTTTCCTGTTTCTCGAACGGATTTTCCGCACGGCGGCGATGGTGGTGGTGGATGCTCTCTTGGATATGCTGCTCTCCTTGCAGATTATCAATATTTCTTGTAGATGCAGAGGAAACGGCGGCAGGTGAGTCGTGAGCGATATCCGGAGGCCTCCCTCGAGGTAGTTGCGACTGGCCGGATGCGATGGGGAAAAGAAGGCTGGGTTCAACGATTGCTTGTTCGTAAAAAGATCTTATGAAAGCGACGTAATGGTGGCCGTGTCGATGGAAAGATCACCCGGATCATCCAATGTCTCTCGTTTCCAAGTGATGAAGAACCCGTCAAGTTCTGCTTTTCGGACTGGATCATAAAAGAGAACGGCGAAGACCGGCCGTCTCTTGATGAGATGAAATGTCCTACGCCACAACACCTTACGACGATCATTAGGGTTGTGTTATTATTCCACGGGTCGCCCGACGAAGGAAATTACCGGAATAGGAAATGCACTTCCGCGGGGGGAACGCCGCAGCCATAATACGAACAACAACAGGTGCTACAACAAACCACAAAATTGAAAAGAAAAGAAATCGCCTTCTGGGGGAGCTTACATCCTCATCCCTTCGAGAAGAGAACCAGAAAGAAGCAAGAGTCACAATTAGAGCAGACCAGACCAGAAGCAGACCAGACCAGAGCAGACCAGGGCAGACCTGCGATAGTATGCGTCAACGCGAGAGGGCCCCAGGGCGACTTCCGCGAATGGATGAATATCTACCAAGGCAGTGTTCGGATCCAAACTTGTCACAGACAGGTTGCATCATGAATCAATTTTCTTCAATTCCATAATTTCCATAATTTCCATACGAAAAATAAAGCGACTATCGATTAAAACCACAGCGATGTCTTTTTTTCCTTTTTTGATATCTCCATACAGATATCCCATTTATCCATGTCCGTTCCATGTCCATGTCCATGTCCATCCCCGTTCTTATTCCTCATTCTTCAAGCGTAATGGTTAGGAGCCGGGGGAGGAGGCTGGGCGTAACCGCTGGGTTTTTCGGCCGGTGGTGGCGGAGGCGGAGGTGGAGCATACCCTCCCGGAGCCGTAGGCGCGCAAGAGGTCGTGGTCGTTGCGGAAGGCTTGGTGTGGTATGGCGGAGGAGGATGAGGGTGGGTCTCGGGGTTGGCGGAAGCTGCGGGGGAGGGGGAGGAGTGGTGAGGTTTGGGGCTGTGGGGGTGAGGATGAGGGGCGGATTTGGAGGGATGGGTGGCGGGACCGCTGCCGTGGCCGGAGGAAGCGGTCTTCATGGTTGAGGGCTTGCCAGTGCCGGTTGTTGGGTGGGCTGGGGAGGTGTAGCCGGTGGGATGGACGGGGGTGGTGTAGCCGGTGGGGTGGACTGCTCCGCCGGTGGAGGCTCCGGTCGAAGAGGGAGCGCCGCCGCTACCATGGGTGTAGCCTCCACCATTGTTTCCGCCACCACCAGTCGAGGGAGCGCCGAAGACGAGGGCTCCGCTGAGCGGCAACTTGCGCGAGCTGGAACCGACGTAAACGGTCTTGGGGTACGAGGAGATGACCCAGTTCTGGCTGACGGTGTCCCAGTTGGAGACGTCGCGGCGGGTGATGTCCACGGAGAAGGTCGCGCTGGCGCCGGGGGCGATGTCGCGCACTTTCTCGAAGCCGCGGAGCACGACCTTGGGGTCGTTGGGTCCGCCGAGGGAAACGTAGACTTGGGCGACCTCGTCGCCGGAGTACTTGCTGCCGGTGTTGGTCACGGTGGCCGAGACGGTGAAGAGGACGTCGTAGAGGCGCTCGTTGCCACCGGGGGCAACGGATGAGCCAGCGGCCAGGATCGGCTGGGCGGAGGAATCGTATGACTTGTCGGGCCAGCTGTAAGCGACGCCGTAGTTCGGGTCACCGGAGGAGGCAGCGAGGTCGGTGGAGTTCAAGAACGGGTAGACATAGGCGTTGATCTTGCCCGGGAAGTCCGCCGGGAAGAGGTAGGCAGCGGAGGAGTTGTTGATGGTGCCATAGGTCGGAGCCGGAGCGGTGCGGGCAGAGCTGGGGGTGTAGGCCGGCACCGGGTGAGCATTGATCTGGAGGTTCGAGTAAGAGAAGGTGGTGTAGGAGAGACCATAACCAAACTCGTAAATTGGAGAGGTGTTGGACTTGTCAAACGCGCGGTAGTCGATGAAGACACCCTCGACAAAGTTGTCCTGGGGAGCGTTGACGCCGTTGTTGGGGGTGTAGATCAAATCGGTGCCGTAAGACTCGCGGGTGGCACCCCAGGTGAAGGGAGACTTGGCGGCAGGGTTGACGCGACCGTAGAGGACATCAGTCAAAGCATTGCCCGACTCTTGGCCTGGGAGACCTGCCCAGACGATGGCGGTGACATTCGGGTGGTCGTACCAAGCAGTGAGAAGGACGGGACCGATGGTGTGGAGCACCACGACAGTGTTGTTGCATGCATCCGCGACCTTCTTGATCAAGGTATCTCCATCGTGCCAAAGAGTCAAGTTGTTACGATCACCTTCATTGCCGTCGACGATGATGTAACCCTCACCACCATCAGAGTTGGCAAAGACCAAGCAGACGCCGTCAACCTCAGCAGCACGACGAGCGAGCGCCGAGGCCTGAGAGTAGGCGTAGTCGTCAAGAACGCTCTCGACAGCCTTGCGGTTTTGGAGCGCCTCGGTCTTGATGGCTTCGAGGGGAGTGACGAGGTATGGGAAGTTGGCGGTTCCACTTCCCCAACCCATGGCGAGGGTTCCGTTGTCACAGCCGCGGTCGGAGCATCCGTTGGGGCCGTATTGGGCCTCACCGGCGTCAGAGCCGAAGACGGCGGTCAATTGCTCCTTGCCGGTCAACGGCAGGGCGTTGTTGGTATTCTTCAGGAGCACGGTTCCCTTGGCGGCGAACTCGCGGATGTCATCGACGTGATCGCTGTAGGTGTCGACGTGGTGGTTGACCAATTCGTATCGCTCTTGGGCAAAGGCATGACGGAATCCAAAGGTGTCGGTCGTCCACGAGGAGAAGTTGGGGGCATCGGGGACTTGGTTGGATTCGCGATCGACGTAGTACCAAGCGGCAACGATCCGGACAGCCATGTCGTCGAGACGCCATTGCGGGACAGTGCCGTTGAGCACGGCAATGGTCAAGTTAGCGCCCCAGTAGGATGTGCCTGTTGGTTATATCGTGAGAAAAAACACTCGATTTCCAATGTCACGAATAATGTGCTCCACTTACGGCTGTCAAAGGTGACATCACCAGGCATGGTCATGTCCAAACCCGCGAGCGCGCTGCTGACGCCGGAGTGTTGCGCTTGCCTGGGGAGGAAGTCAGAATTGGCTCGTAACAAGCTCGGACATGATTCCAGATCAACTCACCAATCGCTCATGATGAAACCTGAACCAAGCAAATTCACGGTCAGCCAGAGCTCCTGAGTTCCACCAAGTTCACGACCCTCGCGACTCACCCTGGAAACCTAGCTCGTTCTTCAAGAGTTCGTTCTGCATGTAGCTGTTCTGGCAGGCATAGCTGTTGTTGACCTGGTTGTACGAGCACATGATGGAACCGGTACCGGCGCGGACAGCGTCGGCGAACGGCCACATGTACAGCTCGTGCATGGTGACGTCGTCGATGTTGGAGCTGATGGCCGCCTTGAGGTAACCGGGAGGAGGGCCCTGACGGTAGTGCTCCTGCTCGTTGCCGATGAAATGCTTGGTGCAGGCAATGACGCCCGCCCCTTGGATACCCTTGACGGTCTCGGCGACGGCGATCCCAGAGAGAACCGGGTCCGGTGAGAAACCTTCCCAGTTGCGACCGCCTTCGGGAGAACGGCCGATGGGACCGACGACCGGACCGAGTTGGACATCGACACCCTTGCGCCTGTGCTCGGTCCCCATGTCGTGTCCCCGGCGACGGAAGAGTTCGCGATCCCAGGTGGCGGCGATGGTCACACCGGCCGGGTATGCGGAGGAGAAGTCGGCGAAGCGCACACCGAGCGGCGAGTCCTGCATACAGAGCGCCTTGAAACCGAGACGCGGGATGGCGCCATTGTTGCCGACACACTTTTCACCTTCCCAACCGACGCCGGTGGTGAGGTTGACCTTTTCGGTGAGGGTCAATTGCGATACGAAGGCGACGGCGCGGGCGTGCGCGTCGGCCCAGTCGCCCAGACCGGACGACCATGGAGATGGGTATCGCGGCGGCGAGGTCTGGTTGGTCTGCGCGCCAGGGTTGGTCTGCGCGAAGACCGCCGTGGCCGGCAGCAAGGCCGCGACCAGAGCGGAGGTGAGCGAAGACACCATGTCGGGTGGTGAGGGTGGTGATGGAGGTCGTGCTCGATGCGTGAGTAGACCCACACGCGAATTGAGTGGACGAAGACGATGAGGAGGAGAAGACAGTAAAAGGACACGGCGTGGAGAGGAGAGAGAGAAGAGAAGAGGGTAGAGGAGGCCAATGATAAAGGTGAAAGGCGATGGCGATGGTGATGAAGTGGGAAGGTGATTAGACTCTATTATGGTACCTGACAGCTGTAGAGCGGTTGTCAGTCGTCAATCGCGCTCCGCGTGTCAATGGCGATGATGGACGGTGATGGTGGAAGCCAATGAAGGGTTCACGACATATACACAGACGGAAAGGGTGTGTTTCCCCCCCACCAAAGAGAGAAGCGAGGAAATGGATGTGTGTTCGCGGTGGTGGTGGTGGCGGTGGTGGTGGTGATCTGAAATGAGTGATGAGTGTGTATAGGCACTGTACCTACCTAGCTAGAACTGTAGTACGTACTGTAACGTCACATGAAGCTAATCCATCAATGCTGTCCCTTGACTTTAATACATGTGCGATGATGATGAGAGACAGCCATTGGGCATATTTCCATGCTGACCGAACCCTCCAGCTTTTTTCCCAAACCGGAGCTATCGAATATTGACATGCAACCTGCCTAGCACCCTAGGTATGTTTGGTGGGCATCCGTGTGTCTCGATGTCTCACCACTACAGCGAGGAAACAGAGACCATAGCAGCAGCAGCAGCAGCAGCAGCTCTACAGCACACCTAGGTGATTCGTCAATGGAGGCAGACAGATCGCGATACGAGCCAAACACCTCATCATCAGTCATGACTGCGCCCTCTCTCTCTCTCCGCCCTGTTATGGGGAAGAAAAGGCCGAGCTACTGCTGCAGCTCTTGCATTATTCAATAGCAATAAATGGAGACCCCATACGGAATCTCTCCGATGGAGGGCCCATCGCATGGCGCCGACGCCCGAGATCTCCTGCCTTTACCCGACGCCTGTTTCGCGTGGGTATGTCCTTTACATGTGTGATTATCGTTCGTCGACCAGGGACACACATGGTGGTATATACATTTATCCGGGACTACATCAGCCCTACCGCTGGCCAGGACTGTCCAACGGGGAGGAAAGACGCCGGACTAGAGGGATCCAGCTGGAAGAAACGGGACCCAATAACCCCTCGATGGGTATGTCCCAGATCTGCCGTGTATCCCCCGAACCACCGCCGCCGCCGCCGCCGCCGGACGACGGGAATGCGACATGGATCTTTCATCGACTGCGGCTGGAAGAAAGGGAAGAAAGACAAATTGTAGGCGCCTCATCGTTTTGCACATCCGCTGTATACCGCCGCCCGCTTGCACTGTACTGTACGATCATCGTCCCTTTGGATCGGAAACACCACAAGGATGATAGTTCGCTCTCCTGTAGAATGTTTGACTCGCGAATGGACCGTACGTGAGGACGCATTGTCGGACGAGAGAACCTTTGTCTTGTTTTATCGCATACGGGCGTATGACCGTACGAGAAGGAACACATGAAATCGAGGTGGTTCCAATCTTGGCGGGTCCTCGAGATTTTCTTTCTTCAACCATCGATCGTGTAGTGCAACAGTAGATCATGGGGAACGTTTCTGCCGTTTGGCTACGGTCATCTGCTATTGCTTGCTACTCCCTGCGTTCGCACTGCACTGTTCATCCGTCGAAAGAGGCATGTCCTCAACCAGCAATCGAAGACCCGTCACCCGCCGCAGTGCAATCCTGGCACCAAAAAAATCGGAAATCAATCGATGGACATCTACGGGCGACTGCCAACTGCCAAACACAAACACAAACAACAACAACGCAGCGGATGTAACCCAAGCCTTTTTTTTCTCCTCCCCTCCCATCCTTTGAAAACCTGTCCCCGGCTTTTTTTTGTTCTCCACAAAAGCCAAGCGCGGGAAGGGAGGGAGGGAGGTGTGGGAAGAATCCAAAAAAAAGCCACCGAATCGCCATCGCGCCGATCATTCATGCATGTGGATGATGATGATTATGAGGCGGGATACGGGGCACAGAGAGAGGGAGGGAGAGAGGGAGCTTTCCCCACATCCACCTGCAAATTGATGGTTGGCGGGAGCTTTCTAGGGCATGTCCCCATTCGGAGCTGACGGACCGCCCGCTGGGGCTGACGTCGGCGGTCGTGTGGAGAACAGCCCTGGAGTTGCTTGGTTTGTGCCGCCGCCGCCGCCGCCGCCATCTCTCTCGCAACGCCTCAGCCGTCATGATGGATGGAACCACGCAACACCTCAGTGCCTACCTACCTACCTACCTACATACCCACCCAGCTGCCACCCGGCAGTTAAAAGAAAACTCCGGATCGGGCAAATCTTCGGATGAAAGGCGAAAATTCCCGCGATGTATGCATGCAGCCCTTGTCCATACCATGCCATACCTACTACAAACTGGGGAGCGTCGCGAGCCGGGCCTCCCTGCCTGCAGCTTCACCGTGATGATTCTGCGCGTTCTCCCGGCGCGTCTCCCGGGGGAACTTCGGGCGGAGAAGAATGAATGACAGGCAGGCGCTTTATAATCAGCCATTCGATTCCCGAAGAAATCCCGTGACCACCAGACACGACTCGATGAGACGCGTTGGGCGATCGATGTCGTATATTGCTCACGTATATTTTCACGGCTCGACAAGGAGGAGCTGCACCCTTCCCAAAAATACTCCAGGGCGGTGGATACGAGTGTCTCACAGGCGAGGATTTATACATTGACGAGTAAATTTCGAGTCAACATTCTTCAGTCAATTTTTCATATCTGATTCTCTGTGTAGAGGTGAGTAGCGGGAATTACATGCGCCATCGTCTATTCCTCGCCGTCATCATCGACAGCTCCGTTCCCATCCCTCTCCTCGAATTTCAGAAACGCATCATCTACAACAGCGTCTCCTTCCGCGCTCAAGACCTGACGCCAGACACGCTTCACATCCTCGAGAATGTCATCCTGCAATGCGAGGTCGAGCGAGAGGGGCTTCATGACGAGTACGTGGTCATTGGGGGAGTCTGTCGGCTGTGTGTGTGATCGTCGCTGTTGTTGGTACTGCATTTGCCAAATACGCTCAGAAGGAGAATAGACGTCTTCGGAACCAGCAAGGCTCAGGAGGAATTGGTCGACAGCTTTAGAGAGGAGATCGAAACCGCCGGCGTCCGCAGACCGGGCGATGGAAGCGTACAACACGGCTAGATCGAGTATGACATGGTCAGCTACTTTCTTTCCCAATTGCGAGAAGGTCGTGTGTTATGTTCGTGAAAATGAAATCATCGAATGGTTTTTCAGTTTGTCAGAGGTTGTTTATCGTCAATGTTGTTCAGACAATGTAGATAAGTATTCAATTATTAGGTTGTTCATCATTTCAAGATGAGATCATGGGGCCTTGTGATGTGGAAGCCCGGGTTATTTGGAAAGGAACGATAGAACTCACCTTGATTTGTGGGACATTCTCCAGATTCGCTCGAGTGAGCGAGAATGAATACTGGTGGTCCATCCGGCGTGGCCGATGGGACCAGAATCACCGCACCGACAGGTATCACGCCACCCTCGGATGTTCGTGGGAAGATCGCGGGAGGCAAGGCTGATACGACAGTGATGCTTCGACAAATTGCGTCGTAGACTTCAGCGTGAGCTGTGTCAGTAGAGGGCAGGTCTGTAGATTGTCCGACCAGCCATGACGTGGAGACCTTTTCCTGACCCGTGAGTGTCACATTGACACGAGAGTCTTTGTCGGCCGAAGAGGCTTGCTCAACACCCTTGCCGAGCACATAGACTCCTCCACCAACTGCGCCGGCACGACAGGCAACTTGCGAAATTTCGGCAAGTCCTCCCCATTTGGGAGCCAGCGCGCCAAACCCGGGACCAAACAGACCGATGCTGCTCAAATGTCGAGAGATTCGTGGTACTGCATTTTCGACGACCGTCTTTTCTGCCGGAGATGTGCTCAAGGTCAACGCCAATATTGGCGCGTGCGACGCTGGTGGGAGTCCAAATTTCTGCTGAAGAAAAGCCGGCAACGGCAAGTCTTTGTCCTCAGTCCATGCGTCCGGATTCTCTTCCGATGTCGTGACAAAACGTAGCAATTTCATCAAAGAACGCTTCGCCCTGAGGTCGAGTGTATCATCTTGGAAGATGTCCTCGCGACCTCCAGGTACCCTGATGAGTTTACCAGGGGCAGACTTATTCTCCTTGGAGGTTTCGACCAGGAACCAAGATCCTACAGCTTGAAAATCGAGCTGAGTGTGCGTGCGGGACGAAACCAACGCTGGGATCAGTGTTGATCGAGCATAAACGACTTGCGGTGCGAGAGCAAGCGAGTATGATCGTGATGGTGCAGCTTTGCTTGTGTCATGGCCAGCAGGCTTCGATATGGTAGCATGACTGAAGTTGCTTCTCCCACCACTGGTCGCAGCATGGTTTTCCGCCCATTTTTCAGCATCAGCCAGCGTCAAGGCTGCCTCTTCGCCGCCGTAGTAGTCATTTCGATCGACGTGAAGGACTTTCCTGCCGGAGCGTGAAAGTGCACTTCATATCCGAAGCAACCGCAGAAAGATATGCGTTAGTCTTGATGTTTTCCTTCTCGAGCTGAACAAGCTGGAAGGACGCAATAACTTTCAACGGCGCACATACAGCGCGAGAAGAGATTGTGGCAGGCCAGTGCCGGAGATGAGGACATCCCAGCTGGACCCGTCGAGACTTTCGAGCTCCATCATGAGGGTGATAGGAGAGGTAGCAAATAGATGAATGGATATGGGTGAAGATGAAGAGATGGTGCACGATTCTGCTCTACTAGAAGCTTGGCAAGCACGGTGCACCTGGGCAGGCGTCAAAGCTGCTGACTCATGCACGTGCGCTGGGTCCAAAATTCTCACGAGGCTTTCGCATCATTTTGGACTTCTCCTTCGACATGCGCGCCTGGCGAGACAATGTTCATCCTCATGATTCCATGATCTGGAGCAGCGTCTCCAGCCCGGATCTCTTCACTGTAGATTCCGATCTTCAAGGCGCGAGAGACCAAATTTCTCTTCGAAGCACGTCCTTGTATCTCCTGCCTTGACATTTGCTTGATGGCGCAGGTCGTTTGTGACGCACATTACTTCCCCCTTTTGGCACATCTTTTGTATTGTATGGTGACTTGAGATAGCAGTGGCTTGCTCGTTGGTGCTCTGGCTGTGGCATTGGGCTCGCTGGCCGTCGTGCATACACTACGTCCTATGGAATCCACACGAACCTGTGAGCATGAAGCTTCCCCAAGACGTTCCTTATCCTCACCAGGTCGGTGGGACGGCCACGACTCGATAGACGATCCAGATTGCCAGCAGCAAATTTGCCGTGACCAGCGCATCGTCGATCACCTCAGACGCATCCAGACCTGGCGGATCTGATGACGGTGTCATCGGTGTATCAGTAAAGTCGAGCGCTTCGTCCCAGATCTCTTTGTCAATCATCGGGTCTTCAAAATAAAAGCTGCATCGATTGAAGCTGTGAACAGCGGCGATGTTGTTATGCGAGACGTGAGAGGTACCTTGAATGGTTTGTGTTAGGGTTGGGTTGGGAAAGCATATGAGTAAAAGTGTCACGAGTGTCGATGTCAAAAAATGTAAGAGTGGTTGGTGCTAGCTAGCATCCCGCTCATGGCTGGCATTGTAGGCTTCATCGGTGACGGCTGAAGGACGATATGACGACAGGGATGGGGGAAATCTGCCGAGGTGTCGGGACTGGCTTTTGAGCATCTTTCTCAAGTGAATGTCAAAGCTAGATTGGCCATTTCACAGTGTTCGTGAGAGAATGGGCATGTTCACGACGGTTAAACAAAACGACTCACGTCCTCTATCACGACCACCGATGTGGCAATTAAATTGGAATCTATTTCTATCTTTTATGGTCACCCCGTCTCCAAGCTTGCTCGGCGTTGGATCTATCAATGAGCCCTTCTGCGCTGTACAGCAGCTGCAGTTATACCTGCCTGATCGCGGCAGGACCTCATTGACTATAATGATTTTGTTTCTCGCCGCACTAGCCACACCGACGAATCTAAACTCAAAAGAAGCCTACTGCAGCTTGGGAAGTAATCGCAAAGACATATACCAAGGTGATGTAGCACCCGCCCTGCAACATCCATTTGGCCCCTTGCATCCATTTGCTGGATGCATTCCGTGTCCGTGGCCGGAGTGTCCGGAGAGCTTCCCGGAGTACATCGTCAGCTTTCCGGAGTTTCTGCTTTGCCTTCTGCTCGAGCCAAGCACTCGTTGAAGAAAGCCGCTGTTTCCGGTGCGCCTTGACAGCTTCCCGGCGTTTCTGCTTTTCCTGCCTTTCTTTCCGCCTCTGGAGCTTAACGCTCCGACGGCGTACCTGTCTTGCCCTGCTCCACTCGCGCCAAGCGCTCGGTGAAGAAGGGAGATTTCGGTGCTGCATCGCTGATCTGGTCGGGCTGATCAGAGCATCGCCAGGATTCCTTGTGGCCATGAACAGGGCTGTGAGCATTGTATATGCCGCATCGTTGCTGGCATTGTGCCAGCCGGCGATCATGCCTCTGTCGTCACGGTACTCTGGGGCAATATCCAGACTCGATGCAAGGTCAGCGAGGGAGACCGAGGCGAAGTTCAGCTCGCTGCCCCTGGCAAAATGCTGTGTGTCAAAAAGGTGGGTGACGCGAAGACGCGGATCATCACGAAGAAGGATTCGGACATTATCGGCGAGATTATCGACGTTACGCAGTACGTCAATGTCACCGTCGAGGCTGTGGCCTATCAAAGCGACGTTGGCTTCACTTTTTGTCGGAGGTAGAAGTCGTCGCCAGATTTTGAAAACAGCAGCGCAAGTCTCCGTCACAGACATGCGTTGACTCTTGGCGAACCGTGCAGTTTTAGGACGGATGCCACTTGTTGAACCACGGAGGACAAACTGTATACAAACTATCAGGTCAACCAATTCTCATTCCTCATTCGTTTCTACATCTGCGGTTTAGGTCCCGGCTATTGCAGCTCAATGGCGAAGAAGGACGACTTACGTGATAGTGTTCCATTTTTTGCATCCAGGCGGCCAAATGCTTGTCGGGCTGCAAGTCTTGGATGTCGCTGACCCGCAATGTTGTAAGTCCAATCTCCGTGACAATGGGACCTTTGTACTCAGTGTCAAGAGCGACGAGGATCGTGTCTCGACCGGATTGCGGCTTTGTGATCAAGTCCTTGAATTGCGCCAGCGAACCGAGATTATCTCTATTCGTCCACCATCCCGGCAGCCTCTTAGGTGAACGTAAGGATCTACGACGCTTGTGAGACAGGCTGCGTTTCCTGCGTTTGTCTTGATTCGGCGCTGGGCCGAGTATCTTATGGTGCAACGATCCACCTAGCGGTATCAGAATCTTGGGTCTGCTGTTCGGGATGGCTGACACGACCGGACCACCAGACCCTGGCTTTTGCAGAGCTGCTCGTTGGCTTAAAGATGCTAAAGCTCCCAGGGACTTGATAATGCCCATTATTTCAGACGAATACCAGCCGCGGTCTTGAGAAGTCTATCCCAGCCATAACAGTAGGGATCGTCGATGATTACGACATCACCACGCGAGATCTTGTCATTTGAACAACAGCAGAAAGAAGAATAAGCAAATGTGATGGCCTTGCGCGGTTTGAGACCCCAAGGGCGATATCGTGAGTCGACTGTTAATGCTTTTTCTTGTAATCTCCCTGACAGGCCTTCCGCATCTGAAAACCGACGCTGCCGCGTCCGGAATCGCGCGCAGGCTGCACAAGGCCGGCGGCCCGTGCGCGCAAGTTTGCATAACTTCACGACGCGCCCGCTTCATAGCCTCGACCTTTCTCTCTCTCACAGGCGTCGACGTCCGTAGGCGTTTGGTCGTGTCCCTCCGGTCTCAGACACGAGTAGTGGCGTTCCCGTGGCGGTCTTGCCGACGAATCTCGCACTCAAGCATCTGTCTCGATCTCCTCTAGCCGATCCCATCCACCTGTTGAGCTTCTCCGCCGCCATTTGGTACCCGCGTCGAGACACGGAAATATGACTTGATCGCATGTTCCGACGGTCAGTTACCTACGTCCTAGTGACAACCACACTCGTTCTTATGTCCGTTCCTCTATCCGGCTGTCTGGCAGTCCAATCATGTGTGAGCTCAACTTGATATTAAAACCGGGTGCGCCACGAACCATACTTTGTTGCAGTATCGCACTGCGTCGCATCTTCCACACTTCGGTAACCCTATTGCATTGTGCACAAGCATTCCCCTGCTCGTCAGTCTGCTTAAGCAAATCAAGAATCTCATTTAAAGGCTTCTCGAAGATCTGGATCCTGTTAGCACATAACAATCAACAACAAAGTATAAATGATTATTAACCTTCGCCTATGGCCAGATTTGGTGCCGCTGCCGGCCGTGGCAGCTTTTCTAATGCCCCGTGTAGTAGTATCGCCACTACTTTCAAGTGATTCGCTTATAAAGGAGATCAACTCTATAGCGAGCACAGCGATTGACGTCTTCTTTAAAGGAGTATTCCCGGCGCTTAGGACAAGCACATACGAGTGTTACACGACCGCCTCCGACAACCAGATTGTCGTCCACGTCAACGCGGTAGAGGCGGGCAATAGGTGAGTTTCAGATATCTTCTGATGCTGAAAACTGTTATCAAGATATCCTACCATAACAAGAATGCGGCCTTGGTTTGTCTCCATTTCCGTGCCCCCAGAAATGAAAGGGACGATTGTCGCCGAAACAAAGATGATTATGTGAAGTCTTGTAAAAACCTCCACTTAGCCTTTTCCTTCCACTTCTTCTCCCGCCAATCATTTGCCGTGCTCGGGAAGAACTCCACGACGTCCAACAACCAATGCTCATGCGCCGGGATCACCAGCACGCGCGGGTCCGCATCGAGGGGCGCGATGCCCTCGTCCAATGTCCGCCGCATCTGCGCCGCGTCCATATTGAACCCGCCTGCCGCTGGCGAAAAGAAGGGCCGATCGAGGCATCGCAGCGGATGCCGAGCGACGTACTCGTCTGTAGACAAGTACGTATCGCATGGAAGGTCGGCATGTGCTGTAAGCGCGCCGGTGGGGAGCGGGCAGCGCTCGTGCGGCCGCAGCTCGCCGGCGTGATGGCAGCAGTCGCCGGACAGCAGCAAAAATGTGTCGCCGCCATCGCGGGCGGCTGTCGTCGTTCGGGCGAGTGCGCTGATGTGGCCAACAGCGTGCCCTGGTGTCTCGAGCAAGAAGAAGCTGCCGTCGCCGAACCAGTCGAGGGTCTGCAGCGAGGCGATCTCCTGCGTGGCGGCGGCGAAGTTCAGCTCGGTGAGCTTGCGGCCGGTGAACGCGGCTGTCTCGAGCGCCGAATCGGGCACTTCGGGGTACCCGGGCAGGAGATGGCTCTGGAATCCCGGGCCAACGACGACGCCGACGCTGGGTGGGAACAGGTTAATGTCCCCGACGTGGTCGAAGTGCCCATGGGAAAGGATGATGTGATCGATGCTGGCAGGCTCGACATCATGTTGGCGCAGGAGTTCAGGGACGTCGTGTTTAGTGTTGATAGTGACGCCCATCGACTCGACCGCATTGACGACTGCTCGCTAATATCAGTGATCCTAGTTCTTTCGCAACAAAGCCTCTTCGCTCGAGGACCGCGTACCGGTAGGCGGAGACGATTTCCAATCTTTGCGGATCCCAAGGTCAAAAAGGAGTCGTGTGACCTTGCCGTTCACATCCTTATGCTCGATATAGAAGCATAAGCAAGGTGTGTTGCTGTAGGCCGTGCCCTCTATCTGCGGAGTCAAGAACAAACGAGCCGGAACGCCGATGACTTCGTTCGGATCGATAATAGAGACAGCCACAGTGGCCTCGCCGTTCGGGACTGGGACGGTCATATGGCTGACTGAGGTTGGTATGTTTGCTTGATGGCCAAATATATTTGCATTTTGATATTACTTCTGGATGGACATCACAGAATCAAAAAGGTTAAACTGATCGACATTGATTGTTAAGCAGCGGTTTTAATTCCGTGATAAATCATTCGCGATCGTAAAAGACCAGCGCACGGATGGAGTGATGCCAGCGATCTCCCTGACGGGCCCTCGGCATCTGGAAACCAGCGCCGCCGCGTCCGGAATGGCGTGCAGGCTGCACAAGGCCGGCGGCCCGTGCGCGCAGATTCGCATAACTTCACGACGCGCCTGCATTAAGCACACGAAATACTTACACATTGCCCAGCTTCCTCCGCTTTGCAGCAGGTGCATCGCCATGGTGATGGCGGCACGTCCCTCCACTCGCTCCTTGAGGCAGCTGCGAATCCTCATGTCGTACAGTAATTAACCGTTGTATTCCTGCTGCGTGTGCAATTTCGTGTCCTTACAGATTTCATTGGACACGAAGCGGCAGTGCGATCGGTGACGTCTTTATCGGCGTTTGCATCTCGGACACGACTTTTCATCTTTTGAACCAAAATACTAGATGTACGAAGAGCGACCGAGTACGAGGTGAGAATATTCACGGGCGGTCTGACCATTGACAGCAAGACGGGCAACTATATTCGTGCCCGTGACGCTCAAGTTGAATGCTTTGGACCACCAACTGCGGAACCCGAATTGAGATGGAAAGACCTTCTACGAATTGTGTAAAGCGAGTCGAACATCCCGGTGCTAGACTTTGATACTGATCACATACTGCAATCCCAGATAAGTTTCCTATTCTTATCGAAGTCGAAGAAAAGCCTTTCCTACCAAAGTCGACGCGAGCGGACCCTAGACTATATCACTTCGAGCCAGATGTAGCACATTCTCTGCATTGTGTCAGCGCACTTCGAAAAGGATTGACGCACTTTACATACAGAATCAACTCGGAGCGGTGCATCATAATATGTCAGATGCAAACAGGATCCCACATATGGAGCATTGCTTGGATCGGGTTATGTAGGCCATTATGTGTGCAGGAGACCAAGCACCGTCGCCTGTCGCTTTAGGACGGAGTGTGGAACACACTTGTCGGAAGTGGCAGCCGATTCGGAACTGGATCGATCGGCGTGCTTCTTTAGGCCCATTGATACCTCCGCTTTGAGCTCCGATTGAATGGAGTCCAAACGGCAGGGGATGCAGCGGGTGGATTGCTTCGATGCTTGAATTGTTGCATCTTCGAGCTAAGCGCGGTTGATGTCTCGACTATCTAGCAGATCTTTCGTATTAGTTGAGCGGGCGGAGCATTCCGCCCGCTGGATCTCTTTACCCCACATACGTGTGGAGCTATGGCGGTCATGGTCCATGATGTGTGACGTCGTTCTGCTGATCCAATGCTTCATCTTTGCCAATAAGCGTTCATCACAATTCCACTACAACAATTTAGAAGACACAAATCTCCCAATCTAGACAAGACGAAACCACTGCTTCACTGCGATGGCCTCCAAATATACCAAGCTACTTTCCCAGGCCCGGGTGTTAGTGCTCGGCGGTTCTTCGGGAATCGGGTTCTCGGTCGCGGAGCACGCTCTGGAGCTCGGCGCCATCGTCACCATCTCCTCCTCGCGAACTTCCAAGCTAGACTCGGCACTCGAGCGTCTGCGAGGTGCAGTGCCTGATGCAGCCCAATCAGTGAACGGTCAAGTCTGCGACCTCTCCGACCCGAACACTACGCGGGAAAACCTGGAGTCGATGCTCCAAACCATCACCAAGACAAAGCCACTTGATCATATTGTTTTCACCGCTGGAGACGGCATCAAGATCCAACCTGTCGGCGATTTCGAGGTCAGCGCACTGCAAAAGCTCGGCAACGTGCGGTTCATCGCCCCTGCGCTGCTCGGCGGGCTGGCCGCCAAATATATGAATGTCGCCCGCACATCTTCCATCACCTTCACGAGCGGCACCGGCGGGCACCGACCGGCGAAGAACTGGACGGCGGTGGCCGGGTACTGCTCCGGCTTGGAGGGACTCGCACGGGGCCTCGCTGTCGAATTGGCACCCATCCGTGTCAACACGGTCAGCCCGGGCGCGGTGCACACGGAGATGTTCAGTGAAATACCTGAGGACCGGCTGGAACGCGTGCTCGCGGGCTTTCGTGACCGGACCTTGACCAAGAGTGTCGGTACTCCGGAGGAGCTGTCCGAAGCGTATATCTACTTCATGCGTTGTTCTTATGCGACAGGGTCGCTTGTGGAGGTGAATGGCGGAACTCTGCTCGCGTGAGCTTTGAGAGATGTTGGTCCCGAGAGTATTCGCGGTCAATTGGTCAGTTACCGAAAAACGGGCTCCATTCGTCTCAGGCACGTTTGTGCTCCGACCTCCCTCTTCCTGCTAGCATGAATGATGAAATCTGCCTCATGGCAAGCCGACCGGGCGATTCGTTTAGGATTTGTGGTACAGTCTCTTATACTCACTTCGTAATTACGAAAGCGACTCATCGAATGCAAGCATGACGTGGTCCTTAGACCTCCGGGCCTGGGAAGGTGTTTGACTGCACAGTATGATTCGAAGTAGCGATGAAGTTGTGGCTACAGTGAGCATGAATGCCATCTCTCGCATCTCTAAGAACATCAAGGCTCATAAAAAATGCTGCACGAAAGTGGCGAAACTATCATTAGCTACCAGAAAAATGCCTTCACGTGCGGCACCAATTCATTTTTCTCATGCTACTTCGACTGCACAGATTCCTGGAAATCGCTAAAAGACAGGCCGAAGGTGGTCATGACCTGAAGCGCAGCAGCGAGACACATGAAGAGAAACTGGGGAAGAACCATGAGCATTTTAAATGTAATACATCAAGGAGTGGAGCTTTGCGAACACTTACCAGAATGTTCTGGTTTAGGGGGGCGGGGAGGTGGTTCGAAAGGCCCCAGGACCACAGAGCGCCCGCCAAGGCCGGTCCTACTGCCCGACTTGCCGACACGACGGCTTGTGCGATAGACACGGTAGCCCCCCTGGCATTCGGTGGTGCAGCCAACGCAAGCTGGATATGATCGTCAGTCATGACAAAGGATTAAAAATGAGATAGCTCTGTGAACCCCCCACCAACACCGCTAGACTGGTGTAGCCAATGACCACGGCCGATATTCGAATGGCAAGGAGTCCGCAGAAAGAACTCCATTGTAGCCAGGACCCTGCTGGTAGCAAAATGGCGAATGGACATGCCAAGTAGACGAACAGGAAGAGTATCGAGGACAATCCCCAAAGCTTTGTGTATGAGAAGCGTGTCGACAATATGGGATATCCAATCAGCTGGACAGCGAACAAGACGGGGCTGGTCAAGAGTAAGGTAGTTGCAACCTGGATAGATGTGTATCCAAGACCAATAGGCGGCAGTGTGGCTGCCACGACCGGGTACATGTCGTCAAATGCTATGACATGGAGTGTAATGGACCTGGGCCTACATCAGCGGACTTGTTTCGCGAAGAGCAAGGCATTCGACTGACAGATAGCAAAGCATCAAGACGACAAGACCTGTCATGTTCTTTGGAGGGTCTTTGGTGGTTTCATCGCGATCTTGAGGAAGAAGTGGAGTCTCTTCGCTCGCAGCGTCTTCTGTCTCTTGCGACCTTCCCTTGATTTCGATGTTTGTCTCAGGCAGAAACAGGACGCTCAGTGCCACAATGGTAATGTTGTACCCAGCTCCTATCAGGCACGGCAGCAGATATGGATAAATTTTGAACATGCCACCCGGTCCATCGAAACGGTACTTTTCCGCTGGTTGGCAGAGGAAGCCTCCAAGGAGTGGCCCGATAAGGGTGCCCAATGCTGTACAGAATCCAAACAGCGCGAATGCGCGACCCTGGTGCAGGTTATGGTTCACAGCCAACTCTCCTATGGCCGTCCGGGAAACACCGGCATTTCCTGTCGACATTCAGAAGATTGCGCATGATTTTAGGGACTGGGATCATCTACTTGCTTACCATTGAACACACCACACAGCACACGCGAGACGATTGCTACCGTAGTGTTCTTCGCCGTGCCGAAAATGACAGTGCACACCGCAGATCCGACAAGCCCGAACAACAGAACCGGTTTGCGACCGATACGGTCACTCAAGATGCCGTAAATCGGCGCTGTAAACACCTGGGCGACGAAGTAGGCGGATGCTTAGGTCGGATCGTCAGTGACGGCGGTCCGGAATGGAAGGAGCGGTGGTCTTTACTGAGAAGTCCACACCAGAAAGCGACACGGTCGTTGTCGACAGCAGGGAAGTCGCGCACCATGAACGCAACGAAGGAGAGAAGCATCGTTGCGGCTAATGGCTCGGCGAGAACGATCAATCCGGTGAAAAACAGAACGCGCCGTACCAGCGGGTTCCACTCGGGATTGTCCTCCATCGCCATGACTTCTTCACGTTTGTCACGCTTTAGAATCGTTGAGCGCTGTTATGGGGAGCTTTTCATTATATCATGTACTTGCATTAAAGATCTCTAATAATGAAGGGGCCACTGACGTCGGTCGATCAAGCAGCATGAACGCCACATAGAAGCTTCTCGTGTACTGTGGCCTGGGCAGTGGAACCTGTGGCACCCTCTTGTCCCTTGTCTATTAATCCATGTCTGTGTTTACCGAGACTGTCCCCCTTCGGAGTCAATCTGACACTAGCGGAGTTGCGGGCATCACTCGAGTTCTATAGAGGACGCGAGGTGCCGTCATAGGATGTCGATCAGAACGATCGCTTCAGCGCTATCTGTGCTCTACATCCTAATACAGTGCACGTCAGGATTCAAACGACTCTGCTGATCCCTCCGATCTGCCTCAAATTCCTTCTGATCGCTTATCTCACCCGTCTTGAAACGCCATCGGTGCCAAACTTGCATTGCTACTTACCCGAGTAACAATGGCTGCTGAAGCGAATCACTCCGCGTGGGAGCTCCACAGATGTCATTCAATTGAAATGGAATCTCGAGCCCTCGCTGTTCCCGCATGCGGCGTAACGTGCGCAGGGCCTTGTAGCATTCATCCACGAATGATTGACGACCGCTCAAAGTACGCACGGTCCCCACCACCACAGGCCCACCTTCGCGGTCGAAGTACGACACGTGGAACTTGCCAGCGTTGTCATTCATCAGCGGAGCTGATCCCAGGACATATTTCTCCACGAATGCGGGCTTTTTGGAATCATTATTGTTGTTCCAGTTGGCCACTCCAACGTGACATCGTCCATTGATGCAGGTTATTGCGGTCGTGGTATGCTCATACCACTCGAAATCCTATTGGCGCCGATCAGTCAATCAGGAGCCCAACACCTGAAGAATCTTCGCGCACTGCGAAGACGCCACCATGTCATACCTCATTGTCGGGCGCAACATGCGAGTAATCGGCATCGGCCGCGGCAGGCAGCCACCTGGTACCGTTCAGCTGAGACTCTTTCAATGCAACCTCGTCATGCGCACCACCCAAACGTGAGGTACCCCTTCACTCCATAGTAGCAGTAGAACCTCGCAGCCGTCGCGGTGTGATTTCTCGCTTGATGTCCCTCGTAGTCGGGGTAAATGAGAATTGACGTTCCGTGGAACAGAGATGGTTCAGTCCACTCGTCCGCCGCGACGTATGGCCATAACCGCAATAGCAGACAAAGAGTCAATATTCGGGCAATGGAGGATCTGTACATGCTGGTCGGATCGGCGTCGGGGTAAATTGCTGTATAGTGGAGGAGAAAGGGCGACGTGCGCTTGGAATCAACTCATCTCGCTCCGATGGTAGCATGGTCTTTTATCTGTCCCCCGCAAGGACGTGTAAGAGCTATCGGCGCGCATCTTTCACAGCCGTGTCGTTTGACGCAAGAGGTCCTGGCATCCGTGTGAATTGCGGCAACTCCGGCGAGCCTCCACAGTACTGACGAGTACATGTATGTGCTGTACATTGTTTCCCGAGATGAGTCGTTGGAATTCCGTCGGGTCGGCCCGCTCGAACGCCAGCTCCGACCCCAACTCCGTGACTCCGCTCCCAGTTTGCCGCACATACGCGCCGCCCCGCTAGGGCGATGATCGCATCTGCACCCTGCCACCACGCACGCGTCTGCCTTTTCAAGAACCCCATTACGCGACTTGGCTCTCGCGAATCATCACGTCACTCGAAGATTTGCAAGTTTCGCTCACATCTACCTCGTGATATCACCGTACACTCACTCGAGGCGAGGCTAGCGGCATCCTTCTGCAAACATGACGATGACTTTAAGTGAACAACCCCTCCGCCTCCCGTCAGGTCTGCAAGCGAGCGGCGACGGAGGTAAGGCGGAGACCATTGTCCAGCTCAACAAGACCGCATGGGCATATGCACAGGGTCGCCGTACCTTGGAGTTCCCATTCAACCCGCACGTGGCTGCATCACGTCTCTTCTGGGAGGTCTACGGTCTTCATGCGGAGATGTTACTTGTGCTCACTTGAGACATGCGGAGACGCCTCCGTTCAGGCTGGAGGATGGACAAATTTCTGAAATGGCCAGCTGCGATCATTGATGTCACAAGCGCCCATCCTTTAAGAAAAGCCAGGTAAGTGAACTGCTCGTGAGTGACCGGTAATTGATATATACAGTCCCGTGGATAGTGCTAGCAGTCAATCATCCTCATTCGCCCTCACGTGTAGTAATAACAAGGTGAATAACAAAGCGGATCAACGCCGGACCCTTCGTCTTAATCTTGCCAGGAGCCCTCCCGAAATCGCTTCGTCTATATCTAAGCATTGGTGGGCATATACGGTAACACGCCAAAGCTTGTCTTTCGAAAAACTCAAATGGCTCCCTCGGAGGATCCTATTGCCATCATTGGCACTTCATGCCGAGTTGCTGGGGCAAACAATCCGGCTGAGCTTTGGAGCTCCCTACTGAAGGGAGAGGACCTACAATCCAGTACCGACGTGCGTTTCTCTGGTTATTATGACCGGGACCAAGGGAAGAACAAGGGCATGACGAACGTGCAACACGCTTATCTCATGAAAAACAGCCTGGAGGCCTTCGACAATGGCGTCTTTGGCATCGCTCCAGTTGAAGCTGCAGCTATCGATCCCCAACAGCGGATGCTTTTGGAAGTTTGCTGGGAGGCGTTCGAGAGCGCAGGCATCGCTCTGGAGAAACTTCGTGGTTCCGACACCGCTGTCTATGCGGGTCTCTTTGTCAATGACTATGGTACCAGCCTGCTGCGAGACATAGATGCAACGCCCAAATATCATTCAACCGGGACCGCAAATTCAATCGCAGCCAACCGTGTCAGCTACTTTTTTGACCTTCGCGGTCCCTCCATGGTCATCGATACCGCCTGCTCATCGACTATCACTGCTCTGCACATGGCCTCAAACGCCCTGAGAGCCGGTGACGCGCAACAGGCCGTCGTCTGCGGAGCGAATATCATACTCAATCCCGACATGTTCGTCACGATGAGCGAGTTGGGATTTCTCAGCCCTCGCGGGCGGTGTCACTCATTCGATGCCTCTGGCGACGGCTATGCGCGTGGCGAAGGCGTCATGGCCATTGTTCTGAAGCCCTTGAGCCAGGCAATCGCTGACAATGATCCCATACGCGCGATCATCCGCGGCTCTAGACTCAATCAAGATGGCCGGACGAACGGCATCACGCTGCCTTCGGGCGAAGCACAGGAAGATAACATCCGGAAGTTGTACTCGAGTATCGGCGTAGATCCGAGCGAGGTCGACTACCTTGAAGCACACGGAACAGGTACCAAGGTGGGCGATCCGATCGAGCTAGGCGCAATTGAACGCGTGTTCACAACAGTACCGCGCCGCGAAAAGCTTATCGTGGGTTCGATCAAGTGCCACGTTGGCCATCTCGAAGCGTGTGCTGCCCTCATTGGCATTATCAAGACGATTGAATGTCTGAATCGAGGAGCCATCCCGGCCCAGCTGCATATCAAGGAGCTAAACCCCAAGATCAATTTCAAGGACCTTCACATTCCCCAAGAGCTCCTGCAGTGGCCGCAAAAGAATCAGATTCCGCGCTTGGCAGGCGTCAATTCCTTTGGTTTCGGTGGTGCTAACGGCCATGTTGTGCTAGAGCAGTACATTCGCCCACAAACCACAGCTCCTCTGAACGCTTCCCGGCCACATTTAGTCAGGCTCTCCGCCGAGACGGACTCAGCCCTTGCGCAGAGCCGTGCCGATCTTGCTGCATATCTAGTCGATCAAAAGAGCCCCCTCGGCGACGTCTCGTATATGTCTCTGCTGCGCCGATCGCTTCTGCAAAAGTCGCAATATTTTGTAGCTTCAACGCTCGAGGATCTCGTCCTTCAACTACAGGCCGGTCCTGGCGAAGCTGCGCCGCCAGTCATCTCGTCTTCTGGGGGAGATGGTCCCCGAAGCTTCGCCTTTGTATTCACTGGACAGGGTGCCCAATGGGCGCAGATGGGTAGTATGCTAGTGGATGTCTGTCCGGCCTTCACGGAGACAATCGATCAATGCGATGCGATTCTCGCATCATTGCCCGAAGCGCCGTCGTGGAGTATCCGTGACGAGCTCGTCCTCCCTCCGAGCCATTCCCACATCACGAGTTCTCGCTACTCTCAGCCTCTCTGCACAGCGCTTCAGTTGGGTCTGCTGGCATTCTGTCGAAGCATTGGCTTGCAACCCAAAGCGACCGTCGGACATTCGTCAGGCGAGATTGCCGCAGCTCACGCTGCGGGTATCCTGTCGCTGCGAGATGCAATCATTATCGCTTACTATCGTGGTGTTTTCATGAGCGCCGCTTCAGCCAACAAGCCTGGTGCGATGGCGGCCATCACTATGACCGCTGTTGAGTGCACTGAAATGCTCAAAACATACAACGGCCGAGTCGACTTGGCATGTATCAATTCCCCGTCGAGTTGCACCATTTCCGGCGACGCGGAGTGCATCGACGAAATAGTCGCACGCTTCAAGGAAGAGGGCATATTCTGCCGCAAGCTTCGTGTGGATACCGCTTTCCACTCGCATCATATGCTGCCACTATCCATTCCGTACCGAGAGGCACTCGACAATGCAGCTGTCGCTCCCGCCACGCCCGCACCGGAAAACGCTGTAGTCATGTACTCATCCGTTTATGGACGCGCCATCGACCCGACTGAAGTGACCTCGGATTACTGGGCACGAAACATGACCCAAACCGTGCGATTCCGCGAGGCGATCGGTACCTTGGCTCAGAACGAAGCCGGAATTAATGCTATTCTCGAGGTAGGACCACATCCCGCACTCAAGGGTCCTGCGCTAGAGAGTATCTCGGAGACGGTTGGGGGTGCGAGTGCGCCGGCATACTTCGGTACATTGAATCGTGGCACAGATGACATTGTGACGCTTTTCTCTTTGGTTGGCTCCATGATTTCCGCGCGAATCCCTCTCACGCTGGAGAAGTGCAGGACCCTAGGCGTGTCAAAAACGACCAATCAGGTGCTCATGGACTATCCCCTTTATCCCTGGGATCACGACACCATTCATTGGGCTGAAAGTCGGGTGTCGCGCGCTCACCGCTTCCGGCAGCACTGCCGTGATATGCTTCTAGGAGCGCGCGTGTCTCATGATACACCGCTGTCCATGTGCTGGCGAAACATCCTCCGCGCCAAAGAAGTGGATTGGCTCAATCAGCGTCGTGCCCAAGGTGAAAGCATCCTCGTACCATCCCTGCTTTGCCAAATGGTCATTCGCGCTGCTCGTCAGTTGGAGAGCGATTGCAGTATCGTAGCACCGACCGTCAAACTGACGAGTCTCCAATTCCACACGGCAGACATCAAAGACTTTGACGGTGATGCCGACATCGAAACCCAATTATTAGTAGCGCCTTTATCCTCGATGGATCACTACTCTTTCCGTCTGTTGGTCAACAACATGGCTGCGGCCACCCAATGGGCCGTCGCCTTTGAAGGCTTGTTTTCGTTATTGTCGACCAACAGCTCACATTCGAACGGTGACACTCCTTTACCTCAACCGACTGAGAGTCTTTTGGATGGAAGCTGGGAAGACCGCCTAGATTGTCCTGACGCCGTTGTTTTGCATTCAGCTGGACCAGACCACATTGTCGGGCAGATCAAGAGCAATTTTGACTTTCACTCATACGAATCCGAGAGCCTCCAGGTCTTCGACTGGATCTTCTCTCTAACTTATCTCCAGCCCGGCATAGCGTCCGCCGGCGCTGAATATACTCTTGCCACCGTAGATGAGATTATGATCGCTCCGACCAACCTTGACGGAGCGGTTGAATTCGAAAATCGAGTTGTGACGCTTGCTTCTGGAAGAGCACTAACGTCACTAACGGTCATCGCTTCAGGCATACCTACCATGTCTATCACAGGTGCGACATCAATAGTTGCCCACGACGGTCAAACAGAGTTGCCCTACCACTCGTTATTCCTAGCCCCGGTATGGCTTCCAGATATTTCCGCAATGCAACCCCACGACGATGCGCAAATGGATATGCAGCAGCTCATCGCTCAAGTCACGCACAAGTGGCCCTCGTGTGACATTGCCATTGCGACCAAGCGCTTGGAACTCCAATCTCTGATCTTGAGCAAGCTTCCGGGTATCCAGTCCCACCAACGCCCCAGGTTTCGCTCCGTGAGTACGGCATGCGCTCAACACATGTTCGCAAGCGAACGAGTGAAACATGATGAAACGCTTTCTAGCAGGACATATACCTTGCTTTTCGTTGACTCAAACGATCTCGATACGAGTTATACTCAAAAGCTCGTCGAAGACGGGCTGATTTGTGTCTTAGGCGATGCTGGTGCCCAAGAAATCGCATTAGATGACACGTTGGATCGTCTGTGCTCGCTCTCCGTCGATGCATCTACCCCAGTCTGGCTGCTGCGACGCAAGCCGTCCGAGAACAGCGGCACGCCGGAGACCCCTCAGCCCTTGCTGGTCGCGGCCGACAGGGAAAGTGTAAACATCTCCGACGTGATTGCGCTCAAGGAAGCCGCCGAGAAGCATGTTGTGGGCGAATCTGTAGACCTCGTCGTGTTCGATAGCAGCAAGCAGTCGATTCTCTGTACTATGGACGCCACCTCCTGGATCAACAGTCTTCAAATCTTGTTAGCTGACGCGAAACAATTGCTATGGATTGCGATCGACGACGGAGACTACCCCTATTGGGGTGCAGCGAGCGCCTTTGTGCGGTGTGTCATGGCAGAGCAGCCGTCGTTGAAGGCTGCGACCGTGATGTTGAAGGGACCCATCACGGAAGACTCTTTCCGTTCCGTGATTGTTCCTCTGCTAGTGAACAAGCGAACTAACGTCCGAGAGACCGAACTGCGCCTCCAAAATGGTCAGCTCCAGGTGTTGCGGTACCTGCCAGACGACACGCTGAATGCACTGACTGGAGATGGTCCCACATGTCGTGAACACCTACCCCTGAATAGTCGCAATCACCGAGTGAGCCACGCAAAACCAGGCCAAATGATCATTCGACCTATCAGACACGTGCCACTGCCAGATGCAAGCCGCAGCGACCTACTGGAGATTCAAGTTCACTCCTCTGTACTCGACATGGTCGACTTGCGCGAGACGTTCACCCAAGGAGTTGTGACCACCGATCCAGGTCATTTCTTCTTCGGCACTGCCGTCGCCAATGGGCAGCAGTATATCGGATTTCATCACGGCTGCCACAGCCGCCGAGCTTTGGTTTCACGCGAGCATGTCTACGAAGTCCCATCATCCGTCAATCCGAAACAGCTACTGTTCTCGTTTGCCGGGAATGCCATGAGCTACGCGGCAATGATGTTCGCCTCACGGGCTCGCTCCGATGATACCGTCCGGGCTAAGTCCGAGCGGGATCGGCCGCGAGACCGCACCCGAAAGGTCTAGCGTAGTTACCAGGCCTCTCGTTGCCTAGCCCGGCCCTTTAATCGTGACCCTGCGCGTCTCCTCCATACAAACATATCGTCCTCATTCTTCTCCCGTCATCTATTTTCACCAACATGGCTGACCTGTCTGAGGACGACTGCCTCGCAGTCTAACGGTATCCATTAAGCCTTGAAAGCGCGCGCAATTCCCTCAAAGCATTCGTGGAAGAGAAGGTTGCGTACAATACGTTCGAAAACTTATGCGCCGGAAAACACTGGGCGCTCAAGACACAATGCAACATGATGTAGTTTCTTGGCCGTTTCGTTTCATATTTAGCGCTGGCCTTTCCGTACTACACTGGAGCTCGCCTTCCGCACTGGTGCTGTCAGACAGTAAGGCCGGGCCAAAAGATGGACTCCCGTGAGACAGCACGATCAAATGCGCGCCTCCGGTCCAATGAGTGATTTGAACTGGCATAGACGGTTTAAGAGGCTCTGCGTGTCCGCTCCCCCAGTCGTAACCTTAATTTACACCTTGTGATTGTGGCGATTGTCTTGAGAACTTATTGCTTCTTGTTTGTGAACTCAACTTCGGGGTTCTTGTTCACAAGTGGCGCTCTATCAAATCCATTGCGCTTTGACGGTCAGCTATACTATATGACGCTCTCTAGGACGAACCAGATCTGAACTCAGATCTCGAATGCGCGTAAGCGGCTGACCAACTCCGTACACAGAGTTCCATGTTCATCATTGTTGCCGTTCTTGAGCTATCATTGCATCGGCAATGGCATTGGCCTCGGCGACATCCTCGACATCATATGCTATGAAGATGTTATTTAGGCGATCTCATTGAGCCAAAGTCACTGGTAGACTCACGATCCAAACCATACGACCTGGCGAAATTATGCATGCCGCCCCAGACAGCAAAGATCTTAGAGCGTGTTTCTTGCGTATTGCAGATTCTGTGAGTAGAAGAGTCGCGCAAATGCTGTTGGAGCGAGGCTTGGCTACCGAAAGGCTGATTGCATTCGTGGCATTCAACAGGTGCGACGTGGCCCGGGGAGTCAAGCTTGTGCTGGCGAAGCTCCGACTTCGTCAAGAAAGCGCGAGGGCAATCGTCGCAACGGACCGAGTTCCTATGCGACGGACTATCTCGCTTATGCTGCCGGTATGATTGTCTGGTGTCGAAGATCTGACCGCAGAGCGCACAAGCAGAAGGCATAATGATATGCTTGACGAAAACAAGCAGTAAACTTCGTGCGTCTTGGTCAAAAGCCTGAAATGACGAGTGAAGGCAAGGGTAGGGGCATACATATGTCACGCTCTCATGCAGCTTTTCTCTACATGACCACTTACGCATCGAAGGCGCTGCTGCCTCGAGCTATGGATGTGCTGTGACCCCTCTCCGTGGACCAGGCGGAACAAAGCGATACTTCCGGATCTCTTAGTAATAGTTTTTGAATTCAAATTTTTACGCAGCTCCTCTTTCGAGTTGAGGCGATCATGATAGCTCGAATCCATGGGTTATCATAACCATGTCCGTAATCCTTGTCTCAAGGATCGGTGAGCACCGTTGCCAATGAGGAACAAGCATACATCCACAATAAACACATACACACGATGTGCTCTCTCATTGATCGGCCTCCGATGCTTTCAAATGTGCGAGGTATAAAAGTCGGGATCGGACTAAAATATGGCCTTCTTTTCTCACTCGACCTGTTACTAGCCCGATTACGCATATCACTCATTCCACAATGGCAACACCACAAGTTTTCGAAACCAGAAATCTCATAGGCCTCCAGCCCCCTAAGCATCTTCAGCTCCTCGATGTTATAGACAAGTTGAGAGCTCAGGGCCTAAACAAGCATGTTGATCTCCCACAGCTGATTGTGTGCAACGGGTCTGTTACTAATCCACGCAGCCTCGACGGAGATGTCGTGCTAAAACACTCCACGGCATTTTAGCGTAGTCTGAGCCGCAGCTTGGTTACCATGATTAGTCTTTACCTCCGGTGGAAAATGGGCCCCGCCTGCATATGTGAAATCGTGCATATTCACAGAACGATACGCACGGGATTGGTCGCGCATCATTGTCCTCGATCTGTTTGCATGTGCGTAAGCTGCACCGTACTCAATACCGTCACAATGTGGATCAAGGGCTTGGCAAGATTTTGTGACTTCGGGCTTGACATCAGAGACTTGACTGCCGTACTTCACCTGCAGAAAGACGTGTCCGTGAGTGATTAGGCACCGTCCACCGTCGGCTACTGTGCAGACGAAAGAGTCCATGCCGGCCGTTGCATTCCTGTTCCTCTTTCCAACCATCGCCGGTACGTGTGCAGGTAGATGGTCGGTCAGGTGGATCTACGTGGCGATGGCTGCAGCGCCTACCCGCACGCGTGGCTTTCAAATGAGGACTGGCAATCAACCCGTGTAGCGAAACCTATGCCCAGCGTACGGCGAGCAGAGACAGTAATCATGTGCCCCTGGTTGGGCTTCCTCCGACAGAGCTTACCGCGCGTTTCCTCCTCGATCGTTTCTGAACAAAGATGCCTGGAGCCCTACTCTGCGGCGCCTGTCCAGAGCTCTCTTCGCTCCATACTAGCTCTCCCTCCTGTGGTCTGATTCTCTGATGGCGTAGGCCCCACCAAAAATTATCACAGGCTAACAAGAACAACACCCGAGCGTTCTGTAGCTCTGCCTTCCTTTTATCACCCTTCTTTGGAACAACAACCCTCCGCGGTTGACGGCACCTTCGGAACCCGAAATCGTTGTCTCTGGTCAGGAGTGATTGGCTCTCGAGAAGCTCACCAACTTCAGCCCAGGTCGCTTCATGGTCGATCGTCTCCATAATATCCTCGAAGTCGCAGATATTGTCTAAGATCAGGGCATGGTTTTGGTAATCGATCACATCGAGCTCTTCATTACTTTCCAAACGGCCTTCCAGGGTGAGGCGCATGACTCTGATTGATCGATGATATAACGAGGGTATCAGAACAAAATCGCCCCCAAACAGGGTGTCGCAAGGTGTCACGACTGCGTGGGGAGTTCCTGGACATTGTATACTATACTGCGTCAGCTATATTACTAGATTTTTAGGTTTACTGGAGAAAGTACTTACAGCGTGTCACCAACCTCGATAGCTTGAGCGGTGAATTCGGAGAAGCTGGACTCTCGCGCGCTGCCGTTATAGTAATGACGCATCAAATTCGCTCCCCAGTCTCCGCGAGGCGTGAACCAGAACTTCTTGCCTTCAAGACAAGTCAGTACAGTGCAATACCCAGCCTTGTCCGTATGCCATCCAGATACGGAGGGTCGCGATAGGAGCATGAAACCAGTGGACTCTGACGGGGTCCCGTTCGACCGGCTGAAACCGCCCTTATGCATTCGCTGTTTGATTTGTCTAATAAGGTCGATCCTCTTGATCGCATCTGGCACAAACGAATGGCCGGACCGGTTAACGAGGTCAAGGAAATTGGTCCCCAAGTCATCCTGCGTTATATCGCCTTCTTTCAGAAACAGCCGGCGCATCTGCGGTACATCAGCACGACCGGTAGCCGTCTCACCGGTCACATTTCGTCTTCCCGGCTGGTAGGCAGATCCAACACCATCCTGATAGAGGGACTCGATTTGGTCTTTGATGGACCAAGCGTGAGTTGAGCCAACTGAAGATGATTGGGGAGCGAAGAGTAAGGTGAAAGGACGCTGTAGCGCAATCTTCAACTGATCGACGTGATCCACTTTATATATGTCGAATGCCGGTGGCTCAAGTAGTAGACTATGAAGATGTTGTACTTGCTCAAGCGTTCCTAGCATCCGCAACTTGCTGATCACTGCACTCAGAATATCAGTCGTGGTAGGTAGAGTTGCCTTTTGCTGGAGGTCCTGGATAAGTTCCTGATCATCATGCAGAATCCCAGTATGCTCCCAGTCCGCAGCATCAAAATTGTATTCGATACTTGTCCCCGTCTGGGCTGACGATGCTAGGAGTTTGTTAACCTGGCGAGATCTCTTTGACCTTTCGGCTGTGCTTAAATTCTCTTTTCGAAGGACTCGATATTGGAGAAGCTTGTCTGTTGGCGTCAAGCGCCCGCTAAGCGTAAGAGACATGGTGAAAGTACATGCGCGGCCGTAATAACACTAGACAAAGCGTAGGGAAAATGAGCGTAAGTGCTTTTGTAGACGCGGTAGCGACAAGACGTGGACCTCACAATCGCGCAACGTGTGGCACTCGATGCAACGTGTGGCACCGTGCGCAACGTGTGGCACCCGGCGTCATGTGTAGTACTTGGCGCAGTATGCTTTCTAGGTCGCTGTCTTTCCACAATGGCTTGAACAGCTGCTTCGTACAAAAGCTCACCGATAATACATTCCTTCGAGATACTTTACACATTTTCTACGTCCTGGAGAAGCAGAAGAAGGTGTATACATCGTATAGTACGATGACGGCAAGCCGCGCCCGATTGGGGCGGTCCTGCGAATCGTTGCGTCGACTCCTGGCGTCGCGAGCCACCCCGTGTATCAAGCCAGTGTTGAGAAGTTTTCTCAATAATATCCTACAACACCGTGTATGGGATTATCTTGTTCATTCGTGTCCACTGCGGCGAACCTGTTCGTTTAGTAGTCCTCAGGCCGCAAGGGCTTGCCTTCGGACATGTCTGCTGCAACTAGTTCTTAATATGCAAGAGCACTGACTAGCGCGCGTATGTTGAGGTCTTCAGATATGTATTCCGCGGGTCAAATTAATTCTAAATATGACATGATTTGTCGTAATTTCTCTATGGGGCACGCTGAACGGCCAAGGAAGTCTGTTTGCACTTTGTTGAAAAGATCCACAGATTGCTTCGCGAACATCGACAACGATAACAGACATAATTTTTGCTCAATTCGAAAGGATGTTGATGATCTTCTCCAAGTTGATGATATCCTTGTTGATTTGCTCCCGTTGTCTTTTCACCCGCTCCTCCTCGCCGGCAATCTCCTGAAGCTCTTTATCTGACATCTGACTCACGAGATTGGGTGAGAAGACCGTAAGAGGAGTATTCGGACCATTGACCAAGAAGTAATCTGTTGCCTGTTTGCAAATGTTATCGACAAAGCGTTTGCGGGCAACATGATAGTAGGCACTGAGGATGTCGCCGATGTCCTGAACGATGTATTGGCGGTTGCTGATCGGTGGGCTGTGCAGGTCCCTGCCGTATTGCTGGTGTTTGATGTTTAGCTCCGAAAGCAAGTCCGACATTCGCGTATGCCGGCTGACATGATGTTAGGTCCCAAGTGTGGTCATACAGGAATCAAGATACTCACTTCGATTGTAAATTTTCATTGAAGTATTGGTTGTGTGTTAGTGGTTGGCCATTGAGCTCCACTGCTAGAATGAAGTTGACTTGCTCTTTAGCGCGGTCGTATCTTTCTCTAATCCTCGCTTCGATGTGATTGTAGAGGTTGTTCTGAAGGCGGTCGTCCTTGCAAATGGTCTCCAATGCTGTCTGAATGAACTTGTGAATGATGACGATGATGTCACTCGTATATCCTCGGCAAAGGCAAGGCCAATTTTGAGTTTGCTCTCGCATTGCGGATGACAATATTGCAGGATCAAAGGTGCCAATCTCAAACCCCCGATTGTTCAAGTAGAGGTCCTGCAACCATGCGTTCTCTTTCGCTGTCTCTCGTTTTGGGAGTTCGCTTTGAGGGTCCAGGATATCTTCGATTTCCAAAATGTTTTCTTCCTGTCTAGTCAATATGGATATCGTATCATTCGAATCACTAACAGTCTCGTCTGAATCTACGTCCTCGTGCTCACTCTCATTCTCGGTGGACGACCGCAAGTGATGAGCATGACCCCAGCGAGCCATGGTCCTCGCGAAGTTCTCCATACGTGCCACGATCACTGGCGCTATCTTCAAGTTCGGGTTCGCGGAGAACACTTCGCTGTTTCCAGTCCTGGCAGAAAGGGCGTTGCGTACTAATCCCTGGAAATCGGTAGACAGGTCGATCAAAAAGGCTGCCTGGGCTGGACGCGTATTTCTCTCTGGCCCGAGCTTTTTCAACGCTTGGTGTTCAATAGCAAGCATCTCTTTCACGTCTCGTTTGACCTACAAGACGATGTCAGCAAAGGATAATAGAATCTAGTTCCGACGGCGTTTCAACCCACGTGAGAAAACGTTCTCTTTACAAGACTACCGAGGACTTCGCGCAGCTTTACTACAAGCGCATGCGCGCCCCAATCATCGGATTTGAGGATATTCCAAGGGGAATTGTTCGTGAAGAACTCCACTTCGAGTGCGCGCTTGTCAAGAGTTTTGTCCATCAGCACCTTTTGCCCAGCATTGCGGACAACATGCCACCCTAGCTTCAATGGTCGCGACCGCCCTCGAAGCAGGTCGATCACACGATCCTCGGCGCCCGGATCGACCAGATCAGGCTTGGTCAGTACTCCTAGCGTCCGGTCGCCGTCCGGATCGACTCGCTGCGCCATTTGTAGAATTTCCTGGGTAGCCACATCGCAATTGGCAGGGATCACGGCCAACATCACGGATCGAGGGCTTTTCATATAAGATTCAACCATCGATCGAACAAATACCATATCATTCATGGTCGATTTCCCGGGTTCGGGGTCTCTGAAAATGCCGGGTATATCGATCACGCTGTAGTGATCCTGGTCGGGCCCTGAGATTTCTATCTGAAGTATGTCGTTGGAGAACCTAGTAGCCTCCGATGAGGAGTCGTCGTCGGGCGTAATCCCGATCTTGCTGTTGACCTGCACGTCGGTCAGCATGCTGGTTCGGAAAAGATTGTACCGAACATGAAACCAACATCCTTCATAACGTCCTCGAGATTGAGGTCATCCCAGCTATGTAGATCCCACTTGTTAATTGACTTGATGAAAGTCTGATGCTTATCCGATGACCCCGGGTCTGCGATGACACGGATACTGACGGTCATCTCAGAAGACCGCCGGAAGATCAATTTGGTAGGATAACGTGTGCAAAGACTTGAGTCTCTAGGAAGATCCTTGCCAATGAGGCTGGATAACACGCTACTCTTTCCCGCGGACTGATCACCGATGACCACAATTTGTGGTATGTCAACATATTGACTTGCTCCACATGCAAAAAGCTGATCGATACGTTGCAACAAATGAGCATTTCCGATTCCAGCTTGTCCGCTCTTCTCAACAATCATGGTTATAAACGCTGACCCACGTTAGTGACCTGTGGTGATGCTGATAACCAGATTCTCGGTTTAATTTAGAAGAATATATCTGGCAAAAAAGAGACCATGTAGTGAAGTCACGATGAAAGGATCGGAGCTGCGATGCTGGGAATGGAAACCAAGATTGGGCGCTGAAGGTTTATATGTCTTATCAATTCAATGGAAGCGTCGGATCCTGGACTGCAGTGTATGGTACTGGTGCAGGAAGCAGACATTAGGACGCTCAACCGCATGGCTTGCGTCCAGAAAGAATGCACCGCTCGGCTTACTCGCACATTCAGCCGAAGCGCAGTTGCCAGCAACGAATATCGTACATGCTATTGGCACGACCAGAGTGAAAGCAACCTGATCAGGATGGCCACGGCCAATAACACGCAACAGTTCAAAGCTGGCATGGCCACAGCCAGAGTGGAATACACATCCTGTTACCGTTGGTATGTACATGATGTTGAGCCCGGGGTATGTGGACGAATACTTTGACAGTCTGTGCTAGTGTCAGCATGCTATTGGTAGTTTGCTTCGAAGCTTGACAGCCGAGCTGTGCGCCACCTCGCGCTAAAGTGCCTGGAAGTTTAGCAGAACCTTAATAAGTCGTGATAAGCGTTGATCCTTGCAATCCTGCCCGATGCCACTGATGATAAGCGGGGAAAAGGCAAACTTAGCACCTGAATGCAGTTCTCTAGTACAAACTCGAATCAATGTCGATCGGATCGTTCACCTTTTTGACAGCGGCCTCATCCTGGTGGCCTCCGACCCAATTTCTTTCATTCAACGCCTTGTGATTCATTCTCATATCCACCCTCGTATCAACTCAACAGTGAAAATGAACGGTCGGTCCGAGACTTTCGAGGCAATACGGGTACGTTCCACTGCGCAGAGTCGTAAGCCCCTAGAGACGATGTCCTGCTAATACTCTTGCAAAGCAACGGGCATGGGAGATGTTGTCTGAAGCTTCATCTTTGGAACAAGAATTTCCAGGGCTGCTCGACGGACACCCAAAGAAGATCGTATCTAACGACTGCGATCAGCAAGAAAAACTTCCCATAACACCATGCATCAGCCAGCCCACTACTGAGGACATTGGCTTCCTCCATAACAACGAGGTTGAGTGGCAGAATGCTGCTGCGTTTTGGGATCGCGAAACTCCGTTCATGTCAACTCGGTGGGACTTGCCCAATCCCCAGATTCAAGCCATGGACTTCTACCAGCGTTTGGGAAATCGTGAGGACCTGTAGGCCCGAATCGCGAAGAGACTCCTGTGCCTGGTGTTTCGAAAATTACGAGGTTTTTATCCAAAAACTTCGGCGATCTACGAATTGCAGTGGAAAAAGCTATACGAGCGTATGGATACGTACGGTAGCAGATACGAAAATCTCGCGCAGAATCTTGGAGGGGGTATCGCCTTAGTCTTGGGCACGGAGCCACAGGAACGGTAGTAAGTACACCAATGAGATAATATGATGGTGGAAATTGACCTTGACCTTGCAACTCTCCAGTTGGGTAAAGGTTTTGCCTAAAAGCGGACCCAAATTCGACGACGTTATGATCACCATGCGTCGGGGTCCGACCGGCCAACTCGCGAAGCAATATGAAAAACTTTGTTCGCATCTTGTGGATTGGTACGTGGCCCACTTACTCCAACCAATGCACCAAGATGTAGCGTTGTCCCAGCGGGTGGGTTTTGGAAGCTCGATGTCCTCAACTGGAACTCCATTGAAATCATCCGAGCCAGTTCCTCATTTGTACTCTAATCCCGATGATTTTCGATTGCCTTTCACTGAGGTATCACCAGGTTCCATCGACGAGGAATGGTGAAATAGGGAGCGATGGATATTTCCAACTTTATAGGTCATGAACGAATTTGGTCTACGCGCGCCTCACCTACAACAGTACTAAATAGAAAACGACATGCAGCAGCCAGGCGGTGAGGCAAAGTTATTCTCTCATGACATTTCCATGCACGGAGAATCGTGACCAAGTCCGCATGGCGGCTGATTTACAGTACTATGCAGTATTGTCTGCGATTGTTGCAACTTTGGAAGTAGAGATGACTACGAACATCATTCCATTGTGTACCATTTTAGGCAAATGGTGCATTTTTCAACGATTCATCCTCTTCTAAAATTTAATAGCTCAATGATCTGCACTCTCAAAGGTTGGTCAGTTTACTGGTGACTTCGTAGCACCCTGCGCACGCTTGTCCAGTGATTTTAGACCAGAATCATTGCAACTTGCAAGTGGAGCTCCAAGGTGGCCAGTGCATACAGGATGAGCCATAGTACAGATACCGATATCCTGGGCCACGGCCTTCCCTGAAGTATCTTTCGTGTGCTGGCAAAACCTATATCGCGCGCTGGCATGCACGTCTGAGTCAATCCTGCAGCCTCGCCCTGCAGCTGTCGCCGAGTTGTCCCGCAAGCAATAGCCTACGCAGCACAGCTCCCTTGCGACGCCCCGTTTAATGACTGCTCCATCGCCGCCCAGGCGACTGCGTAAAACCTGGCCTTTGTTTTGATCATGAACTTGAAGGTTGAACCGCAAAAGCTTTCATTCAAGAAATCAAGCAATCATGGCTTCGCTCCTTCACATACCGCGCGAGTGGGCCGACGACGAGAGCGAAGATGAATTTTTCTCTGAATCAGACGTGGAACAATTCTCTGACCTTGACGACGATCAGGCTGATAAGTACTACTTTATCAGTAAAAGCCATCTCCGCTCAGTCCAGACAATGAAGATCGCGCTTTCATCGGCTGATTTAACATTTATGGAAATGGATGTGAGTTGAGCTTTGGCTGTAATGTGCGCCATTGTCGGTCCGAGTACCGTGATTGCTGAAAATCATCATTATCCAGGCGGCGCTCGACCAGGCATTGATGGGTTACAATTACAGTCGTGTTTTCGGTATCTTACACGAACACTTCGAATCGGTCGCAGCTATGCAGCTCCGCGCTCGTACCCGCGACGATTATCAGGCATTTCACTGTGCAGCAGGGTCCATCTTGCGGGGGAACAAGCCAACTCAGTTGGCATTGCTTGATCGGCTGTGCCGTGACTCAGAAGTTAACCTCACGAATCCCGAAGTAGCATCCCTCCTGCAGGCGATGATCGACGAGCAACGTGAGCAGAATAATCTCTCGCATTACCTCGAAGCCAAAGAGCAATTCAATAAAGATCTGATCGCGCGCGGCATGAATGATATTGTGGAGTCGGCGAAGTCGACGATTGATGGCGGCCCACTGGGCAAGAAATGTCGGACGATGTTGAAATACCAGAATCACGCCTTTGAGGGTTTAGGAACTACTTTTGAGGAGTCCGAGATGGCAGCAGCCAAGAGCCTCTGCGAGCATGTGGAAGAAGCTGCACGATTCCTTGGTAGAATTCGATAGTCGTTTCTATTTTCTAAACATGTGCATATTGAAGTTTCTTCAGGATTCCATTAAAGAAGTGAGAAGATGTGGTACATGAAAACAGGTGTCTTCTGTTATCATAAGCTTGGAGGTGGGGAGTATGGCTACCAAGATTGGCAGCCTCGTATACCTACCTACATATGTTCGATGGATCTCAAATGATTCAAAGACCTCATGATTACAAATGTTCTTCGATGCGGCCTTTACTCCACAAGCAGATGAGATTAATATGAAATAGCACATCAGACAGATATCTGTTCATCTACTTCGTAAATACGCATGGTACTATCAGATCTACGATGACGGCAAATCTGAGAGATGCGGACATAAAACAACGACTAACCAGGAGACAAAGAGCTACCCGCAACCCACGAAGCCCAACAAGCAGACATGCAAGTGCTCATGCAAGTTGTCCACCCCTGCACGCTGGGACAGCTAGATGACAAAGTGGTTGTGCTGTATAGTTTTCAATAAATATATACGGACTTGGTATAGGTTTCTCAACTACACGACTCTCCCGACTGGCTTGCTTTACAAATACATAAAGGCACCATTCGTTATCATAATGGAACACGTTCTCAAGAAGTTCTATTCGAGTCTTCTGCTCGTCGCGGTGCTTTGTCGACCAGAACGGGTACAAACCGTGGATTCGAACAGGGACACCGGTTGGCGGCGATTTCTTGACGACTTGTGTTGGTTCTGCGATACTAAAAGGGCTGGCAAGACGGTCGTGACAATCGCGGTGGAGCAAACTGACGACAATGAGCTGATTTTCTGGGTGGCAAGCAACGAGTGCAAGCAAACAAAGTCCTCTGTCATGGCGAAGCAAGCGGCCCGGCATCTCAAATGGCTTCTCGCCCAAATGCAAACGCAAGGAATTAGTGCTGCCTCTCAGGCTGATCTCGAGCGACTCGAGGGGGAAATCTTAAACGAAGCCGTTTATATCAGTTATGGGAAGTTCAGAAATTACGTATATCAATTGACTAAGCTCATGGAGGGCCTTCAACGTGACGACCTTATCAATACGGACGAGGAGGAGCGCAGTACGTATAAATTCCCAACAGAAAGACAACGACCGACCAAGGAGCTCACTTACAACGCAGTAAATGACTTCGCCCAACATCTGCTGAGTCTGCATGCAATGCCGGCAGCACTTTCTACTCAGGCGTACGGATTCCGTCGAGCGGACCTTTACCAAAGCCTAAAGGCTCTTGGGGTCACACAATCCGCAACCGCGAGGGAGTGGTCTCTGGTCCGCCACTACATCGGCCGACTGGCCTCCTGGGCCAAGTCGGCCAGATTCATCGCCCGCGTGGCCAACTGCGCCGAGTTTCGGCCCTTCCTTCGCAAAGCAACCGTGCAGCCACTGGCCTCGTTGCAGGCCGTCCGCGCGAACCCCATCAACGCTGAAGCTGGATATCCCGAGATCCTGGAAACCGCGCTACCACACCTATCATCAGTGCAGCTGAGCGAACGCTTTCTCGCCAGCATCGGCCCCGTCGATGGGACTCCAGCCAATTATGCCCAGAACAGACTGAATATCTGCAACGCCAAAGCCTTCCAGCCAAGGATTCACGCGGAGGTCCCGATGCTGAAGCACTTCCAGCAGCAGGGACGCCGCCGGTTTGCTTTCGACCATCGCTACATCGCGTGTAGCAAGCCGCCGTGCTTCTGCTGCGACCTGTACCGCGAGGTCTGCCACGCGGACATCGCCTTCCGGCCGCGGCATGGGAACGCCTGGGTCGCGTGGTCGCTGCCTTGCGAGCTGGGGGGCCGGCTGACCGATGGAGCGCATGATCTCAACCTGATGGTCCGTGAAATGCAGAGGCGCATTTTGCTGTCCTTTTTCGCGAATCCGCGGAGCGGCCGGACGCTGAGGCTCGACTCGAACACGGACATCGATACCACGCTGCCGAGGACCTCATCGTTACGGAGGTTCTTTGGGGATAGTTGAGACGCCGTCGACTAAGCGATGATGATGAAACGAACAGGAAGAATTTTACGAACAGATTTTGCTGGCTGTATGATTACACTACCACATTCTAGCGGTCAGTGGTCGGTATTCCTCATGTCCTTCGATATGCAGTCCTGTGCATTCTCCATGTACCCTTGCTCAATCGGTACTGCTCTGAACCACATTCGAAGTTTCATTCGTGGCATTGTGATCAACAATCCTGGTTCTCGACCTGCGCTTTGAGGTTGATTTCGCGTCTTGGAGTGCCCGCTCATCTCTTGCTTTTTCCAGATCCTCATAGCTCATCACTCTCGCTGTCCCGATGACTTTGGATCTCGTTGAGCGTCGTACACGAGCTTCGCCGTTCGTCCTTTGCAGGAACTCATTGCGTCGCTCGAGCAGTACGTGCTCAGCGAATGAAGTCTCAACAGCTTTTGATAATTTTTGGAAATGCTTTTGCAAGCGGCGTTGAGAGCTGCCGTCCAGACCCTGTGCATCGTGTCGGATCACGTCGTGCAAGGCCAGGATGCCTGCTAGACCCACAGGGGTCACGGGTGTCACAGGTACCATCGGAGTAGATGGGACGCTGGGTGCCGACTGCGTTTGCATATTGACACCATGCTACAGCGACCCCCAGAAAGTGAGTAAATTTTCGTAAATTTGACCCTTAACCTAGATAACTACACTAACTTCAGATGATAATAACTCAACAACTACAAGTCTAAATAACTCGCTTATATAAAAGAATATAATCTATTTAACGTGTTCTTTTACGTCGTAAAATCTGGTAATTCTAGTACTTCGTATACCAACCCTGTACTATAATAACTACGGAAATCCTATCCGGTATAGATGCTAGATATAGCTCTCGAAAATGTATAATTTCATCCTATACTAGGGGTAACTAATACTTAAGTAACTCGATCTGTTGAGTCTTTGTAACCCCCGGTAATAATAGCTCTAGACAGAGTTTATATAGACGTTCTTTTAGATATAGCTATAGGTGTTTAATATAGTTCAAATCTAGACTATAGGGGGGCTAGCTAACGTGGACTCTAACGCTATTTTTAGATAACTACGCTATAGTCTAACTAGATATATAGATTAAAGCGTTATCTTATTAAAATATAAGGTCCTCTAGATACTCTAGGAGCTTAAGGAAGGGTAGAAGGCCTTCTTTGAGTATTACTATATATTCTTTACTAGTATAGTGTTACGATCCTGGAGCGGACCGGAGCAGACAGCCACGCAAGAGCACTGATCCAAGTCACGTGTCGCCAACCTTAGGGTCACACACCCTACAGAACCACGATGCAAGCAAGGGTTAGGAGAACCCTAAGGAGCAGAGCCTTGGAGCAGCTGCCTGAGCTAGAGCGTTGATCCAGGAGCAGGACTTTGGAGCAGACGCCAGAGCCAGAGCACCGCTCCAGATCAGAGCACTAGAGTCGCTAGCGACTCCAAGTCACTGATCCACACATTTCCTTTGTACCTAACTTACATATATAGGTAGGACGAATGGACCTTATGTCTGTTCGTGTTGAACTCATGTTACCAACTTAACCATTGGAATCAAAGCCCCTTTCAGATATCCTGTTGCACCACTCATTCTCAAGAAGCCCCTCGAGTAAACCGCCCTTTGGCAGTTGACCCGTAACACTTTCAACACCCTCGAATATGAGTACCGCGACCGGATCCTCCAAGGGCAAACAGCCAAGCCAGCCCAAGACCCCACCTCCACCGATGCCAGGCACCATGGACATCGACTCTGACGACAGTGACGACGAGGTCACCAAGAAACAAGTCAAGATCTTGATGCGTCAGCAAGTCGAAGACCAGCGCCAACGTCACCAGGAACAGCAACAGCTTCTCAACCTGATCCAGGAGTTGGAAGGACGACTCAGTGCCAGAGGCAACAACCAGGCTACAGGAACAGACCCCAACCCACGTACGGGACACGCCAAGGTTCCTAAGCCTGATCTGTTCTACAGAGACCGTAGCAAGTTCGACAACTGGACACTCCAAGTGGAGCTGTACCTTCGCTTCAATCCCCAGAACAACGAGGATGCAGCCTTGCTGGCCGCAATGCACCTCAGGGGCAGAGCGGAACAATGGGTCAAGAAGTTCCTTAAGCTTAAACTCGAAGGCAGAGAGCAGACCGGGATCCTAGACAATTGGCCCAACTTCAAGCATGCCTGTGGACAAATCTTTGGGAATACGACCGAGGCAATCGACGCCGCGCGCTACATCCAGCAACTCAAGCAGACAGGGTTCGTTCGGGACTATGCAGCAAGGTTCCAGGAACTCGCTGTAGTGCTTGACTGGGGCGACGCTGCGCTCGCCGAGATGTTCCGCAAGGGACTCAAGAGCGAAGTCAAAGATGAACTCATGCGATGGGGACCAAGGATCGATGAGCTGGGACCGCTTGTCGAGTCCGCTTGCACCATTGGAGACCGACTCTACGAGAGATCCATCGAACGCAAGTATGAAAACAAGGCAGGAGCTATCCCGATGTATCGCAATACACCAAACATCGGACGCTTCAGAATGCGACCCCGCGACCCCGACGCGATGGAAATCGACAACCTCCAGAAGAAACCAATGACCAACGGAAAGAAAATAACCTGTTACGCTTGTGGAAAGATCGGGCACATCTCCAAGGACTGCCGATCGAAGAACAAGGTAAACAGAGGAACAATCAACAATTCTGAGAGAAACGTCACGTGCTACTCATGCGGCAAACCTGGACACTACTCGAAGGAATGTCCCAACAAGAGTCACCGACAAATGAACAGCACCGAGAAACACGAAAACGACCCTCAAGGAAAACAAGCTGGGCACGAAAGCCTTAGCTGGACCGGCTGCTATGACGACTCCTGTGTGATTCACTTCATGGACAAGAGCGGAGCCGGATGGTTTCCCCGGAAACCCAAGAACAAGAGGAAGGTCAGCATCCGTGACCATCCTGAGGTCCCAATAAGGAACGGACCACCGAAACGATACCAGAGCCCAGCGCCTGGATACGTAAAGATATACGAAGAAGTCGAGAAGAAAGAAGCATGCGCCACGGGACATGAGCAGAACGGAGTCTTTCAATCACTCGTTCATGTGAACCACAGCCCCGCTATGGCCCTGATCGATACAGGAGCCAGCGCAAGCTTCATCTCAGCCGACTTGGTGCAGAGACTTGGGATCGCTACCCAACGGAAGAAGCACGCATACCAATTGACCGCCATTGACGGCGCGGAATTACCTACGGTTACCTACGAGACGGTGCCAGTAAAGTTGCATATTGACCAGCTGCAGCAGGAAACCCGATTCGATGTCTTAAACAACACAAGGCATGAAATCGTACTCGGATTTCCATGGTTGATAATGAACAAGCCAAGTGTGAATTGGCAGAAGAGAAAACTTGAATTCAAGAATGACAAACCCGCGGTGACGGAAGATCGGTGCAGGACACAGGCACT